CAGAAGGATTTTATGGATCAAATCATGCAATTCGTCCTGAAGTTTGCGAGCTACGTGCTGGGGAAAAACATTACCAGCTTTTCGGACATCTTGGCCAGTCTGGTGGATGTGATATTACAATGAAAAATGCCTTTGCCTCCACCCCAGACCTCGGCAGCATTTGCATTGCCAATCTTTCCATTGGAAACATTTCCCGTCTTTCATATATCAGCATCACAAATTTTGTTCCATGCTGAATAGCTCAAATTTGTGTTGCAAAGGAGCCCAATAGCAGCCGGATCTGTTATGCAGAAGACACCTTGCCGCGTACCTAGATCCTGTATCAGAAAGGCTTGCAGTGCTTGATGCAAGACAAAAAGCTTTCATGATTCGGAAACTTTGCATGAGAAACTTTTGTAAATTCCGGGGTGGGGGCATTTTTCATTGTAATATGTGAAGGCCATCATCCACAACATCCAGAAGGCCGTCCTGTCGCTGCTCGGAAGCCTCGGCGAGAAGTTTATCAAACCTTTGATCAGCGTGTTTTCCCGGACCTTTTTCCAGGTGATCTACGACCCGTTGGTGTCCACCTCTTCCCAGTTTCTCGGTGACACCATTTCCGGCCTGATCGGCGCGGGGTCGCCCGTGTCTTTCGTCGGAGGCATGATCGGCCCGACCATCCAAATGACCTTGCTGCAAGTCGGAACCACCTTACAAGGCATCGTGTTGCCCTTGTTCAAAAAAGCGCTCGAGGCGATTCTCCCGTCGGCACTGACGAAGTTGTTCAAAGGCGTCACCGAATCCATCGCGGATGGGAACACGGAGGATGTTTTGAAGGGCGTTCTTGAGGTGGGGAGTAATGGGGATGTTGCGGAGGTCGCTGCAGAGGAGGACGGGGATGAAGATAGAAGTACTTCTTCGACCAGTAGTTTCGTTCAGAAAAACAAAAAAGCGCTTGCAACTTCTTCGATGAAGAAAACCTCGTCAACCAAAGCGTCCAGCAGAAACAAAAAGAAAGCGTCTAAAAACAAACAAACAACGAGGAAGCAAAAGAAGTGGTTCAGCAGTCTTCGCAAGACGCTTACGAGCGCAAAGGACAGGCTCTTCGGGGGCGGCGGGGGTGAGAGGACCACGACGACGACGTCGACCACGAAGTCGAGGACCACGACGACGACTACAAAGTCGACGACCACGACAACACCAAAGCCAACCACGACTACAACGAGAAAGCCAACGACGGCGGCGCCGGCACATGACCACGAGCACGACGTGTATGAGGATGCGTTGGATCACGATGATATCGTTGGTGAAGAAGATGACGACGACGACAGTGTAGTTGAGCGACCGGAACGGGAACAAGAACAAGTTGAGGACGATGAAGGTGAGGATGACTTGTACGAGGATGCAGTTGAGAGTGATGATGTTGACATATGAATTGCAAAAGTATCGTACTAGTATAAATGGCATTACAAATTTGCTCAGCATGAAAGCTAGAACTTGTCATGCTGTTTTACTTTAAGAACAAAACTTGTCCTGCATAGTTGCAATTACTACGAGTACGATACTTTTGCACAGGATATGACAAGGATGATGACTACGAGGACGCCATGGAAGATGATGCTGGTGAAGAGGAAGATCAGTCTATGCAAGAAAAAAACTGTGTAAGTGTAAATCTGTGATGCAGAAAATGCAAAACAGTTACACTTGTCATGCTGGAGATGCGTCATAGGCTACTATCATGCGTGTTTCCACTTACTAGCTGCGCATGACAGGTTTTCCCTGTAATGCAAAATGCTTTTCCTACAAAGTTACACTTAAAAAGTTTTTCTCCTGGATACAGTCAGCCACCATCCTGGAGAAGATCAACGGGATCACGAAAAAAGTGAAACGGGACCTGGAAACCGTATGGATTGTATAAAATGTCTGGGTCTTCTTGGAAGTTGCGAGATTTGTCATGCTTGTCTGGCATGACCAAAAAGTTTGTGATGCGTGTCCAAGAAGAGACACTTTTGCTTGTCATGCAAAACGCATTTTGTCATGCGGAAAGCGCAACACTAAGTAGCGCAAATATTTCTCATGCTTGACTGTGCATTACAGAGAATTCACTATTCACAACTCAGCATTACAAGTTATTTCGAGACCCAGACATAGTTGCATTCGATAAACCGTGAAGAAAAACCAAATCTCCAACGACGACGAAGTGGAGCCCGGGAGTGGGGTGGTGGATGGGGAAGATGAAATGGCGAGGGACATGGCAAAACGAATTGACAAGGCTGTGGTGGTGGTTCATAAAACTAAAACCTCAAGCGAGGAGGTGCGCGGAGTTGTGGACGATCAGGATGATGATGAAGATCAAGACGACACATTCTCTTCCACCTCCTTATGGAGTTCTCAAATGTTACATTCTCAACTGTTACATGATTTGTCATGCAAAATGACCATGACCCGCCAGACGATCAAGCTGCTTCGCATGACAATTTCTCGGAAGGCTAAGTAGCACTGTAATCCGGATCAAACCTGTAATGCAAGACGCGCAAGGTTCTCCCTCTCACCTGTGCTAGTCTTGCATTACAAATTCATGTAACAGTTGAGAATGTAACGTTTGAGAACGCCATACTCCTCTTTCACCGAGTTTCACTTCCACCTGAACCAAAAACACCAGTTCAAACTGTCCCTCCTGCACGAAAAAGTCCTCGAAAAGCGGCAGAAATCAGATTCCTACAGCGCGATGAGTGATTTCATGATCTCCGGGATGAAAACCGCTTTCAGCTACATCCGAACCAATTACCTTCCGAAGTGCCCGGAGGGAAATCAAGCGAGTGAGACCCAGATGGCGCAGGCGATTGACTCGTCTTCGCAGTTGGTGGAAAGCCTCCCGTTCTGGTCGACGTTTCAGCAGTATTTGAAATCGGTCAGTGAAGTGCAGCTGCGGGGATTGGTGAGGTCTACGGTTGAAATATCAAATGTAAAAATGTCTGGGTCTGGAAGAGTGCATGTTTGTCATGCTTGTCTGGCATAACTCTCAAATCTGTCATGCACGTTACCCAAGAGCGCCACTTTTCTGTCATGCAGACACGCAGTTTGTCATGCAGAATAGGCAACACCTAGAAGCTCAGAAACTTGTCATACTGAGCCAGCACTTGTGGCCTCCTCACGATACGCCACCCAGCATCACAAGTTTCCAGACCCAGACATTTTTGCACTTGATATGAAAAGGTGATTGACGTGATTGGCAGTGGGCTGTTTGAAACGGTCATCCCTTTTTTGGTTTCGCTACCAGTCTATCAACTGCAAATATGTCTGGGTCTGGAACGATGCAGCTTGTGATGCTAAATTTGGATCATGGAAAAATTTGTGTTGCATGATTACCAAAAGCTGTCCAGTTTTGACCAAGTTAGGCGGGAGTTTCTCATGCAGGGTAGGCATGATACAGATCTCACAGGAGAATCTGTCATGCTAGATCCTGCATTCCAGACCTCATGTGTCATGTTGGACCTGCATGAGAAGTCTAGTCTTGCACTCTTCTAGACCCAGACATATTTGCATTTGATACAATCGTTGGAAACGCGATTTCCTCGATCAAGCCGGGGATTCGTGTACCCTATGTAAAAACGCCCCCATCCCATAGTCAAGTTGGTAAATCTGCAACAGAAATCTCCAGGCTTTGGGAGTTGTGCATGACAAGTTCCCATCTGCAGTGTAATACGGGAGGCCGCATGAGAGAGCCATTTTCTGATCCTGTCTACAGCATTGCAAATGTTAGGACACGATTGCAAGTACGTTTCATGGAGATGCGCATTACAAATGTTCCTGTCATTGCGCATTTGCATAACAGCTCTTGGGTGGGGACGTTTTTACATAGGATACCGTGCGGCGTTTAATTACGTCGCGGAGAAGATTTTGGAGCAGGCCGAGAGAATCGAGGACTGGCTGGCGGGATTCGGGGAAGACCTAGGGGAGAAGTTGGTGAACATGTTCCTCGAGCGGGTTCCGTGTCTGAACCTCGTGGATTATCAAATGTGATTTATCTCTGGGTCTGGCAGAAGGCTAATGTTTGTGATGCACCACATTTATTTCCATGGCCCACGGCCACGCCCAGCCGCAGCCCCATAAGTAGCTCTGTGATGCAGGTCCTAGGAGGTGATGCTTTCGCTTTGCTGTGCCTGTTCTGCGTGAGAAATTTTGTTTCAGTGCGGCCAAAAATACACAGCGTTAGTTACTCACGCAAGACAAATTTTTGTGTTGTCGAGAGGACGCATCACAGACTTGCACTCTACTTCCAGACCCAGGCATACTCGCAATGCATATGGATCAGATGGAGGAGTGGATCTTGGGTCAGGCGGAAATGGACGACATGACCGAGGCGGCGCTGACGAAGGAGAAGGAGGATGCAGAGGAGGATGATGCAAATCTTGACGACAGCGCTCCTGCGGGTAGCACAACTACAGCAGAGGAATATGATGACTATGATGACGATACAACGGACGATGATCACGACAACGTCTTTGTAGCTGAAGAAGAAGATGATGACGACGAGGACCAAAACTTCTCTACTTCCGGCTTTGTTCAAAAGCGGATGCAAATGGACCGGTTTTTGCGCGGTATCCAAGACGACGTGGTAGGTGGACACCAAAAGCAAGGAGAAGAACACTTCGACGATGAGACCGGCCCTAACGACGACGACGACGAAGCGTTTGCGAAGGACATCGTGTCGGTCAAGTTGCTGCGTCGCTTGAATGTGCATGCTGGAACAACTAATGTTGCTGACCTGCAAGAACACGACTACAACCTCGATGTTGGCTTTATTTCCACCAACAACCTGACCCTGCTCGAGACGTCGTCAAGGTCGTACACCGCAGCACTCGTCACTGAAACAAGCAAATTCCAGATGAAACAGAAGATGAATCTGGACACGTTTTTCGCCAAGTTCAACGAGGTGAAAGAGCACATCGTCAGTGAAATCGGGAGCAAACTACCGGAATTCGTTGACAAAGTGTCGGAACTTGTGCAAAGCACCTTCCAGGCCCCGTTGAAGACCCTACTGAGCAACAACATTCTCGCCAGTATGATTGCGATGCTCGGGAAGGGCTTTTGCCGGATCGTGGTGATGGCGTTTCAAGCGGCCATGCCCTTTGTCAGCACCGCTGCCACCACCGCGGGGAACACGATGCTTGGGGAAGCCAACATGAAGATGATTACGAGCGCTGCGTCCACGGTGATGCCGTGGCTGATCTCGAATTTCCTGTACGAGGCAACCCCGATTCACAACGCGTTGAAAATATGCATTGCAAATATGTCTGGGTCTGGAAGAGTGCAACTTGTGATGCTGCATTTGGATGCTGAAAAAAATCTGTATTGCATGAGGAGCAAGAGGAGTCAAATTTGGCTACGGGGAGAGGGCATCTGTCATGCGGGATGCGCATCGATAAGCGCTGAAAAAACCTGTGATGCGAGAGCATACATCACAGACATCATGGATCATGGAAAATGTGCATAACAAACAGACATATTTGCATTCGATAGAAAATGCTCGTTGACAAGCTGCTCGCGGACGAAACGATCAAGGGCATTTTTGACGCGGTCGCCGAAGTATGAGAGTGCACAACTCCCCCTCCCCCTGATTCGTATTGCATGAGCAGCAATAGAAACACCAGCGCACATGGAGCCTGCTGCGCATGACAAGCTCATGCGCGTCATGTAGTACTGTTTAGGCTTTTAGAATCTGTCATGCATAATAGTAACGCAAGGGAGCACTTGGATACTCATGGGATTTTGCATGAGAAATGAAAACGAGGGGGAGTTGTGCACTGTTATACGAAGTGATGGAGAAGCTGAAGGGCATTGGCGCGTTTTCCCTGTTTACCGACGCGTTAGAACAGGCTTGGAACTCGATTAAGTCGAAGTTGACCGGGGCAGATTTGCCGAGCGAAGAGGTGACAAATGAGGTCGAGAAGGAACACGAAAATGCGCTGAGTGCCCTGATATGAAGTGCAAAAGTATCGTACTGGTAGAAGCAAAGCGCATGACAAATTTTCTGAGCGTGAGAAATGAGCTTGGTAATGCGGATTTACCTCAAGGAGGAGATCGAGATTCAGATTTGCATTTGTAATGCATGACTTCGATTATTAAGTACTAGCACTAGGAGTGCGATACTTTTGCCATGCATACCTGACCTTCACCAAAGAAGACCTAATCGAGGAGGAGCTCGCGACCGAGTGCCCCAGCGGCTACGAGCCGCTGGCGGATTCCGACGAGTGCGTTATCAAATGCAAAGAAATATGTCTTGGTCTGGAAATTTGTGATGCTGGGTGGCGTATCATGAGGAGGCCACAAGTGGGCTGGCCCAGCATGACAAGTTTCTGAGCTTCTTTGGTGTTGCCTATTCTGCATGGCAAACTGCGTCTCTGCATGACAGAAGAGTGGGGCTCTTGGGTAACGAGCATGACAGATTTCAGAGTCATGCCAGACAAGCATGACAAACTTGCATTCTTCCAGACCCAGACATATTTGCATTTGATATGCGTGGCGGCGATGCGACTGCTCTACCCCCCGGATCTGACGCTCGCGGAGTCGGAGCGCAAACCGTGGAACCAAGTGGGTTTGAGCAAAGCGGAGAAAATTGCCGTCATCAGCGAGAGGAACGTACCTCTCGGGTGCTTGAAAAAGTGGGACATGGTGAAGCGTGAGTACACGCTGGAATACAATCGAGAGGAGGAGGATGACGTTGCCGCGGGAAGGCATTTGCAGAAAGTGAATCTGATTTGTGTTAAGGTTTAAAGATCATCATGACGTTCGCGATTAAGAAGCATTATTTTCTTTCACTCAAGAACGAGAACTACATTGTACATTCACATTCAAGAAGTGGGGTCTGTTTCCTAGTTTTCAGAAATTTTATTGCATCCGTTGTTTTGAGTTTATCCTTATTTTTTGTAAAAGATTGAGATGTACAATTATCAGTATCAACATAAAGTTATTTGCGTTTCGCTTTCGGATTTTTGATCAATTTGCACAGCTTGCTATTTAAGTACATGATTTTCAGTTTCAACACTATACCACATTTTTGTTCATTCATCACTTTCCCTTATTTTCGAGGCTTTCCTTTTTAGCAAGAATTACACCACATCTTCATTTTCAAAATTTTTTGTTGTAACAGTTGCAGTTGGGTTTTCTTTCTTCTCTTTCTTTTTTATATCGCACAACGTACTTTCGCTTTATTTCAGACAAGCTTTTTTGGGAAACAATTGTACGTATCAACTTTCACATAAAACATTTTAGCACGAAGAAGCGACGTAGCCGCGAGCCCATCGCTGGTTCTTCGTGAGTGCCGCCGTCACGGAGGCCGCGCCAGCAGTTTTTGTTGAAACGAGAAGAATAGAGAGAAGCAATTCTCTTTGCACAGCATCTATCATGCGAGCGGATTGGCATTGTGATTTTCATTTTGGTTTTGCTAGATCTTCCTACAACTTGAGAGGATTTTTATCGAACGGAGCGCTTGCATTAAGTACTCAGTAAGATGAGCTGCTTTTGACGAGAGATGAATTGAGGCACAACTACTCCCACATGGAGTGGGTCACTTAGCCGGGCGACGTTAATGTCATGAGAGAGGCATGCGCATCCAGATTCATCTCATGCCGAATCAAAAATAGAACTACACCATGTAGGCGCCGACCGGATGAACAACAGCTTCTACACGACGTAGAAGCTACAACGACGGAGGATCCCGCGGAGCAGGAGCATAGTGCCCCAAGAATACTAGAAGAGCGGGACTAGTAGAACCACTTTCCTGCTGAACGAGACGAGGACAACGAACCACAACCACAACCACGACGAAGGCCTTCTCTACTTCCGCCGTGGTACTTACGACCAAAAATGTCTGCGGCTGCGGAAAACGTGCAAGTGGTGGTCCGGCTCCGGCCGGACGAAGAAAATTACGCCGACGGCTACGACTTATGCATTGCAAAAGTATTAACGTACGAAGTGGAACTTGCATGCCAAATTTTCTTTACCATAAAAATCCAAAGCTGGTGCCCTGCAACACTGCCATTTCATCCACCTGGAGGTAAGGTTACTTTTGCACAGCATACGACCCCAGCATCTACCACTTCGAGATCGACAAACCGCATGTGTTGACCATCAGAGATCCCCTCTCCAAAGGCAGATCGGACCACACGTTTGTGTACAGCAAAATCCTCCTATGAAAGTGCACAACTCCCCTTCCCCCTCATTTGTCATGCGAAATTCCAAATCCACCCTTCGCCTGTTAGCACTGTTTGCATGACAGACTCAAAATCCAAAACAGGAGCACTACAATCCTCTAGAAATTTGTCATGCAAGAGCTGCATCTTTGGTAGCGCTTGTGTTGCTGTTCATGCAACACAAATGAGGGGGAGGGGGTGTTGTGCACTCTGATACCCCCTCCCCGATGACAAACAGGAGAAAACTTTCACCGAAATCGCGAAGCTATGGATTGCAAATATCGATCTGGGTCTGGAAGAGCCAAAGAACTTGTGATGCTGCATTTGGATGCTAAAAAGATCTGTATTGCATGAGCAGCAAGAAGAGTCAAATTTGGCTACGCGGAGAGGGCACTTGTCATGCAAGACGTCGCGCATCGCGCTCAAAAAATCTGTGATGTTATTGCATACGTCAGAGAAATCACGGATCATGGAAAACGTGCATGACAAACTTCTCCTCTTCCAGACCCAGACATTTTTACATTTGAAAGAAGCCGCTGGTAAACCACACGATGCTGGGGTTCAACTCGTGTTGTTTCGCCTACGGGCAAACGGGCAGTGGGAAAACCTACTCCATTTTTGGCGAGGGCAACAACGAAGCGCGGGGGATTTTACCTAGGGCGGTGGAATATTTGTTTGAAAGGATAGAGGAGAACTCCGGCCGCAAGGAGATCGGCATGGTGTGCTCGTTTTTGGAAGTGTATCTGGACCAGATCCGCGATTTGGGACGAGCGTATTTGGCGGATAGACACAAACAAGGGAAGGACATCGTGGAAGGCGGGGGCGGTTCGAGTAGCTCCACTGCGAATGCAGGGTTCGGGGGAGGGAGTATACGGACGGGGGGAGCGAGTAGAGATTCTTTAATTGATGTGTCTCCTGTCATGCTCATGCACGATGCGGATGCTGCATGTATCAAAGTGGTTTGTCATGCGGAATAAGTCACAAGACCAACCACGAAAAAATCAAAATCAGGTCGCCGCCCCACCAGCGCCTCCAGCACGCGTGGCACCACCGTCCAGCGAGCGAACTCCAACTCCCGCCCGAGTTCTGCCCACGGCGCGGGAGGCGGCGGAACAATACCCGACCCCTTCGGGATAGCAAACATAGGGAACAACCCGGGGGCCTTGTTGCAGAACTGGCACCAACAGGACTTAGAGATACACGAGACGCCGGAGGGACAGGTGTTTGTCAAAGATCTAACACTCGTCCCGGTCCGGACGATACAGGAAGTCATAGACGTGGTCAACTTAGGCCTGCAACTACGGGAGACCCACGGGACGAGCATGAACGCGGTCAGTAGCCGAAGTCACACGGTGAGCAGGGAGATGTGATTTGTGTTGCTAAGATTGCATATGCGTTGAAGTTTGTGATGCATAGTTTCGTTCACATGCTCCAAAAAATAAAACTACCTCTTTTTATCAGGTTTTCACCATCAACGTTGTCCAGAAAGAGCGCCGCGCGGCCGATTCCGACGTGATATCGGGCATGATAAACCTCGTTGACCTCGCCGGGTCAGAGAGAATAGCGCGGTCAAAGTCTGAGGGCAGTAGGTTTCAGGAAGCCGTGATGATAAACTCCTCTCTATCCGCACTCGGGAGGGTGTATCGCAAGAAAAACGTGTTACAGTTACACATTGTGTTGCAGGCCAAGCAAGACAGACAAGCTCTGTCATGCCGGATATGCATAGGATCCTCGTTTCGTAGTTGTTTTCCCGTAGGATTTCTGCATCACAAGTTTTCTCTCTCATGTAGAGAAATTTGTGTTGCTGAATTCACTACAAATGTGTAACTATAACACTTTTTTTCGTGGGATAGGGTGGTGCTAGCGCTGAGTACAGATCCGAAGGAGGCAAAGTACTTTGTGTTTTTATATGATATATAATAGCGCGTTATATAACACAGATGTGAGATGACACAGATGCCACAGATGACACAGATGACGAACATTAGAAGCGCAAAGCAGTTGCAATCTTGGCGGCATCTGTGCACAGATGACGAACATCGCGCACACCGAAATAGAAACCGCGGACGCCCTACGTCGCCCATTTGCATTGATGGCGCAAAAGATGGAGGGGGGGGCGTGAGCAACTCGGCGAAGCCGTTTTTCAAATTCGCCCAAAGGAAGCTGAAGCGCTAGCGGGGTCTGCTAGTAAAGGCACCGCGGCCAAAATCTGCATTGCCTCGGGGCGAGCGCCTGCGTTTGCGCTTCGTCCCAAATCTTTTCGAGATTGTGCTCGGACTAAGCACCCAGCAGGGAAGCATGCTTACGCTTTAACGGACAGCTCCACCCTGGCACGGGGCTGGCGCTCTTATTCGTAGCGTAAGCTCTTCTTCTGTGGCCAGATGGTCAGTAGTCGTGACACCATCGAGAAGTGTGCCGCGGCATTGCGCCGCTATGGTTGCCGTCAGCACAGTGCTCCTTGCGGGAGATGGGGGTCACGGCATCTGTGCCTTTTGTGTCGCCAATTTTGCATGAACCCAAAAAGCCGGCATCTGTGTCATCCGGGCATCTGTGTCCGTGGCATCTGTGTGGGACCACCCTTATATAACACGCTAATATAAGATTTCGATTTGGTGTGCGCGTGCAGTGCTGTTTTTTGATGATGCTTTTCATGCGTGCAGTACTTCTATGGCTCGTGCGACGTAATGCCGCCCCGGTAATGAATGCTATTCTTGGAGAAGTGCCTGACTGACTCGTCCCTTGCTGTAAAAATAAAGGTAATCAACTCAGGTTCATTCCCTATCGCGATTCAAAGCTGACAAGGATACTCCAAGGATCTCTGGGTGGCAACAGTTTCACAACCTTACTCGCGTTATGGATTGCAAATATGTCTGGGTCTGGGAGGTGGCTACTTGTCATGGTAAATCTGAAGCATGCAAAAATCTGTGTTGCATGAGTGCCAAAAGCTGTCCACTTTTGACCAAGTTGGGAGGGAGTTTCTCATGCAGGATAGGCATGGTAGGGACCTCACAGAGTCTGTCATGCTAAGTCCCGCATTCCAGATCTCATAGGTCATGGAAAATCTGCATGACAAGTTTCCACTCTTCCAGACCCAGACATTTTTGCGCTTGAAACGCGTGTGTGCACCCCGGAGCAGACAACTATGAGGAGTCGGTATAATTGATGTAGAATGATGAAGTGGTTTCCTCGGAGAAGATGTTCCTGATCGCGCTTTGTCAGCATGCGAAATCAACTTTGTCATGCGGGTATGCGCAATACAATAATACAATATTCAGGTAAACACCCTGATGTTTGCCGACCGGTGTCGCTACATGGAAAACAAGCCGGTTGTCAACTACCTCTCCGACCCAGCAGGGAAATCGAACGACCGCAAGGTAAAAAGGTTGCTGGCGGAAATCGCGGACCTGAAATCCCAACTCGACATCAGCAAAGCCACCAACGAGCATATGCAATACAAATTTTCCGCGCATGTACAAAAAAATGCATCACAAATTCCGCTAATTTGGAAGATCAAAAATTTGTCCTGCTGACTACAGACTAGAGGCAACTTTTGTTTTGCAGAAACAGCATTTTTACTTGTCCGGGAAAAAAGTTACTGTGGATAGATAAGCGAGCGGCGTTTGTGAACGAGCAATTGGGCACGGGCGGGATGCCCGACTACCTGAAAGGCCTTGCTTCCGAAGCCGACGCGACGAAGAAAGCGAAGCAAGATTTAGAGAACGCACAAAGACTCGCGGCACAGAAGCTGGCCGAAGAGAAGGCGAAGGCGGAGGCCGCGGAAAAGAAGGCCCAAGAGGCTCTGAACGCGTTTGGGAATGCGAGGAAAGAGATGCAGGAAAGGGATGAGAAAAGGAGAAGGGAAATGTATTACAATGAAAAATGCCCCCGCCCCGGAACTTGGCAGCATTTGTATTCCCAACCTTTCTAATGGAAACATTTCCCGTCTTGCATATATCAGCATCACAAATTTTCCATGCTGAATAGCTCAAGTCTATGTTGCAGAGGAGCCCAACAGTAGCCAAATCTGTTATGCAAAAGATACCTTGCGCACCTAGGGTCTGCATCAGAAAGGCTCAACATAGTCCTTTCAAGCAAGACAAAAAGCGTTCATTTGGAAACTTTGCATGACAAGCTTTAGCAAACTCCGGGGCGGGGGCAGTTTTCATTGTAATAAAATGCTGGAGATGCGGGATAAAATGCTGGCAATGGAGAAGGAGCTGGACCAACAAAAGAAGAACTACGAGAAACTGATTGCAGAGGTAGTTTTAGAAGTTAGACTTGTTTAGCAGCTGCTTTGTGTCATGCGCAACATGCAGTACGATGATAAAGTTTGTCTTGCAAGAACTGCAAAAGCAAATGCGCATCAATTATCAGACCGCCGCCCAGAACAAGGAAGAGTTGGAGCATTGGAAGGATCAGGTGAAAAAGCTGATCAACACTAAGGACGACCTAATCATGCGCGTTCCCGACTTGCTAAAAGACTCTGCACTGCTCCTCGAGACGAAGCAGCAGACGTGGAAAGATCAGAACAAGGCACTGCATATGCATCGGAAATGTGTCTGGGTCTGGAAGGTTGCAACAACTTGTCATGCTAGATCTGAATCATGCAAAAAATCTGTGTTGCGTGATTACTAACAGCCGTCCTTTTTTACCAAGTTGAGAGGCAATTTCTCATGCAGGATAGGCATGATAGAGATCTCACAGAGTTTGTCATGCTAGGTGCTGCATTCCAGCCCTCATGGGTCATGGAAAACCTGCGTCGCAAAGTTGCCAACATGCTTCCAGACCCAGATCGATATTTGCATTTGATACTGCACGACAGGCACAAGCACCAGCTGCACGCGTTGAAGGATTCCCACGAGAGCGAGGCAACAAGTATCCTGTGCAAAAGTATCGTACTCGTAGTGATTGCATTTATGCATTGCAAATCCCTTTCTTAAGCTGAAACAGCATGACAAAGCCCATTTGTAATGCTGAGCTAATTTGTATTGCAAAACTACGAGCTCGAGCACGATGCTTTTGCAATTGATAACCAGTATCGTGAAGCAATACAAGTACTTTCTGCAGGAGAAGGAGAATGAAACAGAGGAGTTGGTAAAGTCTTTCAACGAATACTACGAGAAGAAAAAGCGGGAACAGGCGGAATATGAAGAGGAAATGCTGGCGTTATACGAGTTGATCCAGCAACTCTCCAGAATTTGTCACGACATGGAGACCGGGCAATACCCTGTGTGTTACCGATTAGGATTTATCAAATGCAAAAATGTCTGGGTCTGGAACAAAGCAACTTGTCATGCTATATCTGAATCATGTAAAAATCTGTGTTGCAGCATGATCACCAAAAGCTGTCCACTTTTGACCTAATCGAGAGGCAGTTTCTTATGCAGGATAGGCATGATAGAACTCTCACGGGATCTGTCATGCGGTGTCCTACATACCAGACCTCATGGGTCATGGAAAACCTGCATGACAAGTCTGGCACTCTTCCAGACCCAGACATTTTTGCAGTTGATAGGCTTACGGTGTGTGCAAGTCCCGCCCGGCGTGAAACCGACCTTGCCGTCGAAGGTCCAGAAGGGAGTTGGTGGAAACAACAAATTCGAAAAATTGTTCTCCGCGATAGCATATCCTTTGCAAAAGTATCGTACTCGTCGTACTAGTCGCAGTCACGCAAGACAAACTTCTTTTTCAAGCTATAATGAACATGAGAAATTCTATTTGTCATGTTGAGCTTAAATTTGTATTGCAATACTACGAGAACGAGAAGTGCGATACTTTTGCATTGCATATAGCAGAGACGAAGAGGAAAGCGGACAAGTACGAGAAAATGATGAATTTACGAGGCTTGCAGGAACCAGCAGACGCGAGCAAGCTGACAAACGGTATAAAGATGTTACTAAAATTTTTGTGGCGGTCACACGATTTTGGTTCGTTTCTGAGTCTATCGCATCATTAATCTATCGCATGATCTGAGCATTTTTTCGTGCAGAAGTGAATCGCATGCAAAATAAGTGGACCATGCGTATGAAAAATTGCTGCCCTTGAAGATATGTTCGAAAAAATCCTGTCAGAACCAACTACCGCCGCGAACCAGCCGGACCACAGCACGTCAATGGAAAGCCCATCGAATAACGACATTCTGTCCAACTGGGACCCAAGAAAATTCACCTCGGATTTCTGCCGAAGTGCGGAGGAAGACAACGTCGACGTGTTGCGGGTGCTGAACATCGACCAGTTGAAGGCTTTATGCGTGTGCCTGAAAAACCGGGCCAACACCGAATTCGACATCCAGGCGGAGAAGCAGGTGGTGCGGGACGAGGTGATATTGCAAGGAAAAATCCCCCCTCCCCATATTGAAACCGCGCCCTTCTGAAAATTTGTAATGCAGATCTGTGACCACAAATCGGGTCTGTCTTGCAAGATGGCGCGCTTAGGCTGTCCGCCACGTTATGCAGGCGATTTGTATTGCTGTAAGGCCTACAGGGTAGCCGTCTACCATGTAGCTAGGCGCCTACGCCAAAAGGCCCGCGCCTAGGCTCAGGATTTGCGTGCATTCCTCGACTGCAGCACAGATTTGATTTGTGTGTCCAAATCCAGCATCAGAAATTTCGTTTTGATATAGGGAGGAGGGATTTTTCGTGTTGATAGGTGATGCGGGATCTGTCGTCTCATCCAACGGTGGAATATAACCTGCTCTGGTGTTACAATCTCAAACGTGACAAGAAAATCTGGAATTTGTGTTGCAAAATGCGCAACATCTAGCCTACTCCCAAAGGAGCGCGCGTGACAAGTTTCGAAGCCCCAAACCCAATGGGAATCTGACGACATTTGTATTGCGAAAAGCCCAAGTCTCCGTATGGTTTTCATGCTGTTCATGCAAGACAAATTCCAGATTCTATAGTAACGTTTGAGATTGTAACATCTGAGCAAGCCATATGCAGTACCTACGGTTTTTGGAGACGGAAGTGGACTCGTACAAGCAAAAACTGGCGGACGAGACACTGTATCCTGTGCAAATAAAGTACTATGATCGTGCCGCTCGTAATCAATGACCGCAAGGTTGCATGACAAAAGTCGGGCTTTCTACTATACCTGAATTTTTATGATCCGCATGAGAAAATCCATTTTATCTCTTTCTTCAGAATAAAGTTGTGATGCAATTGTGCCTACTACCGTCACTGTTGTACTAGTACTTTTGCAATGCATACACCGAAAACGAGGAATTTGAAGGTCGCTCTGTCCAGCTCGCACATCAGCCGGGATGTGCCCTTGGGGAACTGAGGCAAAGACCGGGAACTGAAGACAAGAACGGTTGTTCGTGGGGGCGGCGGGGTTTGGTCTCGAAAACGAGAGACCAGCGTGAGCTGCTGCTGGCGCTTTTGCAGTTCCTCTACCGTCCAGCACCAGAAGTCGCGCACGTGTTGATTGTTCTTGGTGAGCCTGAAAAACTCGAATGCAACAGAAGTTTTTCTGTGGAAGCAACATAGGACAGGAAGCTGGTGCACTTCATCGGTTTCCCAAAGAACGATAAGAATACGAAGAAATTTTATGAAACCTGCAACCTAGTAGAGCAAAATGATTCAGATGAAAAACAAACCATTTCCCTAATGTAGGAGAGCAAAATGATGATGATCTACTTTCAAACACCAAATTAGTTCAAATTAGAGTACACAACTTATTTGCATATGGATCCACGCGGGGCTTTTTCCATCGAATTGCTCTGTATACAAGATGGAACCCATCGTGCTGGCGACAAATGTCAAATGAAATCAAAGATCTTCAGCAAGTCGTCCACCACAATCCAGATGTAAATCAAGTCGAGTACTATCGTTGAAACAAAAGGAAGATCTCGTCTCAACGCAAAAATAATGCCCGTAAATGCACGCACCCAAATGAACAATGGAACAGAAATGGCACTATCTCTGCCATGCATGTTGATGTGTAAAAACAAGGAATTACTTTGATTTTTCTAAAATGCAACAGGAACAACGACAGCGCCGATTAGATTGATTTCTCAGTCGAAAGGCTCAATGGATGTAAAAATCGTACAAGCAAGCGCGAAGTGATTGTGTTCCGTACAACGTCGACCAAATAGTGATGAGTATGGTCAGCCTTTTGTAGTAGCTGCACACTATTGAGAAGATCTCTTGTCGAGTTGCCTCCCAAGATTGCCTTTTATTTTTCGCTCCAATACTACGGCATCTGAATCTGATCTGTAACTGTAAGTACGGTTATTTTCATCCATTTTAGCGCTCATTTGAAAAAAATTCGTTTGGATGATCGCGACAATCAAGATGACCTTTTGACTCATTGTTTCTTCGTGTTTGCCACTACTTTCAGAAGTCCGAGTTCTTTTCAAGAAGCCACCGCTATTTTTTTTATCCTCCCGTAGTTTCTTCAGCACCGAAAATACGAGCTGCTCTTCACGTTTTAGCAATATTACAACATTTGACAACAACTAGAACTTGATAAAGATTAACAAGACCGCCACCGCGACCTGCTACCACTTCGACGAACGATTGCCCATCATGGCCAGTACAATTTCGTCTTCGTACCCGGGTCGCCTTCGTCTGCCTGTGAACCAGCGCAGCCCCTCGGCCGGCACGCTGGCAGGCGGCCAGCCCGCCCGGGTGGAGGGGCAGATGTGTCGCCGGGGCGCGCCATGCCCGTCGGAAAGCGGAAAGCGGCCGCCCCCCGGCACAGGCAAGGGGGCGGGCTGGCGTTGCTTGCCCAGGCAGAAGGCGGGGGGCTGGGGCGTGGGCAATCTTTGTTGGGCCGTCGCCTGCCAACAGCGAAAGGGGGTGAGAAGGATAGCGGACAGGGCGGCAGGCCGGGAGCACTCCTGCAAAGGGGTGGGGGCGCAGGGGGTGTGGGGCCGGCGATAGCCCGGACGTGCGAGCGGGCGCGCAGGGCCGGGGGTGCCCGCGATCATTCAATCTCCCCTAGCCTTGGTTTGCGCCTTGTGTTTGGTCGCCCCCCCTGGCACCGGGGAAAATATTTTCCCCGGTGGAGCGCTGCTCGTGTTTTACCTCGGCGGCGCCACCATCGGGGAAAATATTTTCCACGGTGGTGCGCTGTGGTCTTTCTTTTGTGTGTGCGTGCGAGAACCGCCGGAGGCCCCGCACCGGGCGGCCGCCACGGGCGCTGGAGGCGGGGGGGACTGGCACGTCGAACGATGGGGCGTGGCAGCGTCCTCCCGTGGCGGCCGCCCCGGCCGCCCAGGCGGCGGGCATGCAAGCTAGCATCTGCGGCGCCCGTGTCTGTGGGTTTATTTTGAACATTGTGATGGTGCCGGTGCTTATGAGGCCGCGCCGCCCGGGGCCGCCGTACCTACGGCGCCAGGCGTAGAACAGCAATCGGCTGCCGCGGTCGCGCCCTTGGTGCGGCGCCAGGGCTAAGGGGGGCACGAGGTGCAGCGCTATGCGCAACTAGGGCAGGCGGCTCGGGCGTCAAAAAGCGCGACGGCCGTGTCGCGTGTCGTATTTCTCTCGGGCGCCACCAGTCCGGCTGCCGGTGCGGCCATGGTGCCACACATTCAGGCTGTGGGTTTGGTGGCGGGATTGAGGGCGGTTTAGGAGGGGAGGTGGCGCGCGCGCGATGGTGATGCGTGGCCGTGTTGCCGGGGGCAAAGCGAAAAAATTACATGCAAAACGCGCTTGGTATCTGTTGACTTTGTTCTTGTATTCCTTTGCGCTATTTCCGGAAAAACAACACCTACATACCACTTCGGCGAACGATTGCCCATCATGGCCAGTACAATTACGCAGAAACAAGGCGGAAAAATTCTTGCCGCTCCACCTGCCATGTCCAACCCTTTTCTGCCTGCGACAAGGACAACCACGACCGGCAAGAGCGTCACTAAAACGGCGGGTAGTTCCACCACCAACACCATCTCCGGTGACATGGCCAGTCTGTTTCGGAAAAACCACGAGAAGAACAAGAAAAAGTTAGTTGTGTTGCCCGGAAGACAGGCCTTGCCGAATTACGCGGAAAAGCAAAAGAAACTGTTCGGCGGAGGTAGTGGAACTACTGGTACTGCGGGGGTCGTGTCCTCGGCGATGAATCTCAAAAACACGACCGCGCCTTCTGGCAAGGACAATTTGCACAGCAAGTTGAGCGACAATCCGTTTCACCAGCGGCTGCTGGCCCAGCAGGCGCAGCAGGCACAGCAGGCACAGCAGGCACAGCGACAGCAAAGCGGAACAAGCGGAGCAATGAACAGTAAGACCCAGCAAAAGCAGCTCTTCTCGGGCGGGCAAACTGCTGTTGGCGGAGGTGCACAAGGTGGTTTGTTGCAAAAAATCACATCGACTTTGCAGAAGAGCAAGGAAATGAAGCAAGTAAACCCCGCGATGAAAATCATGCCAACGCAAAGGACGGCGAAGGAGCAGAAGATGGGCTGGGGCAACATGAAGTTCGGCGACAAAATCGGCGCTCCCCCGGGGAAGAAGGATATTAAGAGTGGTGGGGATCATGGAGGTTCTCCAAGGCAGCAGGAAGGGAACGCCGGGACTAAAAATGGCGTGAATAATAAAGCGCAGAACAACAAACGTGGCGCTGCGACGGGCGGGACTGGCGATCATGCAGGAGATAATGGGCAGAGTGGTAGTAAAAAGCAGAAGAAAATTTACGGTACGCAGAGAATTCCTGGTCTGGAGCCCCAAGATGGGACGAGCAATAATGTTAAGCGTACTATGCCGCCCCCGCCCCCGCCAATGAAGTCTATGCCCCCGCCCATGAAGTCAATGATTAATGCGCCTTTGTTGAAAAAACTCCCCGAACAAGCCATGAAACAAAAAGGAGCAGCTTCTTTGTTCACCGCAGCTCCTACTTCGAACAAGAATTCATCTCCGACGTCCAAAAACCTCCCCGCATCAACTGCGCCGCCGCCCTTGGTTCCGCTGCCGAAGGGGGTGAAGTTGGGCTCTGCTCTTTCTTCGCCGATCCGGGCGCCGAAACACGAAGATGGCGCGACTGAAGAGATGATTGTGGACGTCGGTGATGATGTTGGTACTGCAACTACTCCCGATGGTAGTACAACCGTTCCGACCAACAACCCATTTCTCCAACCAGATCCGCTCATGGCCCTACTGGGGTTTGAAGATCATGCGGTGAATGATAATAAACCCACAACAAGCGCCGGCGGAGGTGCACCGGCGGCGACCAGCACGACTGGTCCATCGAAGATGAATATCAAGAGTAACAACACCGTTGGCAACAGCACAACTAAAGCCACTGATAATTCTACTGCTAGTACAACACAGACGACCGGGACGACCCACAAGCTCCGGCCCCTGCCCCAGTCTGTGCAAGCCGGGGCTCTGATTGAAACGCCGAAAGCGAAGCCGGCCGTGCTGGCGTCTACTGTGGCGTTAAACAATCCGTTTGCGACTAGTCTGGACGTCGGGAGTTTATTTTCGGGTGTGACGAAGGCGAGTACGAGCGGCGCCGGAACTTCTACCACCGGTGGAAACAACATTGCCGCGAATAAAAAAGTGATGAAGTCGAATAATAAGAACAAGAATGGTGCGATGATCTCCCAAGGACATAACGGAGCTTTACCTGCTGGGAATTATGGGAGTAGAATATGCTCCGCGTAGCCGATTCTTGCTCTTCAATCTCAACACGTTTTTAATATTTTTCAGCCTGCTTGTGTGGACGAAGTAGAAGTACATCATTATGTCAAAGTGCAAGACCTGCTACATTTTTTTTTGGCCTTGTGTCGATCCTGCAGATGCATGAAGAACACGGCGCTGCCGTTACCAGCTGTAAGAAAGATTGTCAGCAGTTGCATCTTGCAAAACGATCAATCTGGTGGCCTAGTACCAGCAGTTGTGCTCCTAGAATAAGAACGGCATCACTACAGGCAGAAAAAATATCGTAAAACAAAAGTTGCGACGATCGAAGTTGTTTTTCCTCTCCACACCCCCCTCCAACCACTTCCCTCTTCCCGTCGCGAGGATCTTAACTTGCTGCCTGCTTGGCATATGCATTGCAAATATGTCTGGGTCTGGGAGGATCCAAACTTGTCATGCTATTTTTGGACTCTAAAAAAATCTGTGTTGCATGGCCAGCAATTGGACTCCAGTTTTTGCCACTCGGACAGGGCATTTATCATGCAGGATAGGCATCAAGAAGCACTCAGAAAATCTGTGATGCTAACATACATCACAGACGTCATGGGACATGTAAGGCGTGCATGACAAATCGCACATTCTTCCAGACCCAGACACTTTTGCAGTTCATATGGCAGAAAACGAAACTATCGAAAGCGTTAGCATATCTGCTCCGGCACGGGAAGGACAGCGATATTGTGCTCGACAGCGACGTATGAACTGCAAATGTGTCTGGGTCTGGAAGCCTGTAAACTTGTCATGCACGTTTTCCATGACTCCTGAGGTCTGGAATGCGGATCCTAGCATGACAGAGTCTGCGAGGTCTCTGTCATGCCCATCCTGCATGAGCAACTCCCCCCCAACTTGGTCGAAAGTGGACAGCTTTTGGTACTCATGCAAGACAGATATTTGCATGCTTCGGATTTAGCATGACAAGTTGCAATCTTGCAGACCCAGACATATTTGCAATCCATACGACGGTTTTGCGGAAGCGACAGACGTATTAGAAACGAAAGAGTTTAAGAAGACATTGGGTTTGAATAACGACGACGAGAAAAATAATATGGCGAAACAAGGAAAAAAGACGAAGGCAAACAAAGGTAGTTGTACCAGTAAGATGAATTCTCACCAGGCTAGGGGTAGTGCGGGCAGTGACTTCGGCCTTCGGGTGTTGCGGCACTTGGTAGAAGCAGACAACAAGGGCAGGTTTTTGATCAAGGAACTACATGAGACTGATTTTAGCACCTCCGGCGACAGCACTCCTTCCTTCAAAATCCGCGCCAACCAGGGCCACAGCGAACAGTATCAAATGTAAAAATGTCTGGGTCTGGAAATTTGTGATGCTGTGTGGCATATCATGAGGAGGCCACAATTACTGGCTCAGCATGACAAGTTTCTGAGCTTCTAGGTGTTGCCTATTCTGCATGACAAACTACGTTTCTGCATGACAGAAAAGTGGGGCTCTTTCGTAATGTGCGTGACAGATTTAAGAGTCATGCCAGACAAGCATGACAAACTTGCATTTTTCAAGACCCAGACATTTTTGCAATTGATAAGCAGCGACAGGTGACGATTACGGATAACCGGCAAATTTTGCCCGATCAAGATGAATTCTCCGGCGAATTTGACACTGTGATCCACGTATGCAATGCAAAAGCATCGCACCAGTATAAATTGCATCACAAATTAGCCCCGCATTGCAAGTTGAATTTGTAATGCTGAGTCACCTTCAGAAAAAGATTTGTAATGCATAAACGCAATCACTACGAATACGATACTTTTGCACAGGATACCACGGCACGACGTTTGCGAATTGGGAGAAAATCAAAGACTCTGGGGAATTGAGAAAAATGAACAGAACGCACATCCACTTTGCGAAAGGGGAACAAGCTTCATCATCTGGCGACGTTGCAAGTAAACAAGCTGTATCGGGAATTCGGAGTAACGCGGAAGTTTTGCTCTACGTCGACATATTCGCCGCGATGCGCGAGACGGAACTGCGAGAGTTAGCGGGAATGAGCACGAGTGGTTCACCTGGAGGTGCGTACTGTGGTCTGAAATTTGAGGAAAGCGCGAACTCTGTAGTTTTGTGTAGCGGTCCGGTGCCCTTGGAGTTTGTGACGAGAGTGGTCGACGCGAAGACTGGGGTGGAGCTGGAGAAGAACGATGTTGTCTCTTCTGCAGGACCACGGGGCGCTGCTAATGAACAAGAGAATCATTATCATAGTAGTATTGCCGCTTCTGCGCAAGAGAAGATGAACATTAAGACCAGCAACAAGCGCGTGGCTCCTTCTCCTGGCGGCACGGATGATGATGAAGGCGATGATGAAACAGGAGCGACCTCCTGCATTGGTCTTGGTGGCAGCAAAAGTCCGGAACTCAAGAAACCAAAATCAGGACAGAATTAAAGATTTTTGCTGTGTGGTGCTCCTGGTGAAAAATAGAAATCTTTGTGAGCTACATCAAACTGATTGCTTCTACTACTAGTAGAAGTGTACCTCTTCATCTAGAACTTCACTTCTACGACAGATTACCTTTACCTATCTGTCTCGCCGTAAAAAACTGAATGTCTCGTCGTCCACCAATTACCAAATCATCGATGACGAGAACAAACCTACTCCGACCAAAAAAAGAATAAATTATATAAAAATCAAAAAGAAAATGCGGCACAAACAAAAGTAGCTGCTGCTTTGGCCCTTTTGCTATGCGACGTGGCTGTGACTGTGCACCACCATAGCATGATCAGCAGGCATTCCATATCTATTCTTTGTGTTCGATAATTTCTGCGTACCTGCCAGGGCGAGAACTTCTCATCAACCCGCTACTAGGACAACGAACCCGAATCCTAAAGTCGCACAAGGAAGAAATAAAAGCAGTAGATCAATTCTATTCTGGATGAAGATTGAGATGCTGGCGCACGAACCAACACAAGAAAAAGCATTCAAGGTATAAAAGCACGAGCGTACTATTGGTGCCTCTACCTGGTGGAAATATCGGCCACCACCGGTTCATCGCATTGAGGCTGCTCACCAGGTGGAGAGGAATTTCTAAAGGAGTGGGCACTGACAGCTCTGTACTGATTGATTCAGTCTCTTGCTTTTGACTTACTTGATTTGAATTTGTGACATGCATGCTTTTTGTTTTTATCGCAGCGACATTTTTTCTGGCCTGCGGGTCAATGAACCTATGCTTCGGTATGACTTCTATTTCCTGCTTGCAATCATGTTCATGGTCACATTCGCAGTCACATTCATTAGATGAGGCGTCCTCTACTACCTTTGCGCATGATTTTTCGTGGTTCTCCTTTACTCTAAACAATGAACCAAGATGGCACAACATGCGGAAGATAGGATGAGCGTACCCTCGGCGCCGTCTCCACGACTGCACGGGGCTAGAAGAGTCAGATAGCACCCGGTCGTGCTGGAGCGTATTACCAAGTACAATACGGAGTGTAAAAATGTCTGGGTCTGGAAGAATGCATGTTTGTCATGCTTATCTGGCATGACTCTCAAATCTGTCATGCACGTTACCCAAGAGCGCCATTTTTCTGTCATTCAGAAACGCAGTGTGTCATGCGGAATAGACAGCACCTAGAAGCTCAGAATCTTGTCATGCTGAGCCAGCACTTGTGGCCTCCTCATGGTACGCCCCCCAGCATCACAAGTTTCCAGACCCAGACATATTTGCACTTGATATACAACCAGCGGCGCGGCTCCCGTCTGCAGGAGAGTCAGTCGTCTTAGGACCGACGTCAGCGCCACGATTAAGATTACATCTGCATCCACAGTAATATCAGCGCGGCGTCGTATAGAAGTAGCGTGCAGATTTTTGCTATAGGACAAACATCGGTGTGCGTGTGCGACCACCTCACAAGGAGCGGATAGGCACAACATCACGCACAGCGACCTCCTGCTCTAAGAACGGGCACAAAAAAAACACAGCACCACAGCCAGACCACATCATGTCTTCTCCAGCAGCTTTCACCTGTGCGGCCTCGCTGTGGTGCGCCGCCGTGGCGTCCATTGCGTACGGACAGTATGAGTTGACCACCGCTGTAGTAGTCATCGTGCTCTCCAGTCTGGCCGCGAAGGCCGTGCTGAACGACCGCAAAAACCGGGACCCGAAAAACCGGAAAGATGAGCGGCCGCTGCCGGAGCAGATCTTCACCTTTATCACCTACGACATGTATGCATTGCAAACGGAACATGTCTGGGTCTGGATAATTTGTGATGCGAGAATTGTAGGACAAGAAGATCTCTGATGCAACATGAATGCGATTTTTGGTTGACTTTTTCTTCGTGCTGGAACGCAGTTTCTCATGCGTTTCATGAATGACTCTGCAATAAACGGTATCCGGGTAGACCAGGGCCCCTGCTCAGACCAGGGCCCCCAGGACCAGGGCCCCCAGGACCAGGGCCCCCAGGACCAGGGCCCCCAGGACCAGGGCCCCCAGGACCAGGGCCCCCAGGACCAGGGCCCCCAGGACCAGGGCCCCCAGGACCACGGCCCCCAGGACCAGGGCCCCTACGGACTGGGGCCCCTACGGACTGAACGGCGTCCCGGAATCGGGTACACGGCGAGGCGCGGCCGGAACCGGAGTTGTCTGCCAGCGTATCTGGGCCACCAAGTATGCATGTCATGTAAGTCCTAGCATCGGGCCAGGAGGTGGAAGAAGGCAGGCCACACGTAATATGTGACGCAGTCTGCTGACTACCCAGAGCATCTCTTTCGCTTTCTATATTCCTCGACACGCGTCACAAGTTCTTAGTAGTGCAGACCCAGATCTATTTACAATGCCACGGGCGCCGTTTGTATTCGAAATGTTGCCCAGCAAAAGCACTGCTTGAGTGGACAGGGATGCAGCTGGCTCAAAGTGGTGCTAACGAGAGACATCTCAAATTGTCACCATGAAAGTCGAGCTGTGCTTTTTTTGTACGTAGAGGGACGCCCCAACTCTTCCAGATCCAGACGCCGGCACACCAGATTCCGGGACGCCAGATTCTGAGACACGACTGGGGTCCCAGTCCGTAGGGGCCCCAGTCCGTAGGGGCCCCAGCCCCTAGGGGCCCTGGTCCTAGGGGCCCTGGCCCTGGGGGCCCGGGTCCTGGGGGCCCTGGTCCTGGGGGCCCTGGTCCCAGGGGCCCTGGTCTACACCTTTACCGCAATAAACCTCGAAAAGTTTCTGATGCTGTCATGTTGTTCAAGCGGCCAGGCTGCAATGCGAGCATCAGCAACACAAATTTCCTGACATCCAGGGATATTTGCAATGCATAACAGGAATGGCCTGCTGATGTTTTCCGGCACCGCGGTTTTCCTCGCCTTCGCAATATCCTGTGCAAGAAAAGTATCTGATACTCGTATTGCAGTCAGGCATTACAAGTCTTTTTCTTAAGGTAAATCCGCATTACAAATTTTATTTCTCATGCTGAGGAAATTTGCAATGCATTTATACGAGTGCGATACAGAGACTTTTGCAGTTCATACGCTAACTTTGTCACCAATTATTTCGTGATTTTCTTCTGGTTTGCCGCCGTAAAGGAGGTCGTGACCATACAGGGGGAAGGGGAGGGAAGAACCGGAGGAGGTGCAGGAGTAGGAGAAGATATTACCGCTGACGGCTTGCTGGACAGTGTCAAAGCTGGGGTGCAATACGACAACTTTCTGGCGGATATTTTCAGGATACCGCTGACGAACACCGGACTCTGTGTGGGCGGCCTGTATGTTGCTGTTTTTCTTCAGGCTACTTTACCTTTCGGTTCAGTATCTACTTTGTTTTTAGCCACACGGCCAAGTACACAATACATTTGAAACAGCTCGTGCTGGTGGACACATGTTGACTAGTACACAATAATCAAACTGGGGGAAATAAATAACACGTATTTACTAGAAATCAAATAAAATTTAGGTATAACTTTCTGTGGTTTCTTTCCCTGTGGTCCCACTGGGCTGCGGCCACAACCGATCCGGGATTTATCGGCAAAGGCGAGTTCGAAGTGGCAGAAAACCACGATCCGAGGTTTTGCAAGGTCTGCCAGCAAGACAAACCCGACCGGGCGCACCACTGCAAAGTGTGTTGCAGGTACAGTGTTGATATGGCTACTTAATAGAGCAGAAGTTTTCATTTCAAAGGGTTGAATAATATTGTTCCTTGATTGAAAATTGAATTTTTAGCACTGCTGCTGCTAGATGACTTTCATGCGGCACAACTGTATTACCTAGCGTACTACAGTGGATATGGCCAACGAAGGATGAATCCCGAGCCTGAAGATGCTGTTTCTAAATTTTTTGCTTTTATTCCCACTCGACCAGGTGTATCTTCCGTATGGACCACCATTGCCCGTGGGTAAATAATTGCGTCGGCTGGAACAACCAAAGACTCTTTGTGCAGTTTCTGTTTTACATCACCAGTCTCTCCGTTTACACGTTGCTGCTGCTCGCCTACGTCCTCTACGCCTACTCTATGCTCCCCCGCGATATCCCCTGGAGCAATTTCGCAGTGTTGTGCGGGGTGCTGCTGTGTGCGGAGTCCTTTTTTTTCCTCTTCTTCGTCGCGGTATTGTTTTTTGAACGATTATTTTTTGATTTTGACGCAGCTCTTCATCTTATTTTCGAATCCATAAGGCTTTTACTTTTTTTACTTATCACACGCAAACGTGGTACAGTACTCCGTGGAAAATGAATTCTTCGCATGTTTTGTGATCATCTATGCACAAAATTATCACAGAAAAGAATCACACAGCACATACTATACAGGACTTCCTTTCCGAGCAGATAGAGGTATCAACTGTAAAAATGTCTGGGTCTGGAAGAATTCATGTTTGTCATGCTTGTCTGGCATGACTCTTAAATCTGTCATGCACGTTACCCAAGAGCTCCATTTTTCTGTGATGCAGAAGCGCAGTTTGTCATGCAGAATAGGCAACACTTAGGAGCTCAGAAACTTGTCATGCTGAGCCAGCATCTGTAGCCTCATCATGAGACGCCACTCAGCGTCACAAGTTTCCAAACCCAGACATTTTTACTTTTGATAAGAGGGCATCGAAACCAACTCCACGCTCGTGGAAACCTACCAGGCGAATATCCTGTGCAAAAGTATCGTACTCGTATAAATGCATTACAAATTGACTTAGCATTACAAATTGAATTTGTAATGCGGATTTGCCTTAACAAAAAGATTTGTAATGCATAAACGCAATGAGGACGAGTGCGATACTTTTGCACAGGATAGCGAAGCGCGGACGACAATTTCCCACTCGGTTTGACAAGTGGGCGGAGGTGTTCGGAAAGCGGTGGTATTTGTGGTGGGTACCCTACAGCAACCCGAACCCGGTCGATCTCTTCGAGCCGGTATACACGGAAGTGGACCGGCATACGGAAGATAATGATATCACACAGATGATGAAAAAGGCTAGCGTGCGCATTTGTAATCATGCTCAAATGTTGAGTACACAACCACAATAAAGCAAATCATCTGTCTTGCACTTGCATACCTGAAACAGCATGCTATGGGTTGTAGCTCGCCCATGACAGACACAGATTTTATTCCTGTCTTATAGTTGATTTTCGCACGATGACAAATGTGACTCGCGAGCAGCTGTTTTGTCTGGGATAAATGAAATAGTTGAACTAGACGAGAAGTAGACCACCCCCCGACGAGATGGAGGACCCAATAGTCCTCACAAGATTTGCAGCCGCCGCCGTACTGCTTTTCTACTTTCAGGTGTCGTTTGGGAACTACGAGCCTAGTTTGCTTGTTGTGTAAAAGAACAATCTGCCAACTCTCCTCGATGCCCCGCTGCGATTGAATTTTTTCAATTGGCGGTCGCATCTACTCCGAGAGGGGGCTCGCAGTCTTGTAGTGTATTCCTTGTTTATTCCCTCGTGGTTAATCGTGTCTTGCAGTCGGAGACAAGGAAGGTGCAAACGAGAATGACAACCACGAGGACATGTTGTTTTGCGGGCCAGAAGTAGCAGTAGTTAGTACTCATTCTCTTGATTGAAGTACAAGCCAGGAGGTGGTAGTAGCACCAGGGGAAGCTGCTGCACGACGGTCATCGAATATATAAGTCGTCTGAGCTGTGGTCATCAGCGGTCGTAGCAAATATCGTCTCGGTTCTTTTTTTTTTCCCTGCATCTCGCAAGGCGGCAGCGACCCCGACGAAATTGGTGTGCAGGGGATACGGATTGCAAATGCACTTACTATCGCGCTAGTAGTCATGATCGCATCTTCACAAAGTTGCTCAGCCTGATGAGATTTGAAATTCGTACTGCGGATGAAAATTTACCTTGAGGGGAACGAGATTTGCAGTGCATAATTGATGCGATTTCTCGTGCTACGAATGCGGTATTAATACTTTTGCAATGCATCAAGGACGGATGAAAGCGAGTCCGGGAGCGAGGAAGAAGATGAGGAGGAGACGGTGTCGGACCAGCTCTCGGAGTATCGGAGATGAAAGCACCACGACCTTCTGTCCTCAATTTGTAATGCGCATCTGTTTCGATTCGTGGTAACGGTAAGGTAAGCAGGCTAAGCTTGTCTGTGATAGTACATGACAAATTGATGGCGCTCTTGATCTATTCTTGGTGCTTTTCTCAAGGATACTATCTCCAACGACGATCAGAAGGACGGAGCCGCCCGCGGAGCCGGCCGCGGCACAAAAGAGCGAAAAAATGGCAGCAAAAACGGAAGCAAAGACTCGACGGGAAACAAGAAAATAAACAATGGCGGCACGTCGACCTCTGGCCCTGGCTCTGCTCCGAATTCCTCTTCGCAACCGTCATCTGGTAGCACCGTCCCGAAGCAGGACCATATCAAAGGAAATAAGAACAACGCCGGCACAGGCAGCGCCGGTGGGAGAACAAATAGTAGCACCGCTTCTAGCACGGCAACGGCAACTACTGCACAAACGAAGCCGACCGCAACGTCAGGAGGTTCATCGACATCCGGCGCTCGGCCTCCGAAGTCAAAAACCGGCAGTCCTGTGGCCGCAAATGGTGTACAACCAGCACCAGCAAACAAGACCACGACAGGAGGTATCCCACGAAAAAAGTGTTACAGGTACACATTTGTTGTAGCTTCAGCATCACAAGTTTTCTCTGCAGGACAGAGAAAACTTGCAATGCAAAGATCATAAGGGAAAGCAGGAAGGAAACGAGGCTCCAAAGCATTTCCTGCATGAGAAAGGTTGTCTGTGTTGCCGGTCTTGCAACGCAATGTGCTGGAACTGTAACACTTTTTTCTTTCCATAGGTGTAGAGACGAGCCGAAAAGTCTCCTTTGACCAGGATGCCAAGGACAGCGACGGATCGGGGTTATCCTGTGCAAAAGTATCGTACTCGCATTGCAATCATGCATTACAAATCTTTTTCTTAAGGTAAATCCGCACTACAAATTTTATCTCTCATGCTGAGAAAATTTGTAATGCATTTACTTATACGAGTACGATACCTTATTTGCAGTTCATAGGGGTCCTCTCCGGGCGATGGGGACAGTGAGACCGACGAGGAGGACTATCGCAGAGAAAAAGTGCAGCTGTGTATAGGAATTTTAAACTTCGAATGGTGGACGTGGAAATCAAATATAAGGTGTGGAAGAACAGCTCCAAGTTACACGGTCTTGCCGTTTTTTACTTTTTCTTGTTGAAAATGCAACAAGCGGGCATCACCATCATCTCGTCCTCGCCTTGCTTTTAGGATGAAGGCGCATGATGGGAAATTTTCTTGAATGTTATGCATACTACTAGCGCACAACTTGTCATGCAGATGAACCTCCTGCACAGGAATGAGTCGACACCGAGTCGTCACATGGACCAAAGAGCTGCACTACTTTTTCCCTACGATATGAAAGTCCAAGTCGACTCCAAGAAGAACGACAATAACGCCAGTTTTGACCCTAATGGGCTCGAAAAACTGCTTATCAAATGCAAAAATGTCTGGGTCTGGAAGAATGCGCGATCTGTCATGCTGCTTTTCCATGATCCATGAGGTCTGGAATGCAGGACCTAGCATGACAGATTCCGCGAGTCTTTTCTAATGCCTATCCTGCGTGAGAAACTCCCTCCCGACTTGTGCAAAACTGGACGACTTTTGGTAATCATGCAACACAGATTTTTGCATGCTGCAGATTTAGCATGACAAGTTGCAATGTTCCAGACCCAGACACTTTTACATTTGATAGTGCTGCAGAAGGCCAGTTTTGTGCAAAAGCCGAACGAGTACGAAAAAGTGCACGAGAAGACGAAAAAGCTACGAAGTTGCAACTATGTCTGGGAGGTCTGGAAAAGCGGAATCTGTATTGCGTGCTGTGCTAGACTGCTGCAGAAGATGAATCTGTATTGCATGTTGAGCAACAGAAGCTGCGACCCCTGTTTTGTCATGCAAAAGCACAGTTGCTATTTTTAATGCGCGCTCCTGCGAATCTGTCCTCAGAGTCAGAATTTGAATTTGTCACGCTGGTGGACTCAACTCAGGAGTATGCTCAAGCATCGCCACTCAGCATTACAAATTTCCAGACCCAGACACACATTTGCATTGCATAAAAACTCTTGGCCAACAAGACCCTGCGGAACAAGTACGTATGAACTGCAAAAGTAAATCGTATTCGTAGTTGTTGCAACCATGCATTACAAATTTTTTTGTTAAGGTAAATCCGCAGTACAAATTTTATTTCTCATGCTGAGGAAATTTGTAACGGTAATTCGCATGCATTTATACGAGTGTGATACTTTAAAAACTTTTGCCATTCATAGTGCGGGTCAAATTACAAAACGCCCGAGCAGCAGCAGGCGCCACCCGCAACGGCGGGCGCGAGTGGTGGCGGAGCCACGAGTACCATGAATGAAAACGGCGACTATGTGTGGTCGAACGCCACAAAAGGCACGGGAAAAGCCACCGCGAGCGAGGCCGACGCCGCGCGGAAACGGAAAAAGGAGAAAGACGAAAAGCTGGGGCCGAAAGCGAGGCGAGAACAAAGTAAGGAAGCTTTAAAAGAGAAGCTGCGGCAGAAATTGGAAGCGAAAAAACAGGGCATCGCGTAGAAGCACCACCGCTCGCGGTCGTTTGGAGGTTTTCTTTTTTCCGTGAAAAGTATTCCTGCTTTGATCTTTACTACGAACAGGGGGAGCTGCGAGCACCTAGATGTTGCCACGAGGTTCTTGGCCGCCCCGAGGCTGACGTTATTTTTACTGAACAAGAAGCTGTGCGCAAAATATTTTTAGAATGTCAGCCGGCATCGGAACTGGTGCTCCTGAATTTTTTTAACTAGCTGCACCATTCTCTGGATCTGATTCATTCATCACTTTTTTGGTGTTTGCCGCTTTATACTCTAATCACCATATGGGAAGCAAGAAATCTACATAACAAAAGATTTTAACCTTGTTGATCTTGATGTTTATTTACGCCGCGTTCCTTCATGTGGGTGACTATCTACAGCTATTCGTATTCTGGAAGTCAAACATCTTCACTGCAGCGACAGAACAGGCTGTTCCGGGATCATATATAACGTAGTACTTACAACAAATAGAAATACTACATCAGCGACAAATTTCTAAGAAAGCCAAAGCAGCTCCTTCTAGAATTCGAAACCTGGTCTTCGTCAGCGCAACTCGCATGATGTAGTTGGTGACTGAAGCTGTTTATCAAATGTAAAAATGTCTGGGTCTGGAAACTTGTGATGCTGGGCGGCGTCTCATGATGAGGCCACACATGCTGGCTCAGCATGACAAGTTTCTGAGCTTCTAGGTGTTGCCTATTCTGCATGACAAGCTGCGTTCTTGCATCACAGAAAAACGGAGCTCTTGGGTAACGTGCATGACAGATTCAAGAGTCTTGCCAGACAAGCATGACAAACATGCATTCTTCCCGACCCAGACATTTTTACATTTGATACTGTTGTATTAGTTGGGCCGGTCCTCGTCCTACTTCTACGTGGATGCTGTCCGGGCGGTCGTGTTCGTGATCATCTTCTTCCTTGTCAAGGAAGCGAAGCTGAGGACATCTTGCAATCCCATCACCACCGTGGGGGAGCTGCTGCTGTCGATACATATTTCATTTATATACGCTTTTTGAGCTGCTGCTGTCGATACATATTTCATTTTATATACGAAGGGAAGCAATGCTTCCCTTCGCGTGTTTTTTTGTAGATAAGTATGCTGAGCTGACACACTTAGTATTGCCGATGAGTGTCGTTCGCGTGATGTCCCTATTTGTAAACTGAAATTGTTGTTCTGAAGAAGAAGATTGGCGTGTCGGTTCAAGCTTAATTATTTTTGCCACAAATATCTACACCAGAGCCAGACTTTCATTTTCCTGTACAAATATCTTCGTTATTTCACTCTGCATTCGGTAGTGCCCTTGTATTGAGTATGAAGAGACCTCTTGTTCTTGAGCAGCGCCGCTTTGCGCATCAAAACTGGCGAGTCTTCAAATCGCATGGCTTGTGTTTCCGTGACAGCGCAACAGGCTGGACTAAGCGGCATTCTCTCCTTTGTGATCGGGTGCAAATTATGGTTTACTATCCGAGTTGCTTCATCTGTCGCTGGGCCCACTCAGTAAGGACGACAACCAGGCAGCAGCAGGACCAGAATGAGTGTGGCGGAGTTGTTCTTGGACGACCACCTGATGAACAAGGCTTGCCGATGAAAGACGGCGTTCCATCACTCGACGTGCGGAAACAAAGCAGGCGGGGTCGCAAGCTGAAGAGAGAAGAGTTTTTCTCTCGCGCTGCGGCTCTGCAGGAATTTTGTGCCGAAGTGTCTGCAGCCGATGCGGTTGGGACGATACGCTTTGCCGGACTACCTTTTCTTTTCGGAAGCATTCTTCTGTTCCGCTTTGACGAGAGAATAATTTGCGGTGCAGATGAAGAACAACACAGTGAAGCTAGCGCTGCGGCACTGAAGAAGCGCCAGCATGATTTATTACGGGCTAAGGAGGAAGAGGAATGGGTTGGGCGCGCAGGTCACGACTTAACTAATTTTTCCGCTGACAGCCTTCCTGCTCGACGAAGCGACTGCGAGCAGGAGCTTGGAAAAGATGTCAACTACTGCGAAAAAGTAGAAAAACAAGAAGTCCGGTGGCTCGCGGTGCAGCTGCGCAGCACGAAGCAAACCGAAACGCGAAGCCGTACTGGCCGCAAGTACTACAGGTATGCGAATTGCAAAAACGAGCTTCGTCTTCCATTTTTCTGCATCGCCCCCAGAGGGGGTGAGGACCACGAAAGAAAGATCTTCGCCGTTCGGGAATCGTTGGCGGGCCGTATTCCACAAGAGATCGTACGCTACGAGGACTCGCAGACGCGGATGTCCGGCCGGGCGGTGATAGAGGAGTTGCGACTGCACTGGGAACAGGCGGTAGCCGATGCGTCTTCTAAGCGTAAGCTGCGGACGCGGCGAGAGTGGCTAAACCTTTTGGAAGGTGCGGAGAAGCCGCGCTCCACATGCTCGTACCACTACACACTGGAACTTGAGGAGAAACTGTATAGCGCCTGTGGTTTCGAGCTGGAGTTTCCCCTGGGCAAGGAGGAGCATGCCGTCCACAACAGTTATGTTGGAGGGCTCAGAACGCTACACCGCACCATCTCGCACCGCACCTGCCGCAGTCGGAAATACGAATCCAATGTGATCGATCTGACGTTGTCAGACCCGGACCACAAAACAAGCATACGGCCCGTGACTGTGCACGAGCTTCGGCGCATCGATCTTCTGTGCGCGATCGAATACTGCGATCGCCAAGTTGGTAAGCCCCTACTCGGCGTGTATCTGTTCCCACAACGCATCGTCGAGTCTTTTTTTCACTACCCTACTGAAGATTCTGAAGCTACGGCGACTAGAAATGGTGCGCCCACTCCTGGGAAGCGGAAAGTTGGACGGATTTTTACTGTCCACCCGCAAAATAACACTGTCCCACGCATCAAAAGTTCCCAGGTCCGAAAACAGCAGCAGCTTCTTTACTACATTGACCTCCGACCAGAGGCGAGCCGTGATGTCAATTTGGCGAAGGCCAAGCGGATTCTTTCCGAGGTCGTAGCGTCGAATAGACTGGCTGCTCGGGGGAAGAAAGTTGCGTCGGACGTGGACGAAGCTCGGCCACTCATGGGTACGACTAAAGTGTAAGCTATGCCACAGTCAAGCTCAACAACAAGCTGGCTCCACGCAGAAAAACCATCCTCGAACCCACCACGCCAAAGAAGTCGAGTGGCTTTTTTTTGTGTCTGTTCACGGCACTTTATTTACGGGAGACGTAAAAGATGGATCAGTTGGGCAACCGATGCTCCGCCGCCTTTTTTGTTTCTGTCGTATTTCTCCTGTCGAAACGGGATCGGAATCGTTTCAACAATCGAACACAGTCGCTCGTTTTCGTCTCCCCACTCGGAGCGTCTGAGTGAGCTTTTCCTTTTTCCTTTGCTTTTACCTATACCTTGTTTGAGTACTACCAAGTGGTGACGTGTACCTCTAGGCCGCCAAGAAGTGACGCGTCTTCTACTTCCCTGATGGACGTGGTCGCGCAGACATGATCGCCAGGTTGTGGGGGTCAGTACATCAATCAGATTTTTATATGATTCATCAGCAGGTCGTGGGTCATTACCTGAGTCAGGTTTCAATATTCACTTTTCTGTCGTTTCGGAAGTTTTGCTCGTCATCGTTTTTTCTCGGTTCGCGTTTCGTTTGTTGACCCCGTAGTCCTCGTCGAGAGTCGTAAAAACAAGCCTCCTTCACTCATTCTTCACTGGCCTCGAGATTCCGATATCGTAGAAATTAAAATGTGTGTTCTGTGATCGTGGCCTGCTGTTGTTAGAACAAACTACCTCGTCTTCTTCACCAGTCGTTGATAAAGAGCCATCATATAAAAAACTCGAAGTCGAGGGGAACAATACCAATGACTTGCTTTTTCCACCACGACGATGACCTATACGGTCTACACGGCAACACACCCCGGACCTATACGGTCTACACGGAACTTGTAATGCTGATTTCGCTCAGAAGCAGTCTATGTCTAATTGCATTTATTAGTACGAGTACGATGCGAACGCTTTTACACTGGATAGCGCCTGCTCTGTAAGTAGGCAAGCAAGGGGGTACTTACAGCTACGAGAACTAAGGCGAAAGTTTCGTAGGCACTTCAGTATTTATCAAAGGAGGCGCTGCGCTTTTGTGCTGATGCTGAGCAGCTTCAGCCACGGGGGATGACGGATGACAAAAAAAATGAATTTTTGTGACGCGCCCGAGTCCTATTGCTATTCCTATTGGTCAGACCCCCGCCCAGTTCTATCCAGGAGAACTGAACCATACATGAAAAATCAAAGTGAACCACACATGAAAAATCAGAGTGGTTTGTCTAGTCGCACCCAACATGCGTCCGTCAAGCGTTGCACATTGAGCAAGATATTCAGGCGAGTTGGGTAGTTCTTCTCGATTACTATTAACGCGGGTGAACTAATTTTGCTTTTCCATCAATTTCATGACGAATATGCTTTATCAGACTGTGAGCATAATATTACTCGCGCAATTTTAATACTCACGCAATTACGATTAGGATTACGATTTGTATTTCGAAGACCACTTCTACTTCAATCCAGCAGTAGCGCGGCACCTCTTTTCACTGCTACTGCACAGTTTTAGGCGATGAGACCGAGCAGCATATATGATGAAAATCAAAACTGTTTCTTACTCTCTTCTGCCAATGGGCCGCAAGTTGTGCGTTTTCTCTGTTATTGTTTTTTCGTGCATTCGATTGATTTACAATATTGCTTGCCTTTTCCACCTTATTTGCACTCATAACTACGTACTTAAGTACTTGCACTGAGTAAAGGTTTTTCCAAAATTTTGTTCATGCAGATCTTATAGCGTTTTGTATGAAGAGTATTTTTATCATGACGTAGCAGCTTGTTCCTATCCACAGCCTTTTGATTGAAGTATCTACATGAAAAATAAGTATCTAAATTTTGTTTACCTTCACGACCTTCATCTTGAATGTTCTCTATTCAAGTGGTTTCTATTCTATTCAAGTGGTGGCTAGAAGGGGAAGATCGAGGTGTCAATGCGTCGTAGTGGATGGCCTCTTGTCGTAGGACCAAGAACACGACATTTCGACCACCCCCTTTTCTCGGGTTTCATTCGTGATGAAGTAGAGTGAAGAAGAAAGAATGTTCGTCTGTCATGGTTGTCGCATTGATTCAACATTTATTTTCTCGTGAATAAGCACTACATGTACAAGTACATGCTGCATCATCTTGGTCTTTATACTTCTATCTTCCGAACACGACGACTACATCCAGAGCGTTTCTGGTGACAGAAACAACACATGGCTTCTATGTAGTAGTCCGAACTAGAAGAGGACGAGTCATGATATTAAGTCGATCGGGATTTATTTTCCTCAGGGAACAACCGGTAGCTGTACCGTACTAGCTCTAGCAAAAATGAGGAAGCTTTTCATTGATCAACACAGCAGGTTCAGGCTCGTCTTCTGACGGAGTATTTTCAGGTTCAGGTTCAGGTTCGTCTTCTGACGGTTCAGGTTCAGGCGGAGTATTTTGACAACGACATACTTACATTAGCAGCTTTACTACCATGCGGCAACTACGTGAAGAAATTGAAAAAAAGCGCAAACTGGTCATTTGTATGATCATGCCGGCGGTGGAGCAGCTGCAGGTGCAGCACAAGTAGGAGAGGTGTTCTTCTTGAGTTTAATCTTTTAAGATTCTCGTGTGGTTGTAGTTCTACTTGGAGGTACTGCTACGCAGCCAAGAGTCCCCGTCTTGTCTTGTTTCTTACTGAGTGTAGAGCCCGGATCGGTCCATGTTGACGTTGTCCTGCTTTAGAAAGGTCGGCCTAATCCATCATGTTCACGTAGGTGAGCGGCGACTTGTTTCTTCTGATCGTTTATCAGCTGCAAATATGTAGTCTGGGTCTGGAAAGGGTCATGGGATTTGTCATGATAGCTGTCGATCACACAAAGATCTGTATTGCAAGAGAGGCAAAAGACACGCAGATTGTTGCCACGACCCGGAGATGGGCATCTCTTATGCAGGATAGGCATGGGCAAACCTTCGCGAAAGCTGTGACGCTAGAGCATGCATCACAGGCACCTTCGGGAGCCATGTACAATTTGCATGACTTCCAACATGACAAATTCCCCAACTCTTCATCCAGACCCAGAGGACACATTTGCAATCCATATCGCTCATTATCGCACTCGTTCTCCGAATGGAACAAGAAAGTCAGTCGCTCTCGTTGAAGATATTTATTCGATTCTGCTATCATGATCTTTTTCTTTTCGCTTTCATCTTCACCACTAGCTCGCCCGTCATCGTTTTTTCTCGGTTCGCGCTTCGTTCTATTACTATTTTGTTGACCTCGTCGTCCTCCTCCTCGTCGTCTTCCTTGAGAGTCGTGAAAAACCCTTCCTGATTTCTCACTGGCTTCAAGATTCCGACATCGCAAATCAACAAGCACGTGTTTTATCGTGGCTTGCTCGTGCAGCTGTTAGAACATACGAGCGACATCAAGATTTTTACCAATCGTTACAAGTACAAAAGCTGCGAAAAATTCTACAGAGCAATCACATGAAATTATACCGCGTACAACTGCGGAACAAAAATGTCAATGACTTGCTTTTACCACCACCACGACGCCGACCTATATGGTCTAGACGGCAAGAACACCCCCCTGTTCCCGGGAGACCTAGATCAGTTGGACAACAATCTTTACGGCGCTGAGCCTGGTGCATCGTCTCCCGCTGCAGTGCCTCTTGTGACAATGCACAACTCTCCCTCATCCTCACTTGTATAGCAGGAGCAGCAACAAAAGCAATGCCACAAAGGTAGCTTTTGCATGACAAATCCACAAATGGATTGCAGTCCTGTTTAACTTTAGGCGTCCAAAACTTGTCATCCGCAGAGTGCTTAAGGTCAAGAGGCGGATTGTGCGGTAGTTTGCATGACAAATAAGGGGGAAGGGGAGTTCTGCATTGTCATACCTCTGACTTATCCGGTTCCCCCCTCGGACGTGTTTTCCACGAAGACGAAAACGCCGCTGATGAATGGAAGCGGAAGTGGAAACACAACTTCAACTGCCTCTGGTGCAAATGACGACGCAATAGCAGCTCCATTCTCGACGTCCGCAAAGAAGGCGAAAAAACTGCTCGGGAGCTCGAAATTATACAACCTCATGTTCGGAGGTCGTGGAGACGAGGCTGCTTCGTCTTCTTCAACGGCAGCGAACAAGAATAAAAATCTCGGAGAGATGGACTACAAAAGCAACCCGGCTCCTTTCCGGGAATACTTCCTGAACATCCTTGGGAGCTCCGGACTGAATGAGAAAATCAGCTCGGATATCAGCCGTAAAGATCAATCGGGGTGAGGAATAATGAGTACCATCTACTACGCACGACAGCAACGCGTGGCTTCCAAGAATTGTCATGTTGTGCTCGTCCACTTGCAAGTGTGCCAGGCATCCATTCTTCCATCCCCATCACAAGTTTCCAGAGGACCCAGATCGATATTTGCGATGCATATCCGACGGCAACTCCGAGTCCAACACGGGGACCGCTGGTTTGTTAAACGCTTACGAGGTACTATGTAAGAAAAAAACTGTGTAGTTGTAAATCTGTGATGCAGAACATGCAACAGAGTTACACCTGTCATGCCAGAGTGCCACGCAGTCCACTTTTCATGTTTGTTTTCCGTTAGAAGCCACGCATGACAGGTTTTCTGTTATGTAGAGCAGATCTGTGATGCTGTCAGCCCAAGAATGTTACACTAACACAGTTTTTTTCTTGGATAGGTACTCATGCAGAAAGACTCTACAGCATCCAGTAGTGCCGGCGGCGCAACAAGCGGGCAAACATCAGCTGCTTCCGCCTCGTCTTCCGTAGCTGCAAATAACCTCGACACGATAGCTGATTACAATCAATTGCCGCAGAAAAAAGACCTTTTCTGGCTGGATTTGAAACCCAAGAACAGCATTCCGACCGGGGGAGGAGGTGGGGGAGTTACCGTGGCGCAGGAGAGCAACAAATCGGTGGATCATGTCGAAATATCCTGTGAGAATGTTGCTAATCGTACTCGTATCAACTTGAATTCATTTTGCATCAAGTAGGAACGTGCGTGGCACTGGCAGATTTATTGCGGTCTTGGTCTTGTATTCAATTATTTTACCCTAATCCGCATCTAAGAATGCATTTTTTTCATGATATTCGTATAATTTGTTCGAGTGGGTGAATGTGGAGTTTCACTAGTAAAACTAAAAAAATTTGAGGCGGGTGCTTTTGGAAAAATGCATAGCGGACTTCTAAAAAAGCAGAAAACGTCGAACAGCCTGAAGATCGCGGGTTTCTCTTATCCTGAGTAGAAACATCTCCACCCTATAATCAAGATGGGAAAACTGCTAGACAAACCTACGAACTTAGGTTGTTGCGCATGACAAGTTTGGCCTCATATTGTAATGCTGTTTAGCTCGTTCGGAAGCATCACAAATCTAGCCTACCATGCTGATTGGAGCATCACAAACTCAAGAACACGATTAGAAATTGCTTCTCATGGGGCTCCGCATTAGAAACATTCTGAGCATGCGTTTTTGCATTACAACTAGGGGGTGGGGCCGTTTTTACATAGGATATCTCTTGCGTGCCATTCTCCCCGCCTCGAACAAAGTGAAACAATTATCCTGAGTAAAAACGTCCCCACTCCATAGTTGTCATGCAGATTTGCATCTACAGAAACCTTTGTAATGCGGGTCCCAATGAGAGGCATTTCTATTCGTGTTTTGGGATTTGTAATGCCGAAAATAGGATGAGCAGACGGATTTGCGATGCGGCTGTCCTTCAGAACCTGCACTACACTACGGACTGCAGCTTGTCATGCGTGGCTCCCAAAGCTTCTAGATTTGTGTTGCTAAGTTCCCAAAGTGACTATGGGGTGGGGACGTTTTTACATATGATAGCAACGCCTCGAGGAACTGGAGCTGGAGCGATTTTTAGATCTGAATTTGCAGAAGCAGAAGGGGTATGCATTGCAAAAGTAACGTACTACGTACAAATTGCATTACAAATTTGCTCAGCTTGAAGAATGGAGTTTGTCATCCTGATTTCCCTTGGGAAGCAGATTTGTCATGCATATCATATCTGCAAGCCGTACGAGTGCGATACTTTTGCAGTTGATAAGCGGCTCGGGTCCTACGCCTACAAAGACGTCTTCAACGTGCGCGGGTGGAATTTCAGCAAGGTCGGTCTATCAACCGCAAATATGTCTGGGTCTGGAAGATAATTGTCATGCATATTTTGCATGACCCAGGATGTCTGTAATGCACGACCTAGCATCTTCACAGATTTTTAGAGAGCTTCCTGATGCCCAATCCGCACGAGAAATAATGCCCCCGCCTCCGCGTAGCAACAATGAACTGGACTCCTGTTGCTGGTCAACATGCACTACAAATTTCCTATAGAATCCAGTGCTATCGTCCGGATTTTGAGTCCACACGAATATGCATGAAGTCATCTCCTCTGAGTCCTCAGAGCGAGACTCTTTTTTTTTGGATTGTGTTTGGGCCTAGAACTAAAGAGCAGCCTTTTAAAGCCATGCGCCATGCTAAGGATGTGGTTGCACGTATGGCAGCTGCGTGTAACCGAACTGGCTAGAATGGTAGTTGTAGTTTCCTAATTTTATCAAAGCATCGGATGAAGGAGGTAGTACAGTGAAGACTAAACAGTGGAAAAGGTAGAGCGACATTGCCGAAAAACTTCAACCAGCGCCGAAAGTCTTAACGAGCTGACTCTTGGCGCTGATTTGCTGTTTCTGAACCCCGTTGCAGTGGGGGGAGGAAAACAGCAGGCAGTGTCATCCCGGGCGTCCGTTCCCCCGCAGGCGTGAATGTGAGGGACGATGTAAGTAGGAGAAATACATATCTAAACAAGGACCTGGGGGTTGTATCTCCAACTGCCAGGCGGCAACCCAGCGAGTGCAGATTCAGCGGACGCAAGCCAAACGAACACAAGAGGAGGAACGAAGTCCGAGACGGCAAGAACAGCAGCAGCCACAGCCTTCCTTCTATGCCGTTTTATGACTTCTGCATGCCTTTTGTCTGTAATTTGTATAAAAAAAAAAAAATTTCCTATAGAATCCAGACACAGCATCACAAGTATGGACGGACAAAACCTTATTAATTCCGGATTTTATAGCTATAAAAATAGCTAGATTTAACTATGCATTTTTTAAGGTCGGTTTCCGTTTGGCAGCTCCATCCCTTCGTCTTCGTTTCGTTTCTGTTTCTTTTCCTTCCGTCTCCTCATTGGTTCGGTCAGTTGCGGTCTCGATAGCAAGAGAAGAAGCTGCTATTTGATCGTCGCGTTTTCGATGTGTTCGCCGCAGAAAGATCTTGAGGCGCATGATCCTGGCGACGTGGTTTTGTTGATCTAGATCGCGCTACATGTGTTAAAGCAAGCGATCATTTGTGTGGTCTCGCACATGATGTCGCTTCACGTACTACATTGCGGTGGCGAAAGTTGATTTTCGTGGATGGCAAAAAACAAGATCTTCATTGCCAGCAGCCGAGAAAAACATATCGAGAGTTTGAAGCTATTCTGAGCTTCTACATTGACAGAATGTTTTTGAAAGTGCACAGCTCGACCCCCTTTCACATGCATTACAAAAATTACAGCAAGTAGTGAGTAGCTCTGAGCCGTGCTTCGTGGGCCTTTATGTTTTTTATTTTGCCGGTGTTCGCTTACGGATCGCTGAAAAGCAGACCACTATGAAAAAATCTTAAAGCCACAACCACAGCGCGAGTCTCGAGCTCGTGTGTGATCCACATCTCGACGTAGTTCTTATGATTTTTGTGAAGCGGCTGCTTTTCGTGTGTTGATTGGAGGGGAACGAGCAGCATTGTGACCAATTTCGTTCGTATCGTTTTGATCGTGGGGCGTCGTCGTAAATGTGTGCGTCAAAGTCGCAAGCTCATCTACTGGGTCGTCGTTCCGCAATGCCAGACTTTCAAATAAAGACTAAGTTGAAGCTCAGCTGTCGTGGTCCTCGGAGTCGATTTCGACGTGTGTGTGAAAGCATCCGTGTAGCCGTGCGCGTACAAGTAGCGACAAATCTCAGCATCGTGTCGTTGGGGGGAAGCTATCGTTGCGCAGCTGTTGGGCATCGTGAGACGTGGGCCCTGTGTTAGTGGTTTAGATTTTGACTCTGACGTGGTTTTCTCATATGTAGCCAGAAGTTTATCAGAGATGTCAAGGGGCATCAGACTGCAATATTTGTATTAGTATTTCAGAAGCATTCTCACGCTGAATAGAAGGAAACTAAGAAGCGAAGCTCTCATCTTTGACAAGCAGTAAAATTAGTACACATCTTGATCTTTTTGATGAGCCGAAGAAAAACAAAAAGTAAAAACACCTTCCTAGTTTTCCTCCGTCTACTACTGCTTTTCTTTTCTTTCTCGGATAGAACTGCCAGAGCATCAAATGCAACAATCAATGGTCGTGATGTCCTTCCGAGGTTGTGATGAGCTGGCACCCGCTTAGGTGGGGGGTTGCGTGGTCTCTTTCGTCATTGCTGCAACTGTCGGCGGAATAGCAGCTCTTGTTCAAATTTTCCACACGTGTTGGTCCAGGATGCCACGACGTGCAGCCGAGAAGGGCGACGGGGCAGACGCCGGGTTTTTTGGTGAACAAGTTGGCGCTTCGGGCAAACAATACTCCAACTTGCAGAGGCTTCTTGAAGCTTATTTCGACCCGAATGACAAGAACAGCAACACTACTTCCGGCGCGTTTCTGAAACGCAATAGGAAGAGCAAGATCGTTTCCCTCGTGCCAACGTCGGATACTTTGCGGAAGCGGTTCTCCGCGTTCAAGGCCGACCGCGTGGTCGAAGGCGAGGCAGCTTGGGAACAGTTTGTGCGAGACCAGTGTGACCGGTTCAATGCGCCGTTCGACCGCGGCGACGCTGCTACGCGGAAGATCGTCGCAAAACCCAATCCGAACGCAGCACCAGCTGCGGAAAGTGAGACAGGAGGTAGTAGTGCGTCTGGTTCGCTGGATGCTGCGCAGGACTTGGCGCTGAACCCAGAAAAGTACTTCAACAACCCCGAGAAGAAGGACAACAACTTCGAGCACCTAAAGTCGACCCGGAAGAAGGAGTACAAGTGGTTCGCACTGGGGAAAAGTTTAGGCGGAACCGCAAAGGCGCGGAACAAGACCTTCAAAATCGCCAGCAGTGCCGGCCTCTTCTCCCGGTTCAAAAAGATTACCCAAGGGCAGGCGGAGCTACGCGTTGATCACGCGCAGCGGAGCAGTTCCAAGTCCTGCTTCAATCTCCCGCGCCGGAAGAAAAGAGTCGTCATCCACCGCCACGTTGAGGTTTCCGAGTCTGAGGCAGAGGACGAGGAGGACGATATTCTTGCCGACGAAACGATCGTGAAGAAACAGGGCAACGGGCGGGTGCGGGTCATGCGGGAAATTGCCGAAGAGGTTGAGATAACCGACGCGGAACTTTCCGAAGATGACGCTCCTTTGGTGCTGCCCGACGGTGGCGACTACAACCTGGACGACGACCAGTTCCATCATCATCGCAACCAGCTGTTCGGTGATGATGTGAAGGTAGCAGCCGGCGGCATATCGAGGAAAGCAGCAAAAATTATCGCCCAGAAAGATGAGAAGGACAGGAACAAAGAAGCGGACCAGGAGCGAAAGGAGGCAGTTCGGTCGGAGCTGAAGTATTTCGACGCCGGACGGATTGCTGCCCGCAACCGGTTGGTTTCGTTCTTATTGTCAAGCGGCATCTCCACCGCCGGTGATGCGAAGTGTAATGGTGCTGCCCCTGGTACGTCGAAGAACAAGAACAATAACAGCACCGCTTCCAAAATCAACAGCAGCCAGAGCGTGAACGTGGGCGGCTTCTCATCTTCTGGCGCCTTGGCACAGTTAGGGGCGGCTGTGCGCCATCTGCTGCCAGCAAGTTTTCTCGGGTCCGGTGACTTGGTATCGGGAGAGCAAAGCATTCGTGCTACTGACCACGAGTTTCTGCGAAATCAAGCGGCGCCATCCATCTCGCCTGCGGATAGTGATATGAATATGTTCGACGACTTCGACTTCGAAGCGGAGTATCTTCCCCCGGATCCACCGACCGCGGGGTCGAGCAGCAGCTCCAGTAGTAGTTCGGGAAGCGCAGCCGTCGGCAGTTCAGCAGCACGTGGCGTGCGCGCGTCCAAGTTTACCTTGTTGAAGCAGTTGCCGAGTAAATCCGTCTTGAAGCAGGCGGAGAAAAAACAGTCTCAACCGGTGGCGGGCAAAAGCAGCAAGGCGGTAAAGAAGAAGGTGGAAACCCTGCTCCCATCCTTGAGTGGTACCTGATTTTCATTTTTAGTTTTACTTTTACATTTACTATTATACCATGTTACTTTACTTATACTTTAACTTTTACTTTGCCACGCAGTGGCAGTACCACTACGACTACCAGTAGCAGCTCTTGTTCTTCAACTTCATCTGGATCTTGGTGCCGAGCTTCATCTTCTTCGCGTTCATTGTCAGTTTCAAACTCGAGGCACTACTCGTAGTCCTATTGTGAAGCCGAGTTGCAAGTGTAGAACTAGTTTCGATCGAGATTCATACTCTATTTCTAGTAGTTCTGACTGCAGTAGTAGTTGTGTTTGTAATGCTAAACATAAATCGACCTGTGCTTGTAGTCGAAAGCGGAACTATTGAAAAAGAAAACGAAAAAAAAAGCTGAAGCAGTCATGTAATACGAATACCACCAGATGAGGAGGAGGAGCCTGCTGCCCAGGTGGACACGCAGCCGGCGAGTTCGGCTTGCGGAGACAGTGGGGATGGCTTCGACGCCTTTTTGAACTTTGGCTTCGGCAACGATGAACAGAATAGCCAGCCGTTCGGGTCGCTCGGTCAAAACAACTTTCCTTCCACCGCCCCGGACCTGGGATCATTTGGTGATGAAAATTCGCATCGTCTGCTGCAGTCCGGCTACCTCTATGGAACGGGGGTGAAGGGGGATCTGGGTCAGGCAGAAAACCGGCCGAAGGTGGGGATACGAATCTCCCCGGACGCGACCCCGTACGATGAAATCAAGGCCCTCAATTGCTGGGCCACACTCTACAAAAGCGACTGGTACGACCCCATGATCGTTTACTCCCACGATACCGTTTTGCCCACCATATCCACCGGCTCCGGCCATGAAGTTTTTTTACAGGATTTGTACGAATCCGCGTGGAGCATCGGATTCCCGCTACCCGGCATGTGGTCGAAGGTGTGTCGCGTCGGTAACAAGCTGCTGAAAATGCGGCCGTCGCTCATCTGCTCATCCGACTCCGCGTCCGACGTGAAAAAAGCAGTCAAGTGCTGGGTCGAGTATGCCACCGCGCAACGCTTCTACGACCCGGACCAACGGTTGGAGGAGCCGCTCTGGAATGTGAGCTGGCTCCAGTGCCAGTTGCATCTGGCCCACATTGTCGCGAGCACATTGGTCACCTTGTGTGGATTATGCTTTGCAAAAGTATAAGTAAAGTATCGCAGTCGCACTAGTAGTAGTAGCACTAGTAGAAATCGCATGAGAAAATCAAAATTGAAACTCGCCAGCAATGATGGCGAGATTAGATTTCTCATGCTGCGTACCAACTAAAAGTTAGTTTGTCATGCTGATCAGCATCAGCATCAACATCAGCAGCGGAACTTGTGATGCATTATTTTTCTTGCGACTGCTTTTGACTTTGAGTTTGAGTTTCGTTTTGCATTTGCTTTTGCTGCGAGAGCGATACTTACTTTAGCTTTTGCTCAGCATAGCGATCGTTGCTGCGGCTGGATTTTCGCCGAACGTTATCTGCGGTCTCCAAGACGGTCAATTTGTGGATCGCCCCGCGACGGGTAGCGAACGACAGGAAAGGGACAGTCCGGGGGCAAAAAACTACTGATGAATTGCTGGTCGAGCTGTACACCGTCGACGACGAAGAATCGAAGAGACGCTTGCACCACATGACCTCGGTGGAGCAGGAGAAATTCCACAAGGAGCGCATCGCGAGCGACCCCAAATTGCTCGCGAAGAAGAGGCTGCTGGAGACCAAGCTTCGCTCTTCGGAGTCGGTCGTGAAGCGTGTCACCGGTTTCGTTCGGACGCGCTGGCTTTCGGTGGGAAAGTGTATCACGGGGCTGTGGAGGCAGCAGGAGATCATCGTCCAAAAAGTTCTGGATAAAAGTGATGACAAGCTGCAGAAGAAGAGCCGGAAGTTTCTTAACCGGGCCAAAGCTGCCTTCGGGAAGCCTCTGTGGTGGGGCGGGCTCCGCGTGTTGAGTCTCGTCCTGATTGAGATAGACCGCGTTGCGGGCGTCGTGATGCACAGTTGCTCCAAAGAATTGGACGGTGCCAGCATACCGGATTTTGTTGACAGTTTGCCGCGGTGTCACAAGGTCGACTTGTTTCAGCGGGTTACGGATTTCCTCGTCACCATCGGCGGCATGACGGTCCGCGGTCTCGCCACAGAGGGGCTGGCGCCGGTCGCCGCGATAATGTTCTGGACCATGATACAGGAGATGGACCTACGACATTCTCCCCTTCGTGCATGGCCTTACCGATTGGCGTTTCTCTTCTCGAAGGACAAAGCGGAGCGTGCGGCAACTATTCGAGACTTGCTGGCGGCGTGCGCCACCGAGGCGAAGCGGTCGCAGATGCCACTCGAGGCACTGGAGGTTTGGAAGTTGTTCCGGTTGGAGTTGAAGCATGTTCTCGAAGCTCTCGAGCAAGGTCGTGTCGATGTCGGGTGGAGCAAACAGTTCTGCAGAAATCTGTGTCCCGTCGTCAGGGGCTTCCTCGCTAGCAGTCAGATCGCCGAAAGTTTGAACAGCACTACTTCCTGGGTAAAGCGGGAGGCCGGCGGTCTCATCGGCATTTTGCTGGGATCCGCCCGCACCTTCTGCAGACGGGGGGCGGGAAAAGATTTGGACTTCGAGCAGTTCCTCTTCATCAACGACCACTGCCTGTCGATCAGTGCAAATATGAGAATTCGGAAGCTGCTGGAGGAGAAGGGGATCTACGGCGACCCGCTGATTTCGGACCGAAGCGACTTCTTGCTGCGAAACGAGGTCCGGCCGGAAGAGAATCCGCATCGTGTGGTTGCGGAGCTGTTTGATGTACTTGCCCGGCCTGACTGTCCCGAGGCGGCGCCTCTCGTCGGGGGTGATAAGGCGAGGGGTGGGGCCGCGCGCACAAACTACGGTGGTCAGGCCCTGAACATGAAGGTCTTCGACTTTCGGGTTAGTGACATTCTGGGAATGCCTTTGTGGAACCGCGATGGAACGCCCGTGAAGAAGATGCAGTACTACTTCGTGCTGAAGAAAACCAAGCAGGGCGCTCTTCTGGCCGAGGTGGTGGAAGACACGGACGGGAATGCGCCGCCGGGGCATCAGCTCCGGATGTCGGTCGATTTTGGTGTCACGGTATCCGTTTCGGAAAAAACCAAAATACGTCGTGGAGTGGAAGTGCAGGTGCTGGATTTGTCATGCAAATCTTCTCTGTCATGCAGGGCCGGATCACAAGCCTGCTCCTGCTACTAGTTTTGCATTTGAGCATCAGCATTAACATGTACATGAGCATCACCATGCTGGCTCTCATTCTGCATGAGAAGGACTAATCTCAATTTGTGACTTCAACATGAGAAGAGCTTCAACGTGAACTAATCTGCATGAGAATGACTAGTCTCATTCTGCATGAGATTGGCTTCAGCACGAGCATCAGCTTCTTCATGTACATGGGCATCACAGTGCTGGCTCTCATTCTGCATGAGAAAGACTAATCTCAGTGAATTTGTGATGCAGCATGGGCATCCAGAGCCAAGCTGCTCGGCACAATAAAGGCAGTCTGTGATGCGGGTCGCGACAATGTAGATCTGTAATGCTAGTATTGGTGGTAGTTTGCATCTGTCATGCGCGGAACAATAGGACTAGCACTAGTACAACTAGGCTGCGCTTTTCAACTCAAACAACAACAATTATGGACTAGAAAGCACGGCAGGTTCTTGTCATACAAGATCAATAGCCACGCAGCACAGACGGCCCTTTATTATCTCCTCGACGTACTTTTGGTTTTCCGTGCATAGTGCTGCTGGTTTTCCGATGCAATGTCCGCGCGCTACGAGGACCAGCCGGCAAAGTATGCGAAGAAGGCGGGGGAAAAAAAAGAGCCGCAGCTTCGACCCGTCGTCCAGAACGGTTCCACGCACCTGAAGTTCTACCACATGGACACGTCGAAGAGGCAGAGGCTCTGGCACATGGCACCGTCAACCGAATATGAATCCGAGTTCTACTATCAGCACCGGGTGAACGATCTCGGCGTCCCCGACACTGAAAATCTGCGGCTTGGCTATAAGCCGGCCAAAACCTTCCCGGATCATGATCGCATCGTCGGCAAGTGCACTGTCATGCCGTGGGCCGACATCTGTTTGTCGAAGAACGCGGAAGAGGAGAACAGGGAGTTGAGGAAGGAGAAGCGGCTGCTGCGGAACGCGCGCATCGACTCACCGACCCGGCGATCCCGCGACGAGAAGTGGGGGAAGGTGCCGCAATCTATTAGGATGCCTGAAGTCGCGGCCAATGGGCTCGGCGACCGGGTTTACGGCATCTGGCAGATAGAACAAAAACAGTGGTGGGGGTATCTTGAAAAAGCAGTTCCCTTCGACCGCAGAAACGAGGTCCGGCCTAACGGCGCACAACCAGCAGGAGCAGTACCTGCCGCAGTCGGGATCCAACCACCACAACCATCAGGCTCGGGCGCGCATGCAGGCGCGCGTGCGCATGCAGGCGCAGGCGGGCACGTGCGCGTGCACACACATGCACACGCGGGTGACGGGCGCGGGCGTGCACCCGCGGGTACAGGCGCGGGCGGGCAGGCGCAGGCGAGCGCGCCTGCGGGCGCACACGCAGGTACGGGCGCACACGCAGGTACGGGCGCACACGCAGGTACGGGCGCACACGCAGGTACGGGCGCGCACGCAGGTGCGGCCGCGCGCGCAGACACGGGCGCGCACGCAGATACGGGCGCGCGCGAGCGTGTGGGCAAGCAACGCGCGGGTGCGGACACGCGCAATGCCGCGCAGCCGGGCGACGAGCAGCAGCCTTCTGGTTCCGGAAATGCAGGCGCACAACAGCAAAATGGAGATGAAGGGGAAGATCAGCAACAGAAAAACAAAAAACCGTGTGCCGCCCGAAAGAAGTACTTCGTCGCCAAAACGCGGCAAGAATTCGTCAGGAAGATGGTAGAGTTTGAAAACGGGAAGATCTGTGAGGTGGAGCGTGCCACACCGGAACAGGAAGTAGCTGCGAGCGCCTCGCTGGCGCAATACCAGAAGGAGAACAAAGTTCTGGAGAAGAAACAGAAGGGCGAGGACATCGAGCTTGACAGCGACATGGAAAGCACATACGAAGAGACCGATGATTCTTCCAACTTCGGATCTTCAAGTGATGACTCGGACTAATGGTGCGGGGGATGTAGCGCATAAAGCTAAAGATCAGGACTTAAAGACACAGATAAAGTAGCACTACAACTACTAGCATTGAAAGTGAGTATGAATATAATAAGATTAAGAATAGTAATAGTTTTTGTTTTTGTTTTAGTTATAGTTTTCCACTTCCTGTTCCTTATCCTTTAGCTTTACCTTTTAGCTTTAGTTATAGAAATTGAAATTGTATTTCTATTTGTAATTGTAATGGTAACTGAATACAGGTGCAGGCACAGCTACAGGCAAGGGCGCCACTTCCACTACAGAAAGAGGCGCACTTCTTTGCCGCGATGCTCTGCGCTATTTGTGTTTCATAATCGTATCAGAATCAGAGTAAGTGCACGATGCAGATTAGCATGAAAGTAAATGTAAAACTCAGCCGCTATGTCTATTGGTATTGCTCCAGCTATTCGTTTTGGTCTTTGGTTCTGGTTTATAAATATCAATAAGAAAAAGAATAAGAAAATGAAAAAGAATAACAGTTGCGCTTCCAGTTCTACTTCTATATCTATCTCTCTTACTCTTTCTTTTTGACTTTGTATTTGTAATCGTAATGGGAATGGTAATTCTAAGTCTAATTGTAACTCCAATTCGCAATAGAAATTGAAAATGTAAAAAAAATAAATATGAGTGCGCCAGCAGGAGCGCCTACGTCATGATCATGAAGAAAAATAAAAAGCGTGATAATAGGTTTATGATTTTATCTTCGTGCTCATGGCTTATTTCACTTTTGTGTTTTGACTTTTTGTTACTGGAAGACGAAGAAAGAAACCGACTCTGGTCATTGATCTTGCTCTGTTTCGTTTCGTTTATTATCTGTATCAACTACATGATCGAGGAAATTAGTAACTAGAATTACGCATATTTTTGCGTGGTGAAAATGTTCCTTTCACATGTGCGCGCACCTCTTTTCATATCATAAACATCCATGTGATCATGCAGATCATGCAGATTTGCATCTTGAATCTCAGCGCTTTCGACCGAAGTGCGATCATATTCAAGAGCATGGCGACAGAATTATCGATGTCCTCGCGCAGTGGATTAAGCAAAACCGACACCGAAATTAGTGCACAGCCCACCACTTAGCAGACAATTTGAAAAACTACACGCAGCTAATGAAGACGCTGTGAAGCGTGACGCTGAAGAGCAAAACTCTTGCATGGACAACAGAAAAGCAGCCGCTTTTTCTTGCATTGTTAATACATGTATTCCTGTACAATAGATTTTGCGCATAACAAATTGAAACATAAATCAAAAGATGCTGTGCATTCCGATTGTTAGAAGATTGGCGCTTCTAATCCGGAATGAGGTAAGGAAAGTAGAAAATCAAGTGAGTAGTGCCTGCGCTCCACTGTAAAACCAGCGCGAAGCCGAGTAATGCGTCTTGTTGTGTTCGTCGATTTTTACTCGTCAGAAGCAGTCGGAAGAAAAATAATTGTCTTCGTTGGGGTCGATGATCACGTGGCTCTCAGCACCAAAATGCCAGATACAGAGCTATCTCTTGTCAGATTCAAGGTGATGAAATGGTCGTCAGCGGTGATGGCCAAAGTGGCCATTTTTAATTTAATTGAAATTCTACTGCCGTGGAGCACTATGACAGCAAAGGACGTCTTCTACCATATTTGACCAGATCTCCTATTCTAGTGGAAAAAAGCAGTAGAAATTCAATTAAATTGAAAGTGACCATTTTCAACATCATCATCTGACGGCTCAAAGTCTTCTGATAATGTGTTGCATCTTCATCATTTTGACCGCGTTTTCACCTCAAAACCAATAGGAATTGTGAGAGAATATTTGAAAAATATATTGAAAAAAGGTGAGTCTTTCGACGTTACGTCACACTAATCGTCCTTCGGACGATGAAGTGGGGACGTTTTGCAGTCTCGTAGACTGTGGCGAGGCAGGCGTGCCAGAGGCAGATCATATTCTGCTCCGCTTCTGCAAAAACGGTTACGACCCGAACAACATGAGCCGCACCGTGGTGAAGTTGAAACAGCACCACGTGACCAACAGTGGCCGCCACGAGTGCAGCCGTCCCATCGTGGGGGACAACTTAGCGTCTTTGCGCCACGCCGTGCGCGAGCGCGGCCGCGCCGACGGCCTGGACGGGTCTAAGATGAGTACTATTATTTTTGTGTTTTTCATGCCTATAGTCTTCATGTATAATCCATTAGACCGTGCGCAGTTCCATAGTGTTTTGCTTGTTTCGGGTTCATCACGCATTCATATGTAGTGAGAAACTTTGTGCATAACTACACAGAAAATGTCGCATGTTGTCGTGCATTTCTCCTTGCGAGGAGGGCAAAGCGTCTTCGTGCACAATGTTACAAGTCAGAAAAAATCTCCTCGTGCAAGCATTTTACAGCTTTCTGATTTCATGCGCGTCCACATCGTTAGTCGTACACAGAGCACGTTCGAGGTACTGCATAGCAAAAAAATGCACGTTCGATGAGCTGCGTGTCATATACAAAAAGCACGCCCACGCGCACGTTCGAACTACTGCGTGTCGTAGTCATTGTCATATGCAAAAAATAAAAATTTCTTCCATTTTCATTTTTATTTTCACTTTCAGTTTCAATCTCAATTGCTAAATAAAAATTATAAACTTCCAGGACTCGTGGCAGTCGACTATACGGGAACTGGTCGCTTCGACTTCCAGTTCGCGTTCGTGCACGGCGGGCATACCTGCTTAGCGTTCCTGCTGGAGGGATGCGATCCGGAGCCCTTTATTGTGGATCTGGTGCTACTAAGTCCAGACGTGGACCGCCATCCCGAGCTTTTGACCAAGTTCGTCATGCTCAAGAATAACACCCCCGAAGGGATGTGCAACGGGTGGATCGAAACCACCGTGCTCGCCGGAAAGGTTCGCAGTTGTTGTTGTTAGATTTTATTTTCAGCCAGATGATCCTCATCTTCATCTTACATCTTAGATGATAGTTGTAGTGTTTCTTTTTGCATTGTGACCGTTTTGCATCACAAATTGAAGTTTTACTTTTACACAAACTACAAAATGAAAATCTAAAACAAATACAGTCCTGGCCCAAGTTCAACCAGTACCGCGACACGCAGGCCCGCGCGGGCAGAACCCCGGACGAGTTCGATGTGTGGATCGAACGACTTGCGGGCCCCAAATGGCGCGGGCAGCTGAAGAGTTATGGGAAGCATGCCGTGACCATGTTTAATAGAGGCGTGGTCCAAGAATACACCCATTTTGGGTTGAGCGTCAGCCAGATGGTCCCCCGCCCGAAGCACAACGATGGACACTTAAAATTCTTCGCTTACAGCAACGTACTGATTTTTTTTCCACTTCCGTTCGAGCATCATTCTGAGAGTTTTAATGTGCAAGTACATGCGCATGTTCATGACAGGCTTCAGGTTTCTCTTTCTCTTGTAGCTACACCTACATGTAGATCACATTCACTTTTGCATACAAAAACAAGCGCAAGCTTTGAACTTAAGCTTCAAAGTAAAGTTGCAAACTTTAATTTAAATTTTAAAAATCAAAACAGAACACCCTGTCCTCGATCAACCCGTACACCGACACCATCATCGAGAGTGGAAATGTCCAGCTTGACATGCACTACGCCGTGAGAGTCATCCTGCAGTTCGCGGCCGGCTGCCAGGCCGACGTCGTCCCGTGGTCTGAATATCCTTTGCAAAAGCATCACGTCCTTTCTCATAGTGAGCGGATTTTCGCATTACAAATTGCATTGCAAGTAGTTTGTGTATCTTGCCCTGAAACTGCGTGACAGATTGCTATTCTCATGCTGCACAAGATCGTGGTTCAGCTACTGGCACTGCTAGTGCTACTGTAGCAGAGTATAGTCGTGATGCTTTTCCTTTTGTGAAGATTCATAGGACCGTCGAGGAGGACATTTTGACCATGTTGATCAAGACCAACCTGGCCCCGGCCAAAATTCCGGACCGCAGCAACGAGGCCAAGAAGTGCAGGACCAGCGAGGAGATGCAGTTGATCTTGCCCATCAAGGAGCGGAACATCAAGTCCAACGTCGTGTCCCTCTTCAAGGCGATGAAAAAGGTGAAGGACTTCTATTCCAGCAAGAAAGAGACAGGTTTGTCCGAAGAGTCGGACTTGAAAGAAGCCAGTGATCTGGAAAAGAAAGCGAACCCCCAGTACTGGGGTTTGAACTTCCAGGGGAACTGGGTTTTGTCCAAGGAGTTCAAGCGCACCCAACAGCAGAAGGCCGACGAAGACTTCCTGCTCACCAACGTGGCCCAGCTGATCAAGACCAAGTACAAGTTCTGTGCGGGGAACCTGGGCTCGTCCGTCCAGTGCCATGTGGTTCCGTTCGACAAGAACATCCCGAAAGCCACGCTCCTGGAGCGGCTCATGTACGTGATCGGAAGCCAGAAGGAGTCTTTGTTCATCCACAAGTTGAAGGACGCCTGCCCGAGCGACCACATCGAGCGGCTGACGGAGTGCGTGACGGACGGGACGCTGCTGCTCCCCCTCGTCCCCACCACTGCCGACCCCGCTGGAAAGGTGGACTGCTTCGAGATCGACGAAAATGTGGACGTCTCCTTGAACTGGAAAGGAAAAGCCGCCGCAGCCGCGAAGGGCGGAAGAGCGCCCGCAGCCGGAAAAGCGAAGAAAGACAAAGCCCAGCCCGCGAACGCGAAAGCCGCGGCCGCTTCGGGAAAAGGAAAGGCTGCCTCCCCCCCGCCCGAGGCAAAAGCTGCAGCTGCGGTAGCTGCGTTGAAGAAGGTATAGTAAATCTAAATAGCAATACAATTACAAATACTATTTCGATTATTAAATCTAAAACTAAATCATAAAGTTAAAGACAAAGACTCAAATGAAAAAGCAAAGTGTAAACTTTAGTTGAAAATCAGACTCAGTTCAACCTGAGAGAGCGAGAAGGTAGAGTCGACAAGTCGTGTAAGAGAAGTTATTTGCAACTTTGCGAAAAAATCTGTCAGATGAAGTGCGATGCTTTTGTCGAGTGGGTGTCTTGTGCTCCTGGTTTTGTATTTGAGTTTGTGTCTCTCGGTTTTTATGCGCGCATTCGCTGCGCGAATAACATCAACAAGTGCAACTGCCCGCGTGTGTGCGCGCACACCCGCGTACGTGCGGGTACGTGTGCGTGCACACGGGCGTGCGCGCGTGCGCGTACACGCATATGTGCACGCGCGCGTACGTGCACGCACGCATACGTGCACGCGCGCATACGTGCACGCGCGCATGTGTGCGCGCACGCATACGTGCGCGCATGCGTACGTGCACGCGCGCGTACGTCCGCGCACGCGTACGCACACACGCGTGCGTGGGTGCGCGCGTACGCACATGCACACGCGCGCGCACCTACGTACGCATGCACGCACCCGCGCGCACGGATGTGTGCGCGCACATTCGCCTGTCCGCGTCTGCGAACAGGTGCGTGCGCGTACAAATGAAGTTCTTGCGTTTTTGTTGCTGCAGGCACAGACTTTTAATACCAAACCAGGAACAAAAGATTGCCACTGAAGTCACCACACTCATCTAACAGAAACTGTCAGCGATTTTGATTTTCAGTGGCGCTTCCTCAGCTGCATCACCAACATCCCAAACATAAAATACAAACAAAATCTCACAGAAGGATCCCAATGCTCCGCCGTCCCCGGTGATCGAGAACCAGCTGGGTCTGCCGGACGAGACCGCGGAGGAGAAGTTGAACCGCGATGCCAATCGCCAGCGGTTGGAAAAGGACCCCAAGAAGTGCTCTTTGGAATACCTCTCCGGAAAACAGCCGAAAGCGATGCGCTGGTGCATGTGTGTCCCGTCCGAGTTTTCGCACTTGACCGACCCGGAATTAGATAAGCATCATGAGTTATTACACAAGTTGCGGATATTAGTGAAACCGGACAACACGATGTACGACATCGGTAAAATCGGCGACGGCGTCGACTTCTCCATCGACAAGCTCTTCTTCAACCCCAGCGAGAAGCGGTTCCAAGGAAACTGGCAGTTCCCGAAGGGTGGTCCGCAGGCCCATAGTTTGGGACTCAGGTATTTACTGTTATTTATTTTTTGATGTTCATCTTCATGCTACGTCAACGTCTACTAGCACTAGCACTCGCACTGCAAATCCAAGTTCAAATTTGAGCACGTGTCCAAGTACTAGTAGAAGTGCCGTTACTATTTGCATTTCGATTTCGCTTTTTGTTTTCGGATTCTTGCATGATAGGTAGATGCAGTTCCAATGTTCGCTCGATCTTCATCTTTTGCAAACGAAATTGAAACTGAAAACCAAATCGCACTACAGTCACATCAAATATTTTTGGAAGTGCAGTGATGCTTCCAAATGTGACCGCTCCAAAATTATTTTTTGGCGGACCATTACGGAGGAGATGCCATCTTCCGCGGAGAAGAACGCCCCGATGGTGAAGATATCCTTTCAAGTCCCGCTGGAAACAGGAGTCAAGGCGCTCGGCAATAGTAAGAAACAGAAAACGCGATGCTAGAAGTGGAGAGAAGAAAGAAAGTGTAAAGAGAAGTAAAGAAGAAGAAAGAAGTAAAGTGAAGAAAAAAAAGACCCCCAGAGAAGAAAAGGGGAAAGGAAGAAAGGCATTTTTGTTTTTGGTGCTCCTCCAGGTAGTAGGCATGCAATTTTGGAACTGTTTTTTTGGCACAGGTGCAAACACCAACTCCATCACCACAGATACAGAAGTTGATCATGAGAAAAAAAGTGAAACGCTGAAGCATCCTATTTTCGTTTTCCACATGACCAAGATATCTTCATTATCACTATTTCGTGCTTATGCATGTCTCCAAAAAAAAAATCAGGTTTTGCATCCACCGCGCAGCTTCGAATGAGACCTCCTCTGTCGTGAAGCACAAGATACCTCCGCATGAGAACTCCTCTGTCGTGAAGCATCTGTTGTAGAACGGGAAAGAGACTTGATGTAGTAATTTTGTCAATGTTACGCTAGCACTACTAGTAGCGTTGTTCTTATTTGTGTTTCGCTTTCGCTATCTAGCTTCCAAGATCAAGAAGATGAAAAAAACAAAATAACAATCAAAGCTTCTCTTATGTAAGATTAGCCTGTGGGCAGAGCTAGAAGTCGATTTGCAAGCTACCAAATTTTCACAGTTTTCCTTTGATAGTTTCACCCGTCGTGCATTTTTTGCTTCTCTAGAAACGGATTCTACTTTTTCAACTTCGCTTTTCACTTATTGGAATCAAAATTCGTATGCAGCATCACTATTATTTATTTTTATACCGTATTCTTTGCCTCAGTTTGATTTTCGCTTCCTCTATCGTGTAGTACTGAAGTATGTTCGCCTCGGTTTGATTTTCGCTTCGTAGCCGCACGTAGAATGAAGTATGTTCGCCGAGACGGGAATCGTATGAAAAGTCCCCGCTTCTACATCTAGATCTACTATGAGCTATCTTTTTGTTTTTCGACTGAGCTTTTTTTTGTCGTCGGCCTCCTTGTCCACACTGATTCTAGACATGACGCATCACAGCCAAAGCGTGTGGATTGGAGACTTGACAACAGGCGCCTTTAGTAAGAAGAAGTCGAAGTTCTACACCTGCAGTTGCTTCGTTGCGATTTTCATTTTCTCGCTTCGCTTTGCACAGACATCTACTTCCAGTTGTAGAAGGACCACACTACGTAGAAATAGAAAAGGAAAACCGTAGCGCAAATCTTAGTTATGAATAAAGATGACTCGACTGAGCTTGCACTTGTTCGAAGCTACTTTGCTCCGGTTCTTTTAGTTCAGCGAGCATCTACAACTTCAAAATTTCCTAGAAAGAAAGGAGTATTGAAACTCAAATACAAATTGTAGCTCTAGCACTGATTTGATTTTCATTTTCAACGTCCGTGACCATGTGAGTTGGAGTGTCAATATCTGCTATCTGAGCTTCTGCCGTCCTGTAGTCGCCTGGTTGCGTTTCCCGTAGTTTGCCGCATAGCGTGGCACAACAAAGAAGTAGTACTAGCGAGCATCTACGTGCGTAGTCTCTGACTTCAGGAAGGTATGTTTGTTTATGTCAACCGGTCGCCTTGGTCGGGCAGTGTTGTAGATGTTTCGCATCTGCAGCATTGCTCAACCTAGACCCCTTATGAATGTTTCGCACTCATCATGAAAAAGAACAAGAGCTGGTATTTGGACGCTAGGTTCTACAAATAACGTAGAGACTCAGCCTTGTTCGAAAACTGTCTCACCTCGCGTTGCGCCACTTCAGTTTCTATTTCGAAAAGAATACAAAAGTAGCAGGAGGCTTCGTCATAAAACTGGAAGAGCGTTATCGCCATGTTTGTCGCGCGCGTCTGCAAGAAGCCGTACCTGCAGTGCCGCGATTTGATTTTCATTTTCATATCTGTATAGTTCGCAGCGCTCGCAACTATGGCTGCTCATTACATTAGACTACCCCCCATCGAAGCTGTGAATTTCGTTTTCTTTTTGTGGTCAAATCAAAATTAATTTGAGATATGTTCGTAGGCTACCCAATCCGACTTCAGCACCAGCATTGACGCTTTGAGTTTGGCGCTTCCATTTGACTTTTAATTTTATTTGCAATATACAAAACGTACTAGTAGAAGCGTTTGATTGATCCATCGTATCACCGCCGGCTGGCATCAAGGTCACATCTCTCGCTGTGGTCCTTTTTGCACTTTCGGCATAAACCTCCTTTTTATTTGAGTGCTCCGTGTCTTTGTCACTTGCGGAGGCAACGCTTTCGATACAACTTTTGCTGCTGAGAAGGAAAGGAAGTGCATATCGACAAAACACGAGCACAAGCTACTTGCGCTTTTAAGTGTAGTTTCATTCGCAAGATGGTTTTCAATCTGATAACCGCTTCGCCTGAATACAAGCACCGGTCATCTAGTAGCTTTGTGGTGAGTGCTATCGTGCGTGCACGTCCTCGACCGGATTGCGATCCGCGTCGGAGCGTCAGTGCCGGTATCATATTCTCACCACCGTGAACTACTTTTAGCACTACCCCGGACGTCGACGTTTTCATTCGTCACTGCCCCCCGGCAATTTCGGAAATCACTCTGATAACCTAGTCACGCTGCGAGTGATGCACACTGAATGAGAACTGAGTCTGAAACTGCTTTGCTTCTACCCGAAACAACTTTCGCTCTACCCATGAAATTAAAACATGCGTGTTTGTTCCAACATTCAAAATGAAAATAGGACGCCCACACAGCTGCAGGGCCGTCGATAGGTGCGAAGCATTACAGCAGTGTCCGTAGTGCTGCCAGTAACGGTGTTCAGGTTCTTCTCCCTTCGAGAGGTCCATTAGTTGAAATCATCATACAGAATCAGTATCAGAATAAAGATCAACAGGAAGATGACTATCATAACCAAGAGCAACGCGTTTCATCTTCCTTGAGTTTGAGTTTCCAGATGTAGTAGCCGGCGAGAGTCGTAATATGTATCTGAGTCACCATCTCGTTCTCGATGAGTGTCGAGCTTTTCGCTTTCCTTCGTCGTCTTCTGGTTTACATGGAGCATGTGAGATGTGACGTCGGTGGATGCACCAAAAATAAAGAAGCGTGTAGCTCAGGGGCAGCAAAGAGAGAAGCACTTTCTCCGTCTGTCTCGATCCAGTGTAGATCTAGGCCCACATCCGCTTTGATTTCGTGTCCGACCTCTTCTGCCAAAAAAAAACGTCCGTGAGGAGAGGACATGGTGACGCAGTCGTCCCGCAACTTCAAGAGGACATGTTGATGCAGCCGTCCCGCAACGCTTCGGAGCTCGTCGTCGTGAGGGGAAAAACTTTCAACGATAAGTACTACTTCGGGCAGCCGCTCTGCAGCATGGTCCTCCCGTAAAACCGTGATGCATTGCCGCCCATCGCAACGTCATCCGTTCTTATGTTTTGTTATTGCTGTTTTACTTTTAGTTTTAGTTTTACTTTAGCTTGAAGCTTTCATTATTGCAGGGCTGCTTGGTCTTATGCAACATAGTAAGTCTCAACTGTGCGCATGATCTTACTGATTTTAATTTCAATTTAGTATTGGTTCTGCATGACAGCCTTGTTATCTTGGTCGACTTCCCATTCTCCAAGCTGAGAAGTAAGATGTGTCTGCAAATCGCCCTGAGCTCGTATCAACAGCAATGGCAAAAGAGAACGATCGCGGTAGCGATGGGTGGCGTTTTTGTTTTTGATACCCGTTCGCCCCACGGTCCCGCGTACTACACGAAAGTCGCGATCCCCTACAAGTCGCGGGCAAAACGCTTCAAGTCGGAGGACTACGAAAAGTGGGAGTTGCGGGAGGATGACACCCACTGGGAGATCTATCGCATCCTGCCTGCGATTGGCGAAAAGTGGGCCAGCGTCGAGCGCGTGGTGCGGGTTCTTCAGCTTCTACTTTAACTTTAGTCTTTTGGTAAATAAATTGCGCGCGTACCTAGTGTTCCGGTTATGTTGAGGCACTTCTACATCTGGGAGCGTCCTCGACTCTTTCGTGTACATCTCAGACCTACAATCAAAACCACCGCAATCATTGACACAGATTCCCAAGGCGGAGTGGCCGGGGACCCCGGATGGCTGGCTGCAGCCGCTGGTCGCCGTGGCCCCGACGAAGGCCCCGACGAAGCGGAAGGCGGACACACCCGTAGCCGGGCCCGCGCGACGACGACCCCGTCGCGACGTGCCTATCTGATGACCCGCAGCTGGTTGCTTCCGCAGTCTGTCGCGATTCTGCGTCAGCTATGTCGCGCATCGCCTAAAGAAGAACAAAGACAGATGGGCGTGACGGATATGAGAGGCGAAACAGGAGATGCTAATAGATCTAGATGTGCTTTTGGTTTTGCTTTTGCACAAGTACAAGCAGACGTAGAATAGGACGGCAGAAATTGAAATCATGAAAAAGGCAGTATGAAGAACAACAAACGTAGAACCAAGACCAACGAAATGGCTTCAGATAGAACATTGTTCAGAGTTTGTATCTTCTAGGCCCTAACCCAAATCCAAACCTACGCTCCGGGGCCGCGCAAAAGTTCCTCCTACTTATGCCCGTTTTCCAACAATTCAACAAGCCACTGAGATGATAAAAATGATCAGCGTTGCAGCGTGTAGAGACAGGTTCGAAATGAGCTCGCAGCTGTTGAGGTCGTAGCTCAAAACGCACTGAGGCAAAGACAACGGAAGACAGGCCTTTTCATTATCAAGAAGAGCTCACCGCCCTACGGATCTGCTACAGAAAGCAAGAAGAAGAATGTTCCTAACCAAGTCGCTTCCATGGCAGTAAAAGCGTGTAGAAGGGCCAAAGTGATTCGCTGTCCCAGATCACCCGGCTGACCATCATCGATCAAAATCAACAACTGATCAGCTTTATGGTAGTCACTAAAGATAATTGAAATTCTGCGAGTATGCGTCTTTTCGTTGCGGGGGAGTGGGCATCCCAATGTACATCAACACCCACTTATTCGCTTGCGTTCAATTGTTAAAATCGGTAACCGGAATACCTAGCTAGAATAAACCAAACAGATTTGCAGGCGTTAAGAGCCGAGAGTCGGTTAGATACGAAGTTCGCAATTTGGATATCAATAGTAAAATCTAGCTATTTTTATAGCTATCGAAGTCCGGAATTAAGAGGTTTTGTCCGACCATAATCACAAGTTCTTGCAACCTTCCAGCCCAAGACATATTTGCACTTACATACAGTCCGGGCTACTCCAAAACGGTAGATGGGAGCGTGACGGGCAGCAGCGGAAAACAGCTGGTAGAGCGGATCAGGAACGAAAACGAGGTGGACTTTTTGAACGTGAAAAAAAAGGACTGGGAAGAGGAAAACGGAAAGCAACTACTTTTCCCAGAAATGCACTCGAAGCACCTTTGATAGAAGAACGGACGAATTTTCGTTCGTGTGGAACAAACCATCATAGTTGTAGTTCTGGTTGTATCATACTTTTTACAACACGACGAATGGTGTATCTTCGATGTTCATGTTCTTCGACTTACTGCTGTGTGTTGGTTCTCTTCCTCCTCTTGTCGTGCACTCTTTCGTCACTTGTACGAACGACACAGACTTATTATACCCGCCCCGGTGCTTCTGGCAGCTGGCTCTACAGAGCGAGTACCAAAGACGTGACCGCGAAGAGTATCGTCCAAGCAGGGTCGACGTTTCTTGAGGTCATCTCGTAAACAAGGGGAGCGGTGAGAGGAGGATGCGCACCAGCACCAGCAGGAGGTAGCGGTCGAGACTTGCAGTAGTTGTATTTAACGTTCGTGAGTAATCTCAAAGTAGAAGCCTCAGCCTCAGGTCGTTGGGACATGGAGGTGCCATTGTAGCAAATAGTCGACGAACAAAGGAGCGACGAGGACTTTTTTTCGTTTACCAACTTGAGCAGGGAGGTCACCTGAGTCTGTCTCTGTTCTTGGAAGCTGGCGTTTTTAGTATAATAGCAAGCAGTAGTTTACAACTTACCACAGCCTACTTTTTTCTTTAGTTCTGAAGTACTCAACATGGGTTGCGGCGCCAGTCTTCCCACCTCCAGCAGCGTGAGCAGCCTGCCTACCGCGGCCGATTACCCAGATTGCCCTCCCCCGCCCATGCGGAGCCCCACGGGGACAACAGCTACTGGTGGTACGCTGTTATCCTCCGGGAAAGGTGGTGGAGCTGTAGGAGATGTAGTTGCACATCAGCAGAAAAAGAGCAGCGGTGACAACTCGGGACCAAAACTCCGCATTTTCAGCATCAACGATGTGTACAAGCTGGAGAATCTGGCGAAGTTTCAAACGCTGTTGAAGCTTCACAACTGCAAATCAACACCGACCACCGTGGATTTGGTTACCCTGAACGGCGACTTGATTGGCGGGTCGCTACTGTTTATGCACTGCAAAAGTATCGTACTCGTAGTAATTGCATTTATGCATAATTACAAGTCTCTTTCTCAAGGTAAATCAGCATGTCAAATTTAATTTGTAATGCTGAGCCAATTTGTAATGCAATCCAAACTAGTACGATACTTTTGCACTTCATACTGTTCAACCTGGACAAGGGGAGATCAATCATCGACGTTTGCAATCATCTGCAAGTGGACTACATGTGCCTCGGCAACCACGAATTCGACCACGGGTTGAAGGAGTTGGAAAACCGGGTGCTAGAATTCCAAGGGAAAGCGTGGTTGAACACGAACGTGCGGTGTAGCTCACCGGTATCCACCACTGTAAATTTCCCGTACACGTACAAATGCGGTCTCGGCATGACAAAACTTGGCCTCGATCCTAGTTTAGCATGACAAGTTTTACCCTCCAAATTGGTGAAGTTTGTGATGCATCCTTACCCTCCAAATTGGTGAAGTGTTTGGGTGTGGTACGGGAAATTTGTATTGCATAGCCGGACGGAGAAAAAGGAGCGGTTTTGAACAGCATGCCGAGATACGACATTTTGGAAGTGGATGTACCACAGCCAGGACCTTCTACTTCTAGCAATCATGGCACCACTGCTGCAAAGAAATTTCGCATCGGCCTGGTTGGCGTCTGCACGGCGGAATCCCCGAGTCTCTCCCTGCAGGACCCAACGAAGGAGGGGGTGGAATTTTTAGACCCCTTTGTGGAAACGCGAAAGATCCTCGACGGCGTTTTTTTCTGCAACCATCCGAGTAAGAAGCAGGTCGACGCTATGGGTGTGTGGTCAGGATCGAAATCGTCAAAGTTGAAATAATTTGTAATGCAGAAATTGCAAGGCATGACGCGCCTGTCTTGCCGGGATGGCAAGTGAGGCCGATTGTGAGCCTGTTTAGGGTTTGAAATAGAGCTGCTAAAGTAGCATGACAAATTGGAAGATTCCGGTGCTCGGAAAATTTGTCATGCGCCGCTTGATAACTGGGTCGCCGATTGGCAACCATTTTATGCATGGCAAATCGTTTGAACTTTGACGATTTCAATCCTGACGCATCCATAGACGCCGTTATTGCCATCACGCACCAAAGCAACGCGGACGACGAGAAGTTTCTAAAAGAGTTTCCAGAAATCAGCTGCGTCCTGGGCGGCCACGACCACATTCCGTGGCGGGTGTTTTGTGATGGTGGTGCAACTCCTGATAACGCCACCAGCAAGCGAATCGCGGTGAAGGCGGGATTGGACTGCGAGGCCGTGGACATTGTGGAGTTTGAGTTTGGTTCCACCGGCTTGAATTTTTCCGGCCACACCTTCGTCTCACTCGTCGGGCCGGCTGCGGAAAATCTCCTCGATCCGGAAACGGGTGCGGTTCTGCGCCCGAAGTATTTTGACGACCCAGAGTTGCTGGAGAAAATCAAACAGCACAAGAAAATCCTCTCTCTGAACGACTTCGCGATTCTGGATTGGCGCGATTACGATACCCTTTTGACCGAGGTGAACACTGCCGCGAAACACGAATCCGATCCCTGGACGACCAAAAACATCCGCTCCAAACAGTGCAATTTCTACCATTTGATTGCGAAGTGGTGCAAGGAGGAACTTTGCGGACACTACCGAAACGATATGACAGTGCACAACTCGACGTCCCCCCGCTCATTTGTCATGCAAAAACCCAAATCCATTACCAGTTGCTAGTACCAGTACCTTGTGGCACCGCGTGCATGACAAATTCCGGAAATCCAAACAGTACTACACTTTGCGCATGAACTTGTCATGCACAGGGTCCTCCTGTGCTGTTGTTCTTGTTTGTAATGGTGTTGATGCCATACATTACAAATGAGGGGGAAGGGCAGTTGAAGTTGTGCACTTTCATAAACGAGGCGGACGAAACCGGGAAACTGGCCTGGAGTAACTCCATCATGATTGTCAACAGTGGGCAGTTTCGGGCCAACGTGAATTACGACTACAGCGAGAAGCTGAGTTTTATAGAATGCAAAAGCATCGTACTAGTAGAAATCGCATGACAAATTCCCTGAGCATGAAAAATTGAATTTGTAATGCGGATTTATGTCAAGAAGGAGATTTGTAATGCGTGACTGCGATTACTACGACTACGATACTTCTGCAGTGGATAAGTTTTACGGATCTGCAGAAGGAGCTCGCGTTTAACAACAGACTAATGAAGCTCCGGATCGTCGGGAGGGATGTCGCTGCTTTACTGCAAGAATCGGAGGCGACCCGGAAGGGGCAGGGCGGGTATTTGCAGTATGACCCACGGAGCGTGGAGGTAGAAGTCACCGAAGAAGTGGGTGATGCGCCTGCGCTTACCATCAAATCGATCAACAACATTCCGTATCAAATGCAAATATGTCTGGGTCTGGAGGAATGCAAGTTTGTCATGCTTATCTGGCATGACTCGAGAATCTGTGTTGCATAGGCACGCAAGAGCCCTCTTAACTGTCATGCGAAAAGGCAGTTTTCCATGCGGAATACATAAGACATGGCAGCCACAAAATTTGTCATGCATAGCTGCGTATTGCGGCGCGGTTATCATTCACTTTTAGCATTTTTAACCCAGACATACTTGCAATTCATATTCCGTTCAGTCCAGACACGGAATACACGGTCATTTTAGTCGTGAAAATGCTGCAGGGCATGGATAACTGGGAGATTCTGAAGCGGTATGGGTTGAAAATTGAAGAAGAGTTGAAACTGCCACTGAACAGCATTCTGGACTCCGCCCCGGGCATGTTGGACTTGTGCCTGAACCACCTGCTAAAGGAGAAGTGGCGTCAATTGGTGAAACTGTTCGAGTCGACGGCGAATTACATGCCGAGTTTGACGAAAAGCTTGGCTATGGCGAAAGTGGAAATGCGAGACGAGGAAGCGACAGAAGGACGAGGCACAGCAACAACTACCAAAGACCTACCAACTGCAAACATGTCTGGGTCCTCTGGATGAGTGCAGATGCCACCCAGAGCGTCTCTCTGGCATACAGGGGCCAGTAATATCACAGGTCGTTCTTCGAGAGCTTCGTTCACGAGAATGCCTAGTACTCTGCATGAGATGACATTTGCTCTCACCATGGCCAAAAGGAAACAACTTTTGATGTACTTAAGTTTGTGCAAGATCACAGATTTTTGTGATTTCGTGATGTGGAACTGGAATGCGCATGAGCACATGATGTTGCAACCTTCGCCTTCCAGGAGACCCTGAAGACATATTTGCAATGCATAAGACATCACGTTCGACGATTTGCGCAAGGTGGCGTCGCAGTACGCGGCGGAGCGGCGGAAGTTGATGGGAGGACAGATGATGAACCACACGGGAACAAACGAGGACGAAGATGATATCCTGTGTGAAAACATCCCCACCCCATAGTCAAGTTGTTGGAATCTCTGCAACACAGATCCAGGAGTTCTGGGAGCCACGCATGACACGTTGCACTCCGTAGTGTAGTGCAGGCTAGCGAGGACAGCCGCATCACAAAGTATCCGTCTGCTCATCCTGTTTACAGTATTACAAATACCAAAACACGACTAAAAATGCCCATCATGGGGATGCGCATCACAAATGTTCCTGTCGTTGCAGATCTGCATGACAACTCTGGGGTGATCGGGACGTTGTTGCACAGGATAGATGACGAAGAGGAAACGCTTCTCCTCCGGATGATGTTCGTATGACAGTGCACAACTCACCCTCGTCCCCCTGGCCGTCATTTGTATAGCATGAACGGCAATACAACCATCTCCATCAGCAAGAATGCCGGTTCTGCATGGCAAATGATTTGCGCTGGAGTGTCGTGCTATTATTTGGACTACCAGAACTTATCATGAAAACAGTGCCAAGAGGCAAAGGGTGGACTCGGTATTTTGCAAGACAAATGAGGGGCGGGAGGGGGGGGGGTGGTGCACTGTCATAATTCGACCTGTTAGACGTGAATAAGGACGGGGTCGTGGACCAGAAGGAGCTGGAGCAGTTGTGCAGCAGTCCGAAGCAGAGCCAACACCGGGGAACGGTGGTGGTGCATCATTCTTGAGGACGGGTTCTTGTCTGATATCTTGTGCTTCTGGAGATTCGTACTGCTGGTCTGCGTTGAAGCCATTTTCCTTTTACAAATAGAAGTACTTACCACAGAAGTTTTTACAACTTACTACACCTCCACTTTCTCCCCAATTAGAACCTAGTGCGCTCAAAGTAACTGAGCCCGTTCATCTTGGGTCATTTATCGTTTTCCTTTATTCTTGATCTTGACAGACAGGAGGACGAGAGTAGACTTCATACCTTGTTGTGTTGCTTCACCGACCGAGTTGTAGCGAGCTATTTTTTTCTTGTCGTACTAAAATGTTGGCATTGTGGACCACGAAGAGCAAAACGAGCTGCAAGTTTGATTACAAATGAAAATGAACACCAACTGAGGAGCTGGTATCCGCGGAGGTTAAAAATACAACTTCACCTGGAACTACCTTCGGCGGAAAATTCGAATTTGTTTACCATCCGAAAGAACTTTCTGGAGGAGATCGTGAAAGGACCACCTGTTGTTTTAGTTTCATTCTTCACGTCGTGCAACGGCCTTGGGTCTACTCGACGAGCATTTCCAAACGTGCAAAAAATGCGTCGTCAACTTCTAGTGGAGTCATCTTCTTGGGGAACAATGTGAGTAAATGTTTAGACCGATGAGCGACCACGCGGGTGACGCAGAGGGATCCAGTGAAACTGTATGTCTCTTGTCCAAGTTACAGAAATCTATTCCTCGGCCTGAGTTTTTCCTTGAGCGAGAACACGCAGGTGATGTGCTGTCAAGATGCACATAGAGATTAGATAACAGCTTCGCAAAAGTAGAGTAGAGCAGTTGCGATTGTCTTTCATGTCTCTCTTGTTCAAAAATAGCGAGTTTCATGTTGGCTTGAGCAAGCACAACATTCATTAGAAGTGAAGTCATCTACACAGCAAGTCCTCTATCTTCACGAAGATGGGCGAACTCTCCGAAGAGCAGTACAAGATGTGCTGCGACGCTTTCGCGGCCTTTTCCAGCCAGGAAGGTCTGCTGACCCCCTTCGAGTTGAATAATTGCATGCGCTCGCTCGGACACGTATGCATTGTAAATTTCGACCCGTACATGTACTTACAAAATGCATGACAAAGAAATATCGCTAATTTCAGTGTACAACTTGTCATGCTAGACTAGGATTGAAGGCAAGTTTTGTGATGCAGAGACTGCATTTGTACCTGTGCGGGAAATTTACAACTGTGGATAACACGCCCCGGGATCCGAGGAATTCGCAAAAATTCTGGAAGAACACGACTTATACTCGAAGGGAGGGGTATAGGATTTTGGGTTGACGTCGAGCTCAAGCACCATGTTGTAATATTCGCATGACAGTATGACTGGTGAAGATTCACACGCATTTATGACAATAAAGACATAAGTTGTACTTAGCAAATACTAAATGTAAATCAGGTGTCACTCCAAGGCTTCCTCTACATCATCGCCCAGAGAGAGGCGTCAACAACGTTGAAAACGGGGCTACTCGACGTGTTTAGCAAATTTGACCGAGACCAGAACGGATTTGTAGACGCGGAAGAAATCAAGGAGGCGATGATGACGCTGGGCGAAGAGCCGTTTACAGAAGACGAGTGGGTGAAACTGCTGGAGGAGTACGAGATGCCGCCCGACAATCTATCCTGTGCAAATAAAGCATCGTACTCGTACGAATCGCAGGCATGCTACACAAATTTCTTTTTCAAGCTATTCAATCTATCAGCATGGCGTATTCCATTTGTCAGCCATTTGTAGCCACGCTGAACCAAAAATTTGTATTGCAAGATTACGAGGACGAGGAGTGCGATACTTTTGCCGTTCATAAAAGCAAATCGACTACCATCAACTCGTCGAGATTATGACTCGGAAGCACGACCAGCCGTGAGAGGGGTTCTCGACAACTGGTCTGAGATGTTGTTAGCACTACACTGCCTACGAAGATATCAGACAGTGTTTTTTTGACAAGTAAAAGTCAGCAAGTTTATTTGGAACAATCGCAGCGACCTGCTGTTCCTGCGCGCTATCAGAATGGTTGTGTAAGTTGTGAAGTGAAAAGTTGTCAAAAGCGCGGCCTTTGTCGTATTAAAACGACGCGGTCAGCACAAAAATCGAATTGTGTTGAATGTTACGTGGCAGGGAGTTCTCACCAGTGACTCCTAGTGGTTGACGGTGGTCCTGTCGCCCGCCACTGTCGTGAAACAGCCCCGTTGTGTATACTGTTGTTCAGGAAAATTTTTGTTTTGTGCTGGCCTTCTTTGTGTTGGCCCTGGTTTCCCGCGTTTTTTTCGCACGACATCCCCGGGTCAAATGTGCACGAGAGGGCGTTGGCCCTCAAAATAAAAGCGCCGGGCGCGCCGCGGCCTTTTGGGTAGCCTAGGTAGCGAAGAGAATGAACGGCCGACGGCCTCCCATCAATCAGAACCCCGGCCCGGGCCCGGAGTAGATGCAGCCGGCGCGCAAAATAGAGAGGCCACTCTCATGGGCGTGCGTGCTTGCGAAACAAAGACAACCGCCATAATTTTGCGCGCGGCCCCGGCGTGTCTCGCGGGCGCCCCTTGGGGCGGGGCCGGCTTGGGGTGCGTGGTCCGCGGAAAAGTTGTGCTTCCTCCCTAAGCCACAACTTTTCCCGGAGTCCGGTCGTGTTTGAGGGTAAAAAGAAGCTGCACAACGCCCAAGGGGGGCAGAAAAAGACAGCCACAGGTCGTGCGTAACCTAATGCAGCATGGTATGGCTGCGAGGAAAATTCGCACGCAGCGATACCATGCAGCATAACCTCACGCCCGATGCTACCGGGAGTGCGAATATTGCTGCTTGGGGATAGCATCGCGCAAAAGGTTACGCCCGACGGTGTGCAGCGGCTGTGGCAGCCGCTTTTGGCGAACGGGGGGATTTGTAATGCGGAGAAGCGCCCGGGTTGCGGAGAACCCGAGGGTCCGGGCTTTCCCCTTTTCCCATTTTACCCACAACCCGAACCCCGAGCTCTGGGGAGCCCCGCACTCCGCATGTGTAATGCGGAGAGCCCGACCTTTCCGCCCATTGCATTTGTAATGCGGAGAGCCCGGCCTTTGAAAGGTCGGGCTCTCCGCATTACAAACGCAATGGCTATGGGCACCTTTCCGCACTTGTAATGCGGAAAGGCCACCTTTCCGCATTTGTAATGCGGAGAACCGGAGGCGCGGTCTTTCACTTTCTCCAACCGGAGGAAGCGGAGTTTGCGAATTTGTGGCGCGGCTTTTCTCCGGCGGGGAGAAAAGCTGCATCTGCATCCGGCTGGTTTTCCAATTTTGTAATGCAGTTTTTCTCCACCCGACCGCTCGAGCGGAGAAAAACCGCGCGCAAAACAAGTAGCTTTGCGCGCGAAAAAACGGGCACAAGCCCTATGAAAAGCGCAGCTTCTACCCCGTCCGGAGCGGGAAAAGTTGTAAGCGGGTGGAGCCCCATTTGCTTCCTCATTCTCGTAGGTCGCTAGTTTCATTCTCGTGGCACTATATGCTCTTTCTGGGGTCAAATTGTATTTTGTCCGTTCATAGCCCCGTTGTGTATCTATACTGTTGTTCAGGAAAATTTTTGTTTTGGATATTAGAGAGATGCGACAGCTATACGCAGATGAAAGTCGAGGCGAATTCGAACACTTGAACCTCCGCAAGTAGATCCAGCACTCCTGCTGTACGCGCAAAAACTTCATCTTTTGCAGCGACAGGAGAAGAAGCACTAAAAGTTTTTCTCAAGATCACTGCCGAGAAAGTCTTTTAACTTTCTCCATCTGCTGATGTTCATAGTACACCCGCATCAGCGCCGGTAGCAGCAGCGTTGGTTTTTTTTCTGCATCGCGTTTTTATGTTGCGGCATAGTTCTTGCTGATAATTTTTGCACCTCGCAGGTACTTCTACTCACAGTGAGATAAACGAACCGGAAATTTCAAATGGCAATTGAATTGACAAAAAAAACGTAGAAACGACGTGAGGATAGGCATTGTTTCGTAAATGTCACTTAGTTAAAAACCGGAGCCGTTTGAAAAATACCAAATATGATAGTGTCAGAATAGTACTACTGTATTGAAATAGAGCATCAAGTTGGACTTCGACTTACCAGCTAGTACGTATAATCTCGTGAATTTTTGACGACAATAAACTCTACTTCTATCTCAGCTTCATTAAGCTTGTTTATCCCTTCTGCAGTATTTTTGCGAAAATCGAAACGAAAAGAAATTGAAATCACACATAAAAAAATGTCAACGCCTTGCTTCTACATGTTCTTTCTCCAACAAATGAGATACAAGAAAGGCGGACCAAGAAGTTCCTTTATCGGCGACTTTTTAAGGTTTTAGCAATATTATTTTACGATATTTTTTTAAGGTTTTATTTTGCGATAATTTTTTTACGATTTTTTAAAAGCTACTTGATTTAAGTAATGAATTCCGCTCCGTATGGTAAATATACTGCGACAACCAAAATCGATGTGGTACTACGCACTGCAAGCCGGTTGACGACTCTCACACCCTTCCTGTGAAGGTTTTTCCGAGGAACCAACTTGGCGCGGCTCGCACGAGTAAAAATCGAATAAGACGAACGAACTCCAGCCAGGAGGTTGTATAGCTGGAGAAGCTGTATCACCAGCGTCCGTCGGGCGAGGCGGCTGGTGTGCAACTACGCATCAAGTACAGCGTGAAGTGGAGTTAGGAATAAATTATCCAAACACTATATTAAACGCGGACGAAGAACCGCGACCTAAGCAGAACCGTAGAGCCGACCTTCCTGGAGGTGGAAGTGGAGAATGGGACTACTTCTGCTACACCGACATAACAACGCGACGAGGCGAAGTAGTTGTAAAACCAAAGAGATTTCTTGTCTCCATCAGCAATGTTTTCAACTTCAAAACACAAAGAGACCCTGCTCCTGGACAAGGACCACGAGATCAACATACTCAATAATTTTTTCTTTCGCATTTTTAAAACGAAAACTAAGCAGTCGCAGTCGTCCACCACCAGGCTTGTTCTGTCACTTCGGAACACCAAGACGTGGGATAGTTCTTCTTTGTGTAGTCCTAGTACCTTTCCTACAACTTCTTATTTCTGTTACCGGTCTCAGAGCTGCTGCTCCATCATCTCCATCTTCCAGCAAGAAAGGACATCATCAGCGTCGACCAGGCCAGGACTTTCCTCCAGGGAACAAACACCAAGGGAACCACGACCGTGCTGAAGGTTCGTCTTCTTCCGCTGGGGCATATAGAAGTAATTCCCAGCGCCAACCACTGAATCTTCAATCTGGGGTAGTTCATCTAGAACCTCCTGGTGGACCACACGCACACAATGACGTGCAAATTGTCCAGCGCCAAGTGCTGGAAATGGCGCAGCACAGGGATCATGTTGACGAATCGGGTAAAAAAACGGCAGGAGAGCATCTGCATCACCGTGGCGGTGATATTTTTGGTGCAAGATCCCCGTCCAATATTCTCGATGATGATGCTCAAAACCACGACGACACCACCAGAGAAGATGAAATAGCAACACACGATCGAGTTTACGCGCAACAAGAGCAGCTGCGCCACCATGTCGAGCCCCTCGACATTCAAATCACGTGGGAAACGCGGTCGCACGCGAAGTTTTGCTTCATCTACACTGCGAAGCTGAAAATCAAAAAAGAAAAGAAGCGAGGAGCCCGGAAGCGGAAGCGGACCATTATGCCCTTGGGGGAAGAGGAGGAGGGGGATCAAGATCAGGACATGACTTCTTCTGGGAATAATTATTTCGGAGGGCTACCACGACAGGAGGATGCTTTCGCGGACCACATTGCCGCTGACCAGGAACTCGCGGCGCAGTACGAAGCATTGGAAACCGATTTGCAAAAAGACCTCGAGATGCTTAACGTGATGCAAAAATCTAGGGCGGAAGCAAGAAAGAATAGATACGGAAGACACGACAATCACCAAGATCCTCAGAAGTATAAGGGGCAACAACAGCATCAACAAGCAGCCGCGAGCAGCAGCGCAGCAGATGGGTCGGTGCACCGCGGGATTCTTCGGGGAGGAGCGTCCTCTAGTAGTACTTCGCAGCACCCGCTGCAGGTGGATCCTGTACTCAGCGAAGAGCAGTTCCACCAAAGAGCTTTAGAGCTCCACGAGCGGATTGCGCAGAAGAAGCTGCAGCTTGAAAAGTTCTTGCACAGGGATCATCAGGCATCTTCATCTTCTGCCGATCTTCAACAGGTTGTTGATCAACATCGATCAGCTGCAAGGAGCAACAGCAAAACTTCGGGGGGTCATCACCAGCATCATCAAACCCACCACCACCCGACCGAGCAAGTGACCGTGTGTCAGCAGTACCGGCGAGTTCGGCAATACTCGACCCGCACCCATGGGGAAGTCTTTCCCTCCCCTGGACAGCGACTATCACAAGAAAAGAGGGTTACAGTTACACCTTTGTTGTAACTTCAGCAACACAAATTTTCTCTGTGTGGCAGAGAAAACTTGCAATGCAGAAATCCTAAGGGAAAACACGTACGAAATGAAGTTCGAAAGCATTTCTTGCATGACAAAGGTTGTCTGTCTTGCGGCTCTTACGACACAACCTGTATACTGTAAACATTTTTTTCTCACGATAGCGACGGAAGAAGGTCCACTACCCGCGGAAGCCGGACATATGAGAGTGCACAAGAGCCCCCCCCTGCCCCTCTTTTGTCATGCAAAACTCTGAGAAATCCAAGCGCTGCGCTGTGGCACTGTTTGCATGACAGATTCCGGAAGTGGCCCAGACAATATACTACAATAGGCGCATGAACTTGCCATGCAAAAGCGCGACGTGTGCTGGTGTTTGTATTGCTATTCATGCCAACATATTACAAATGAGGGAGAGGGGAAGTAAGTTGTGCACTTTCATAGGACCTGAAGACGGTCCACAACGAGATGAAGAGCAAGGCGCAGATCACCGTTGACAAGGCCCTGGCGCCCACCCTGCCCGGCGCGCGCGAAAATGCGGGGTTCGGGTGCGCGATTGAGATGCTGGAAAGGCGAGAGAAATGGCGCAGCAAGTGGCTGGATGCGTGCGGCTTCAGCGATTACGATCCGAATGTGATGTATGGGAGTGTCAGGATCGAAATCGACAAAGTTGAAATAACTTGTAATGCATAAAATGCATGACGCGAAATACGTGCGTTGCAGAGCAGGCAAGTGAGGCCGATGGTAAGCCTGTTTGGGGTCAGAGCTCGAGCTGCCAAAGCAGCATGAGAGAATCAGTCTTCTTTGCCTAAACAGCATTACAAACTGGATTTAGGCACCTCCAAGATTTGTCATGCGTCACTTGGAAACTGGGTTCCAACTGGCATCCATTTTATGCATGACAAATCATTTCAACTTTGTCCATCTCGATCCTGACAGTTGCATATGATGCTCAAGAAGGTGTTGCACATGCACGACACGCAAGAGGAACAGGACTTCGATGATGATACGTACTTTCTGTTCACGCAAGAGGGAAGCTCCGCGATGAACCGGGAGTTTTTTGAGTTGAACCACCGGAACCGGCTATCCTATGGAAAAACGTCCCCACACCATAGTCAAGATGGGAAATCTGCAACACAAATCCCCAAGTTTTGGGAGTTCTGCATGACAAGTTTCCATCTGCATTGTAGTGCGGACTGGCAAGGAAAGCCGCATGACAAAGCCATTTTCTGATCCTGTTTGCAGCATTGCAAATGCCAAAACACGACTGGAAATGCCTCTCATGGAGATGCGCATTACAAATGCTTCTGTCATTGCACATGTGCATGACAGCGCCGGGGTGGCGATGTTTTTACACAGGATGTCGGCACATCGTTGGGAATTACGAGTCCTCCTTTCCGGAGAACATCGAAATCCGCACCGACCGGAAAGTGGGGAGCCATCCGCAGAAGCAGTACATCAGCGATCCGGCCAAGCACAAGGCGGTGGTCCGAATCTCGTTGAGTGGAAACGGTTGGTGGGTCCCGACAGTTGGAAAAAAAACGAAAGCGGCTGCGCCACAAAAGATGACGAAGGTGTTGAACGACCAGGATGTTCTTGACAAAACTGCTAGTACCGCTACTGAAGCAGTAGCAGAGGCCGCGCCACCTCCAGTGCTAGCGCAAGAACTACATCAAGTCGAAACCGGTCGAGGACAAGAAGAAGACTTTGATTTCTTGCTATCCGAGATCGATCAAGATGACTCCAAAACCAACCGCGAGAAGGGGTTGATGAAAGAAACAGAGCGGCTCTTCACGGTGAAGAAGGAATTCGATGACGAGGCGGAGCGACTTTTGCGGGAAAAAGAAAAGCAGGCAGAAATTGCGAGAATACAGGAAGAGCAACAACGTCTTCTGGAGCAGACTGCACAAGGTAGTAGAGCAGGACTAGTACAGGAAGATGAAGCACATCAAAGCTACTCCTCGGAAGAGCAACGAGTTTCCAACTCGACCGCGGGTGCAGCTGGGGGAGGTGCAGCAGCTGGAGGTGCTGATGTTTCTGGCAACGGTACTCGGACCTCAGCGGCTTTGGCGGGCTCACCACACGGAGCGGGAAGGGCAGCAGCAGGGGCGATGGACGTAGAGGAGGGTGGTCAAGAAGGGCAGCACGACGAGGATCGGTCGGTTATTGAACAAGACCAAGCACGCAGACCTCGGGGAGATGATGCTGGACACCAGCAGGACCAAGTTATGCACCACAATCAGCCGGAGCCAGATATCGGCGTCCAAAGGGCGGGGCAGCTGAATCTAGACCTACTAGAACAGCAGCAGGATAAAAACGCGGCCCCCGCGCGCAGCGGGACGCCACTCACACTGAACGACGACGATGAACACAGAATCTGGATGATGCAGACGACGGATGAGAGCGGCGGGGAAAATCCAAACCAACCAGGAGGTGGAGGTGTTGGCAGATCGACGAACAGCTCCGGAGTTGCAGGGGAGCAGGAACAAACAGTTCCGGTGATCGTCGCATCATTGATGGAAGAAATGAAGGGCAAAGAGGTCCTGCCAGAAACCGTTGCGGACGATGGGAAGAGCACGCACCGGGAACACCCTACGCAAACGGGGGCGAACCGCGGCCACAAAGTGCGGAACTGCCTCGCGGAAATACACGAGCAAATGAGGAACGTCAGCTTCCTATGAACTGCAAAAGTATCGTACTTCTACTTGTAAGTGTTGCAATACAAATTAGCTCAGCATGACAAATGGAAGTTGCCCTGCTGATTTAGCTTGAAAAAGAAATTTGTCTTGCATGACTGCGATTAGTACGAGTGCGATACTTTTGCACAGGATACCTCCTCGCGGCCATGGAACGAGCGAACGAGGACGCGATAAACGTGAGTTTCAGCTACCCACCGACCCCGGACCGCTGCTCGCCCGATATTACGGGATATCAAATGCAAATATGTCTGAGTCTGGAAGAGTGCAGATTTTTGTCATGCTGTTTTTGCATGACACAGCCGGTCTGTCATGAAAGCCCTAGCATCACAGATTCCGAGACCGTGCCGCAATGCTTATTCCGCATGACAAATCCTTCTTTTTGGTGACAGGAAATGGGCACCTCTTGCTGCCTATGCATGAGAGATTTGCGCGTGCAGTGGAATTCGCATCACAAGTTTGGACCCTTCCAGACCCAGACATATTTGCATTTGATACGGGACGAACAGACGCAAGCTCCCGGATCGCACTGCTGCTGTATCCTGAGAAAAAAGTGTTACAGTTACACATTGTGTTGCAGGCCAACCAAGACAGACAAGCTCTGTCATGCCTGAAGATATGCATAGGAGCCTCCTTTGCCATTCATAGGTGAAGGTGTTTTCCCGTAGGATTTCTGCATTGCAAGTTTTTTCTCTCATGCAGAGAAAGTTGTGTTGCTGAATTGACAACAAATCTGTAACTGTAACACTTTTTTCGCGCGATATGCTGGCTACCACTCCGACTACAAACGCTGACGGGAAGCCGAGAAGGCCTCGGTCTTTCGTTCCCAAAATTGTGATGATCGAGCCCCCGCCGGCGGAGAGAGAACCAGAACACCCTGCGGAAGCTGCAGAAGACCACAAGTCGAACCAAGAAAGTAAACAACTTCAAGAAACCACTGCAGGAGCGGAAATAAATGCTGCCGCGGCGCAGCAGCACGACGCAACTACAGCAACAGGCGAGCAGGGGATGATGTTGAAAGGCAAGCGACAGCGACAGGCAAGTAAAAACAGCATGAGTGAAGGTCAGCGGCGGGGACAGCAATCGCAGGATCATGTTGGGGAGCATTTGCTACACGATCAGCAGGATCCGGACTCACCAGAAGAGGAAATAAGTTATGGACAAAACAAGCAAGCCGCACAAGAAGAAGGACCACCACAGCTGCACCAGCAAATAACGAAAGTGGTCCCCGCGACGACAACTTCCTCCTCACCGAAGAAAAGCCGTGGCGGAGGAGAACAAGGACTCCTTCACATTCCAGCCGCTAACACACATTCCGTCTCAAACAGCACCACGGCTGGGCTGACCACGCTCGTGAACCACGGGGCAATGACTGGTGTAGTGGAAAACGCGGGATCCCGAGACAGTCACGTGAGTGGAAGATCCAACATGACGAGCGGCAACGCCGGACGGGCGGGAAACGCAGTGGCCGCTGCGGGAGTGGTAGTATGCATTGCAAAAGTATAATATCTTCGTCCTACTAGTACTACAGGAATTCGAATTGCAATACGAACAAGTAGCTCAGCATGACAAAAAATGGAGCTTGTCAACATTCAGATTCAGCTTGAGATGGGGATTTGTGACTCCTGATTGCGATTAACACTAGTACAACGGGTTCGAAGATACTTTTGCACAGGATAGGTAGCAGGACCTCACAGTAATATGGGAAGTCCCCCGCCAGGCCCGCCAGCGACGCCCAACAATGGATCTTCTACTAGTAGGCAAGATCTACAACTCCCGGTGCAAAGTCCAGTAATTGAACATTTACAGCACAATCCCGTCAGAGTTGTCCTGTCCCCCGCGGCGGGGAATGACCTTCAACATCCTCCGCCCCCCTGGCCAGACATGGCGCAAAACGGCACCTCCACGAGCGGACCGTTGCAAATGCACCACCTCCCCACACCAGAGGCCTCGGAAGCGGTGGGGTCGCATGACTTGAGTTTACAACAACTAGCCTACAACACGACCAGGTCCAGTGTGGTCCTGTATCAAGTGTAAAAATGTCTGGGTCTGGAAGAATGCGCGATTTGTCATGCAGCTTTTCCATGACCCATGAGGTCTGGAATACGAGACCCAGCATGACAGATTCTTTGAGGTCTCTATCATGCCTTTCCTGCATGAGAAACTCCCTCTCAACTTGGTCAAAAGGGTACAGCTTTTGGCACTCATGCAACACAGATTTCTGCATGATTCGGATTTAGCATGACAAGTTGCAATCTTCCAGACCCAGACATTTTTACAATCCATATCCTGCCTAGTGCGACGAAAGGAACTAGTACATCCAGGGGAGGTATCCAGGAAAAAACACCCATCCCCATCCAATTTGTCATGCAAAACATGCATGAAGTCCACTACTTGTCATGCAAAAAATGGATGGGGATGGGTGTTTTTTCCTGGATAGGAGGTGGTGGAGCAGGAGGAGCTTCTGGGCCAGGTACTCGTTCTGGGATTCGAACAGGAGCAGGCAACAAGGAAGACCAGATGAACACCACACAGAGCCCTATCACGTTACTAGAGATGCAGCAGATGCAAGATCAATTTCAAGACTTGCAGCTGCTAGGTGCGAGACGTAGCCCGCGCGCAGGAGCAGGCGGAGTTCTTGTTCCTTCCTCATCTGTGCGTGAAGATGTTGCACCCGCTGCCACCTACGCGGGGGGAATGATTGATGTTAGGTCGGGCGCTGCAGCTACGGCTCCTCGAGAGCAGGGCGCACATCACGCTGCGGCCGCAAATAAAACTGCGGCAAGCGGAGGTACTAGCGGTAATACTAGAACAAGAAAGCAGACACGACCGCAAGTAGATGAACAAGCCGCGGCACCACCACCAGCTCCTGCTACATCAACCAACGATAACCATAACCGCGTGGAGGCGATGCTGAGTGGGGATTTAGATGATTTGCTTAACCTATGGATTGCAAAAATGTCTGGGTCTGGAAGAGTGTGAACTTGTCATGCAGGTTTTCCATGACCCTTGAGGTCTGCAATGCGGGACCTAGCGTGACAGAGTCTGTGCGGTCTCTTTCATGCCTATCCTGCATGAGAAACTCCCTCCCAACTTGGTCGAAAGTGGACAGCTTTTGGCACTCATGCAACACAGATTTTTGCATGATTCGGATTGAGCATGACAAGTTGCAATCTTCCAGACCCAGACATTTTTGCAATCCATATAATCGCCAGTCGTTTCTGGATGGATTGCAGCGGAATTCCAGCGTCGATGTGCACAGACATTCTAATTCCGGCGGAGGTAATACAAAAGATGTTAACCTGATGAAGCATGTCAAGAAATCCTCGGCACGAGAGGTGGAGGACCAGGCAAGAGCAATGGTGAGTCCCGATCACCATTTTCCGCAGGAGCTTGTCGGCAATAAAACTAGTATGGACGTGGAGATGCGCAATGCAACGGCAGGGGGAGGAGGGGGAGGCCGAGGTGGACTACAGAATTTTTACCAACAGCACCAAATCGGCGGAAGTTCGTCCTCTTCCGCCATGGTAGGTGGGCAAAAACTACAATATTCCCAGGACGTTGCACCAGTTGTACAACATCTTCCACCTCCGCAAAAGCCGCCCTCACATCCCGCGACCAGCGCCGCCCACGCAACAGGCGGTGGAATAACCACCATCAACAACGTTACTGGCGGATACCATTTTTACGCCAGCAGTGCAGCCGCTGCAGCTACAACAGCGTCTATTGTGCAGAACGAAGGAACGAATGGTCCAAACCCAACAGTAAATCAAGATGAAAAACCGAAGCAGGGGGAAGTTTTGCCCCGAAATGTGAAGAACTTTGTGCATTTAGAACCGATCCACTTTCCGCCAACCATCATAACCCCGAGCTTTCCCTCCGGGGACAAGAATGTGATAAAAGAGCAGTACGGGGGGGACGACAATCACCCAGCACTTCTCCGGTTCCCCCACATCAATCAATTGACAGACAACACGAGGCAAACGGAGGAGCAGCGGGAATATTACAACAGTAAAAACGCGCTGCTGCATTTGCGGTTCGGCGGCCCGAACGCGGGCGAGGGGGTATCGAACTGGCGGGGGTTATCAAGTGCAAAAGTGTCTGGGTCTGGAACATTCTAAACTTGTGATGCTGTCTCTGGATTCTGAAAAAAATTGTATTGCATGACCAGCAAGAGGGCTCCAGTTTGTGCTACGTGGAGAGGGCATTTCTCATGCTGTACAGGTATCACAAAGCGCTCTAAAATTCTGTGATGCTACGGCATGCATCACAGACATCATGGGGCATGGAAAATATGCATGACAAACCTAGAAACCTTCCAGACCCAGACATTTTTGCATTTGATAGGGGTCTTTTAGTTACAAAGTGTACCGGGAAATTGTGGATATTGAGAAATTATTCCCCTTCCCGGTATTGGACGATATCATTGTCGACGTGAAAACGGGACAACAGGTCGACGGCGCTCAAGAAGTTCTGGAGGAAGAGTATCATGTTGAGGAGCACCGGGGGCGGCCTGGTAGCGCGATCAAGCAGAAAAGACATCAGCACGTGTCAAAAATAAAGCCGGAAGTGTATCTGGAGAATGGGGTTATTGTGAAGAAAAACCGGACCACGAGTCATGTTCCTGCAGATGCCCAGCAGCCACGACACTGTAGTGCTACGCCGAGTCCTCCTCCTCGCGGTTCTAGCGCTGCAACGCAGCAAGACAAGAACCAACAGAGGCAGAAAGGTTGTGCTAGCGCTCTATCTGCGCAAAAAGCGAAAAATAACTTCATCTCTGCCGAAGCGGAATTCCCCGAAGCGCTGACCGCCGCCGAGCACCATGCGCGGGTTGCGAACAGCAGTTGTGAGGTACAACTGTTCGGAGAACAGGAGAAACCGGTACGGGTGTCCACCTCGATCGAGAATGATCTCCAGGTCCGGGCGATTTCCAACGAATATGAGAGTGCACAACTACTTCCCCTCGTTCTCATTTCTCATGCAAAATACCTAATTTACGCATTGCCTCCTGTCACTATTATGCATGACAAGTTCTGGCAGCCCAGATAGCACTATACTCCTGTCCAAATTAAAATTTGTCATGCAAAACCTGTATTCTTATTGACGGTTGTATTGCTGTTCATGCAATACAAATGAGGGGGAGGGGGAGTTGTGCACTGTCATAACGAAAACAGCCGGACCAGTACGGATCAAGATCAGAACTTGATGCAGGTAGATGATGGAGTGGGAGGTGGAGCTGCAGCTGCTGCGCCATCTCCTCGTGTTCCTTACAAAGACCCACAGATGGCTGCCCTCGCAGCTCTGGCAACTACTACAGGAGTTGTGAAAACTACGGACGACAAGAAAAACTGCCTGACTCAGTCGTTGAAAAAGGCTGCAGAGGGTCGATATGCACTGCGAAAGTATCGTACTAGTAGAAATTGCATTACAAACTGCCTCAGCATTACAAATCAATGCAATTTGTAATGCGGATTGCCTATGATAACTAGATTTGTATTGCATCTCTGCGAATACTACGAGTACGATACTTTTGCAGTGCATAGTCGAAGTGGTATGGTAGTGATACCGTCCGTTCGCGGTATGAAAGGAGGTACTAGTAGTAGTTCCAGTCGCGGAGGAGGCGCAGCAGGAATATTATCTACAGGCGCTGGCATGAGCAGCGCCGCGAGTTGCGCTAGTTCTTCGGCTATCAAATGTAAAAATGTCTGGGTCTGGAAGAATGCAACTTGTCATGCTAAACCTGAATCAGGCAAAAAACTGTGTTGCATGATTGCCAAAAGTTGTGCACTTTTGACCTAATCGAGAGGCAGTTTCTCATGCAGGATAGGCATCAGAAAGGTCCCGCAGAATCTGTCATGCTATGTCCTACATACCAGACCTCATGGGTCATGGAAAATCTGCATGACAAATCTGGCAATCTTCCAGACCCAGACATTTTTGCAATCCATATCGGCGTTGCCTGACAGTACCTCGTATGCATTGCAAAAGCATCGCACTAGTATGGACCAGCCATGCTCCGGCTGCCGCCGGAGCGCAAGGCTGTTGGGTCGGGGCAAGACTGTTTGCCGATAGGACCACAACCCCGCGGGCCTATGCACAACGAAACACATTGCGCCGCGCCAACCCGCAGGACCACTTGCGCGCTTCCCGCGCCTGTGGGCGCTCTGCGCAGGGAGCAGCTGCAAAGACCACCGGGGGCGAACAGAAACCGCCCGGCGGGGGAGGGTAGCGCGAGAGGGTGGCGCGAGAGGGTGCGCGAGAGGGTGGCGCGAGAGGGTGGCGCGGAAAGGCGCCGAACAAAACAGCTCCGCGAATGGCCTGCAGTGCCAAATATGGGTAGTGCCATGCGGATTCGCGCCCGCTTCTTTGTGTTTTACCCTCTCGCAGACCTCTCGCAGACCCTCTTTTTGGCCTCTTTTGGGGGTCCCCGCTAATAATCCGGCTATACTCGCGGGTAGAGGTCGACAGAGGTGGCCGAGAGGTGGCCAAGAGGGTCCGCGAGAGGTCGCCCCTTATTCGCGCCACCTCTCGCCACCTCTGTCGAACTCTCGCGCCCCCTCTTTTTGACCTCTCTGCACCCTCTGAGGCACTTAGGCGCCGCCTTAGGGTGGGTCCTTCGGCGGGCTATACTCGCGCACCCTCTCGCCGGCCCTCTCGAAAGGGGTCCCGCGCCACCTCTCCACCTCTGTCGACCTCTTTTTTACCTCTTTTGACCTCTTTTTGACCTCTCGGCCACCTCTTGTTTACCCTCTGTCTACCTCTTTTTTCGCATGAATATAATATATAGTAATTGCATTACAAATTTGCCCAGCATGAGAAATAGGATTTGTCATGCTGTTTTACCTTTAGATGGAGATTTGTAAATGCATAACTGCGATTACTACGAGTGCGATGCTTTTGCATTGCATACCTCGCTGCAGATCCAGGACCGGAAGTTTCGTTCCTCGACGAACACCATGCTGCCACTTTACAGCGACGAGCAAAGTAGATGCACAGGAGCTAGCAGCAGTGGCGCGGCGGGGGCCGTGGACACTGTAGACAGTTTGACGAGTTGCTGTGTGCAACATCAAGGAGCAAATAAAGGTCCTGGAAAAATAAATCATGGAGATGATCCTGCGACCTGCAAAGGAATAGGAGTAGGAAATAAGCAGGACCACATGGAAATAGTGGAAGAAGTAGGTGGTCAACAAGACGGGAACAGTAAGAGCAACAGCGGAACAAGTGGTAACAGCTTGGAGCAGGAGGGATCGCTCATGTCCGTTTACGACGTAGAACCTTTAGAGCAGGAACATGACAAGTCCACAAAAAAGCCCACGACGGAAAGCTGCGAAATCCAAAGTTTTCTCTATGACAACCAAACCTCCTCGAGGCCATCTCACAACCGCCCCGCGACCAGCGAGTCGAGTCGCAACGCCACAGTGTCGGAGGGAACCGGGGTCTTGTCATCCGCCCAATCGGGATTGAGTAGCCAAGCCAGGGAAAGCGCAAGCTCCATGTACGCGAATGAGGGTGATCTATTGATGGGCGACCACAACAACTTCCGGGGCCGTTTGCATTTGGGCAGTTCGGAGGGGCGGAATGAAGAGAATAGATTGCCACCGATTTTAGGCACCACCTCCAGTGGAGTTGTTCCTGCCCTAATGGGACCTCCGACGGATACCTCAGGTGACCACGATACACCTGCAGAAGCATGCTCCTCGGGTGACAGCTACTACGCTGATATGATATCTGCGGGTTCCTCCTCACCCGCGGATGTTGGTGGTTCAAATAATATAGCAGGAGGAATAAAAATAAATCATACGGATCATGCCTTGAATACAGCATCCGGAACCAAAACGAAAAAAACGCCAACCTGGAAGAAGATGGCACACAGTGTTTTCAACAAAATGGGCAGCAGCAAGGGTTGTGCAGTCTCAACACCAACACCTACTACTACGCCAGAACATAGTCCTGAAAAGCAGCCGGACTCCTGCTCTCTACCCTTGATGAAGAACCTAGCCGGACCACCTCCGCCCGATCATGCGGGTGTGGTCGTGCCAAAGAAATCAATGGCGTCCTCCTTTCTCGGCCGAGGTGCCGACCACAAGGCGTCTGTTCAAGTCGCGCCAATGGTGCCATCGTTGGACAGCGATAACTTCAGTAATTGCATCCTGCCTCGCGTGCCGACTTCTTCCGACGCGGACCTGCTGTCCCAGGGATCGTCGGGAACAAAAGGGAGCAACAAGTCGGGAAGTGGAGGAAGTAAAAAGGGATCACCCGGAGGTGGAGGAGGAGGGGGGAAAAACAGTCCAACCGGGGCGGAAAAAGGAACTGTGAAGCTTCCAGCGGTAGAACAAGTACAACAAGGTACTAATCATGCTGCTGCGCCATCGTCCTCCAAAACAGCACCAAATACTAGTAGTGGTAACAGCGCAGCCTCGAAGTTTCTGTCGCAAGCGAAGAGCAAACTGGCTGCGATGAAGACGTCGACTTTTGGCGGGACGAGCGGAACTCCAGTTGTTCCAGATTCACCAAGTGGCTCATCTCCGCACGGAAGCAAGCAGGTGCCTCCAGTAAAGGGCAAAGCTTTACGGCAAGTGACGCCGGACGATGCTCTTGAAGATTTCGCTGTGCTGAACAAGTCGAATCAACATAAAATGGATTGCGTCAGTGTCTGTGCAGATGTGAAGAATAAAGAGAAAATGATCGTAGCGGCGACACAACAACATCAAGGACGACTAGGAGGCTTTCGAGAAGGAACGAATAACGAGGCAAAAAATCTGCTGTCCCCTGCTCGCAGCCCAATCTCGTCGAAAGAGAAACCAGGTTCCTTGTCACCGTCCTCCACCGCGTCCGCGTGTGCTGGGGGAGCTATGCAGGGTATACCAAGACAAGTCAGCATAGGGTCTGTCACTACGGGCACCGGCGGTCCGGCGTCGAGCAGCTGGGGCGGTAGTACAAGCGCAGGCGGTGGTATCAGAGTGCACAAGAACGGACCCCCTCCCCCATATTTGCATGGCATGAACAGCAATACAAACACCAGCACACGTGGAGCCTAGGCATGACAAATTTATGCACCTGACGTAGTACAACTGTTTGGAAATAATTTGTCATGCAAACAGTGCTGCGGGGCAGCGACAGACCGGATTTGGGGTTTTGCATGACAAATGAGGGCGAGGGGGAATTGTGCACTGTCATAGGTGGAACCTCGTCCGCGCACCGCCACGGCTCGTCTAACTCAAGCAGGTTCGGAGGTCCGACGTCTACGGGCTCTGCGACGTCGGAGATATTACCCCATATGGATCAGGCCGAGGCCAACCTTGCTGCCCTGAGAGGGGGTTGTGGCTCCTTCTTGCCCGGAGTAGATGACCACAACAAGAACCGTTCAGCAGCTGGCGAGGACAACGTCGGCCAAAAAATAGAAGTCGTGGACCACCTGACCAACCACGACACGAGGCAGCGACTCGAGGCTACTTGTGGGACGATCAAGAACCCCACTACTTTATCGGCATCAAAAGCCAGCAGCTTGATGCATATGCAGCAGTGCGCTGCTGGGAAAATTATAGACACGAGAATGCCGACTGCAGATCTTTTCACCACTGCGGAATTATTGCTCTCTCCGGCTTTCGACACGATTGAGAGGCAAGACGAAGATTTCGGTTTGGGCAAGACATGCAACACTTTCATGCTGGGGCAAAAGATCTCCTACACCATCCGAACGGAAAAATTGCAACTCCCCGAACACTTCAAGGCAGACCGGGGGATAAGCGTTGAAAAAGCAAATTTGATGGAAAGACGGATGGCGCTGCAGTTCTTGGAGGAGAAAGGGAAGTTGGTGGAGTTTAAAAAGACCCCGGTGTATTTGGGGGGCACTACACGTTGTACAACTAGAAAGGAACAAATGAAGAGCTGTGGGCCGCAGCACCAGACAGTAGAACAGAATCAGCATGCGACATCTTCATCAAAGTGGGCGAAGGTGGTACCTGTCAAGAACGGAGAGGATAATACGGATTCTCGGCGAAAAACAAATGAGGCATCTGTTTGTCCTGCGGTGCGGCACATGGAACTAGATAAGGACGAGCAGCAGGAAATCAGTTGCGAAGAAGAACGCGAGGACCAGGACATTATTTCCAATATCGACGATGCCGTGGTGATACGAATCGCAAAAGTATCGTACTAGTACAAATTGCATTACAAATTTTCGCAGCATGAAAAATTGAATTTGTCATGCTGTTTCACCTTGGAAACGGAAAGGAAATTTGTCATGGTGCATACCTGCAATTAGTACGAGTGGGATACTTTTCCACAGGATAAGTGAATTTCTGTCCGTCAGTCGGGATGAGCACTACTATTGCGGCTGCACAAGCTCAGCAGGAAGGAGATGGAGCGCAGCAAGTAGATGTAGAGCCCGAGGAGCATGAAAGAGAGTACAGTTTCCGGCAACTGATCCGAATTCCCCAGGAGCTAGACCCGTTGGTAAAGCGATCCATTGAGCTGAAACAACTGTTTCTGAAGTGGCTACTGGCAAGCGATTTCATGGAGAAGTTGAAAAGAGAAAAGCGGGAAATATGAATCGCAAAAGTAACGTACTAGTATAAATTGCAATACAAATTGACTCAGCATTTGCATTTTACTACAGATTGAATTTGTGATGCGGATTTTCCTCAGGAACTAGATTTGTAATGCATAAATGCAATTATTAGTACAACTACAAGCATTTTGCACAGGATAGGAAAGGAAAAAGTACGAAAGGGAAGAGAAGTGGAAAAGGAAGCAAGCGCAGCTACGGACGAGTAGTGCAGCAGCTTCAGGGTATAATGTTGGTGGGGGAAGAACAACCTCTAATGCAACCGGAGGCTATGATACTTTGCGAGGAGATCATGGCGGGTATGGTGGAGCTGGATCAACAGGTACATCAAGACAGCACCACCAGCATGATGAACGACATAACAACCCTGCTTCCGCCCTCCCGCATGAAGATGACGAATATGTGACGCCGTCCGTTGATGAAGAACTTCAACGCGCCGGCGCAGCAGTTCTTGTAGCACGTTCTTCTCCTCATCCTCAACACGCAGCCTCAACACCAGAGAATATTAAACGTGTGTCCCCACGCGGCGGGCGAGAAGACCACGACATGGAGCAAGAACAGCAAGACCACCACTACTCCACCAAGCTGGCCCACGATGTCGAAGATGTTTATTCGCAGTCGTCAGTTTCCCTGCTCTCCCCCTCCAGAACAAGGGATGTGTTGCCGAACATGAATATGAATGTCACCGCCGAGGATGAAATAATAATAAATCCTCCGGCTAGTACTAGTAGTGCAGAAGCGCCGCCGGCGCCTCCTAGTCTCACCCCGCTAATCGAGCAAGAAGATGAGGACATGGCTTGGGAACGAAACCGGAAGTTTTTCCTCTACTCTCTGACGCCACCGGAGATGAAAATTGTGCCGAAGAGGAACAATAATGCGAGACAAAACCTCCAGAATGCAGTGGAAGCAGCCGGCGGACATGTTGCCCCGTCAACACCAGGTGCGAATGGTCTTCCACAAGGTGTGATCCACAGAACGGCCACTCACCGAACCAACGGCGGCGCGGATCATTGTGTGCAGCAGACGGGCGACTCAACACGCGGGCATGATCAACAGCTACCTAGCACCACTGGCGACACAATAAAAACCGTCAATCGCAATCGGCCTCGAAGCGGCGGACGAGGACCGCTTTGTTTAGTCAACACCGCGGAATTATAATGCACTGCAAAAGTATAATCGTACTCGTTCTGATTGCGTTTATGCATTACAAGTCTTTTTCTTGAGGCAAATCCGCATTACAAATTCAATTTGTAGTGCTAAATCAATTTGTCATGCAATTTATACTAGTACTATTCTAGTACGATATTTTTGCAGTTCATAGGAATGGTCTGAAGTGGACTCCGAGACAGCGTCGCGACCCGGGTGGCCACACGGCGAGATCCAGGCGGCCGTGGATCTCTGCTTTTGCGGCGGCGAAGTATGCATTGCAAATATGTCTGGGTCTGGATTTGTGATGCAGGACTTCAATGACAACAAGATCTGTAATGCATGAATGCCATTCGTCTTGGCCAGTTTTTTTCTTTTGTCGTGCTGGATGGCAGTTTGTAATGCAAATGCTAAACACGAATGAATCCGCAAGGAGCTGCCGAGGGACATTTCTCATGCTGTTAGGCCGTACGAGCAGCAAGTTTGCAATGCAAGTATCAGCAATACAAGTTTCCAGACCCAGACACTTTTGCACTTGATACGAGGAGTGGATTGTCGATTACGGCGAAGACGCGTTTCTCGACGGCGCGCTGTGGCGCGTATCCAATTCAAAAATGTCTGGGTCTGGAAGATTACCAGACTTGTAATGCTTTGCTGACAGGAGAGGAAGATCTGTCATGCATGTTGCGCCACCGGTCTATTTTTTTGTAATGCAAAAACGCAGTTTCTCATGCAGTTGACGCAAGACGTAGTCGCTCAGAAACTTGTCATGCGCGGCCCCATATTGGCGTCTGCTTATGATTCGCAAACCAGCATCACAAGTTTCCAGACCCAGACACGTTTGCAATGCATAGCGCGATCCTGATCTGCGCGACGAGGAGGATCATGTGGACGATATGGAGGTAGATATTGTGCGGAAAAAGCCCCCCTCCCCTTATCGAGAAGGATATTTGTGATGCTGATTTGTGCACACAAATCAGCTCTGTCTTGCATTAGGGGCAAGTGGGAGCTTGGCGCATTCCACAGCCAATCAATCTGTGATGCGCTTTTGCATACTGCAAAGGTGTCTGGTGCCATGCCTCACTGCTAGCCTGTCAATCAGGCTTAGGAAGTGCCTCCAAGTGCCTTGTGCAATACAGCGCTGATTTGTGTACAGATTTCCAGCAACAGAAATTTGCTTTCTGCTATGGGGTGGGGGCTTTTTCCACTTTGATAGTAGAAGACCACCAGGACGACCGCGGCGAGGACCACGAGGGTGATAATCTTTATGCGGAAGACGACGACGAAGAATTATTGCACAGCGGATCGTCATCTTCAGCGCGAGGACCTGGTGGGCAGCAACTACTTCTTCGCAACCGAAGACACAGCTCTGACACCGAAGACGAACAGCACGTCGAGCAAAGCTCGTCCCAGCGAGATCGTCGTAACAAGCCACGAGATGATGGCCACCACGACCCACGCAACGATGAATTCGACGTATGAAGGGAAAAAAATTGCTAGCAATTTTTAAACCCTGAGGCTGCTACACAATCTCTCACCAGAGCGAAACGACTAATCAAGGACTTGCTCCTTCGCCCTCAGCAGGTCGCTCCGGGTGCTTTGCAGTTGATTTGGCCACAAATCGCAGAGTGGCGAAAAATCATACGAATTACGTAATCGGGGTTGTACTTTTTGAGGACGGAGAAAAATCGGCGAGCGACCACGACGAGGACGTAATACGGAGAGCACATTTCGTTTGCTTACAGCGACATGCATGTTGAAAAACAACAAGTCAAATGTGTAATTGACAAAACTCATTCTGAAAAAAGTCGTGTGGCTAGCAGCGGGTTGCCTTCTTTTTGATACCACGCAGAACATCAAGCTGGTGGTCCCGACGATCGGTTCCTGGGCGCCTGAAAATCTGACCAACCTCCAGGCGAACTGTGACAGCGGATAGGGTGGGCAAAAAACCACCTTCTGTGCCAGTAGTACTTATGAATAGGGCGTTCTGAAGATGAGGGACGATTCGTTCTCATCAGGATTTCACTCGTTTATACATAATAGAAACTGCACGTGTACTTTAAAAACTTTCTACACATCAATCATTTTCATCACACTAAACCTAACTTCTTCCAGTACGCACTAGGTCAATAGTTATTATTCTATTTCATATGTGCAGCAACTCTAACTCACCTCAAGTTCATCTAGGAAGCTGCTCAGTACTATTATTTTTTTCTATAGATACAGGCAGATAAAGATATTATACTAGAGAATCCCAAGGTAGAAGTTGTGGTTACTGTTTCATTCTGTTCTTGGCTGCGCGACGGTGACATCCACATCACAAGTTGCCGGAGCTTCAAGGTGTAAGAACACACTCAAACTATCCCAGGACGTTGAGGGCCGTAGCTCATAGTGTCTTGAGGTTGCTGTGTCCTCGTATCATCGATAAGCGCTACGAAAAATTCTATTTCGATGCAGTTTGCAGTACCTTAATACTGCTTTTTCTGTATAGTAAGTAAACAAAAACCGTATCCAAAGAGGAGCGACGTGTATCATTGTCGCCATTATTTGACTTGAAAAATAAGTTTGCAGTCCGTCGCGATAGAAGTAGCCACTACTTAGAGGCGATTTTTTTTTGCAGTAGTATATCCAAGTTGAGTCAAAATTAAAAAAAAGGTTGATTTCAAAAATCACAAAAATGCAGTCACCACGACAGAACAATCGATGACGGAATCCAAATTATGATTTCGCTTAAGTGATTCTTTGTTTTACGGAGAGAACCAATGATATTTTTGTTTGTTGAATTCAATCTAGTAGCTAGTCCTTACCGAGGACAGGAGACTGCTACTTAGTTGTCAGTTTCACAAAGCGCCCGGACTAGAGAGCTCGTGTTTGCAAAATGCACCGCATATTGAGATATTTTTACCGTATAATGAGATTTTCATTTTTTTTAATTTTTCCATAACGAAAAAGTCCTCGCAGCTCAACAACACTTGCATCACCACGGATTTTTTGCTCTATCTGTGATTGACAGTACAAGTTTTTATTTTTCGCAATTCCACATTGGAAATAACCGGCTGCAAAACCGTACTCAAATGCCATCAGGAGGTGCATTTATTTATTTGCACAAAGGCTTCGCATTTTCATTTTCTGCTAACCACAACGAAAAACGAATCGCACATGTACCTGCTTCGTCTTTGTTTCAGTCTAAAAAACGAATCGCACTTTTTGCTTTTGTTACTTCGTCTTCATTCAAAAAAACGAATCGCACCTTTTGCTTTTGTTACTACCTACTACTTGTACTTTCTGTTTCTATACTAAAGATCATCTGCACGCGCCAGTGCCTCGAGCAAAAGAAGAGACAACATCATAGGAAAATTAAAACCACTTGACCTAGAAGTAGTGCAGCATGGTCTACTTGGTAGGCAGCTCCATTAGCGGTAGCGCAGCACAGAAGATTTATTCCATGAGCTTTCTGCTCAGAAGGTAAGTCTCACAGCGGCCCCTGTAGGTCCTGCTGGTTGTACGTTGCAGTTTGCTAAGAGCTGCACCAGTGGTCGTTTTCTCTGCTATTTCGAACTACGGTGAAGATTTCGATTTTCCATTTTCATTCTATTCGTCTTTTCGGACAGCAGCCTGCAGCTGCAACCGCAACTACAAGCAAAACCTGTACAAACTTCGGCGAGGCACTACAGGTGAGACACTGATAATACAGAGTTTCTGCTTGTTGCACTGATAACTTTAATTGTACTTCTTGAAAATACCCATTCCTGCAAAGGTGCTCAGTCGATTGAAAGCTCTCTTTAGAATGGAATTACCGCAAACAGAGGACACGCACACGCACTGAGATTTTTGCACCTGATCTTGATGACGAGCTGCGCAACTCTCGCAGCGACTCGTAAGGTTATATTATCAATCTTTACAGCGAGCCGCGCAACCCCAACCCCCGCAGCGACTCGTCAGGTTTTTATGGTTTTGGTCCTTGTCTACCCGGCGACTCGTCTCCAATTACTTCTCATGCCGGATTTGATATTTTTTATTTTTACAACGAAAGAGAACTACCTAATAGAAATGTAGCAACAGAATTGTGAATCCTATAATTCGTTGAAAAACTATCGCATATAGCTATAAAAACATGATGTGTGCAACGCAGATTCACTCTCCATAGGAGACCGATCAGCTGCGCACGTCTGTGGTCAGAATAAGGATTGAAAATACAAATACATTGACATAGTGACAGTGTTGTACTATATACAAGAAGAACTTTAGTAGAACGAGGATGGGAACAATTATGTCTGCTCTGCTCAGGGTCAAACACAAAGACAAGAAGTGTTAACAAATTTAGAGCAGCTTCAGGTTGTATTTCATCATCGATCTACTAGTGGCTGATAACATGTACATGAAGAAGTTTTTTTCGCACAGAAGCAGAACCAACATGAACTCTACGCACTGATAAGATGCCCGCCCCTTTGTTTCTAGTTGTACTTCTATATGGACATTCAAGAACGTCGACGACCACACGACTGTTCTAGACAGTAGAGTCGGATGACGTCTCAGTCTTCACCACTTTGATGGCAGCGCTCTCTTGTGACAGACTAAAGGCAGTATCATGTTTAGAAGATTAAATGCGCAGCAAAAGAAGTCCTCCTTCATGCTCATGGCGCGATGTGCACTTTTGCTGCTAAAAAACAAAGGGACGAGGACCACTGCATCACGATGTTGGGCCTGCTTCGAGGACGAAGGCTGTAAAAAGGATATCGATCATATTTTTAAAAGATTGAAAAACGACACCGCATAAAGATAAAGATGTAGTTGCTGTTCTTGGCAGACTGTGACAGTAACTGACTGAGCAGGGCTTTGCTGGATAGAAGGATGCAATCAGGCGGAGGAGGTGGACGTTGTCGCACTAGTCCTCCTGATGTTCTTCAGACTGACTTTGATATTTGCCAATTTAGTAGTACTCTATCTCGCGGCCCTGCTGCATGAACCAGGAAATGTTGTAAAAGAATTCAGATTCGTCGAAAACAACTGTATGACGATGACCGGAAGTACCTACTAGGGCTATAGCTATTGCGATTCAGGATCTCGATCTATTTATCCATCGCAAAGCCACCTTTATCTAGACCACTTTGGAGGCGCGGAACAAGAAAAGGATCCGTATAAAACAAGACACACGCGACCTTGTTGCTGTAGTAAGTATTTCACTGGATGATCCCGAAAGGAAGTTGAATGGACTCGTTTTTTATCACGACCACACAGCGGCAGCAACTTGTATACGAATTATCTTATCTACCTAAACCTATCAAGAAATATTTTTCATCCATCGCGGGTTCCTTGGAGGTACTACAGGTAGATAGAAGGAAGCCGCGCCGAAGTAGAAGAAGTAAAGCGTAGTCATATCATGTAGCGACGAATAAACTCGAAATCCGCATCAGCCGAAATAAAGGATTCGAATCTATTTCTAGGAAAAACATTATCTCCCCAAGATGGTGGGCGGAGGCGTTCCCCCGGCGGTCCAACAGGTCTACAAGGACTTCGACGCTGCTTACAAGAAAAACGACCTGGTCCAAACGGAGCAATTGCTGACAAAAGTAAAACTCGAACTCGCAAAACTGCAGGGGAATCAGCTCTTGTTGGAGAAGCAGGATGCTAAGGTATGGTGCAGCACCAGACAGTCTTGCTGAAATTTGTGTTGCGGAAGCGGCTGTAGAAAAGCACACTTGAAATTGTACATTTGCATGACAAAACAACAATTAAAAAACACGTACAGGTCCTCGAGCTCTGCAGGGAGGTATACGAGAAGGGAGCATTTTTGAGCATCAAGCGCAACGACCCCCTGGCGTTTGAGAGAAACGTATACATAGGGAAATTTTTTTCCTGATGATGCTCTTGCTCAATTGATGTGCATCACAAACGCCTGCTTCCAATAATAGATCTACCGCTAGTACAACACATCGATGACAAACTTTCCATGGCCATCATGCTCTTCGATACATAAAATCGAAATACACAATCGTCTATATCAGGTGAAGCAGCTGAAGATTTACTACCGAGATTTCGAAAAATCTATCCCGTCAAAATCTTCCAACGAGTACAAAATACTCGGCCTCTATCTGCTCTCCTTGGTCTGCAGCGACAGAATATCCGAGTTCCACACAGAACTCGAACTGATTCAGCAGCACGACTCCCAGTTTATCCAACGACCGGTCTTGTTGGAGCGGTACCTGTATCCTGTACAAAAGTATCGTACTCGTAGTAATTGCAGTTCTGCATTACAAATTTTTTTCTCAAGGTAAACTAGCATTACAAATTGAATTTGTAATGCTGGGCTAATTTGTAATGCAATTTATGCTAGTACGATACTTTTGCATTGCATAATCTGATGGAGGGAAACTTCGCGAAAATAAACCAGTTCGCGTCCGAATTCTCGTCGCAAGAGCACTACCCGGTTTTTCTGGAACAGTTGCAGCAGATATGAGAGTGCACAACTCCCCCTCCCCCTCATTTGTAATGCAAAATCCGAAATTCTGTCGTTGCGTTCTGGCACGGTTTGCATGACAAATCTCGGAAGTAGCCCAAACAGTACTTCTACGTTAGGCACATCGACTTGTCATGCAAAGGCTCCACTTGCTGGGTCGGTGTCTGTGTTGCTGTTCATGCCATACAAATGAGGAGGCGGGGGGATGTGCACTGTCATAGCAGACCATGAGACGAAGAATATTGGAATCATTGGCAAAGGCGAGCAGCGAGGTATAAGGAAGGAGGTTTTTTTTCTTCGAGTTCGCAGCTTCTTGTGATGCAAAACTACTCATGACAAAGAATATTTGCCATGCCGGACACCTACTACACAACCAAAAACTTGAACAGATTTCCCTCGACCGCGTCGCGAAGATGCTCTACATGAGCAACGTCAGCGAAGTTTCTGGGTTTTTGAAGAAAATGCAGGAAGAGGTATTGAGTTTTGTGCATGACAGACCACCTCCGACGTGCCATTCTGTTTTGTTGAATTTGTGATGCATACGTCGCTTGGAAAAGTGAATTTGTCATGTATAGAACAACTATAAACTTAAATATGGAACGTAGGTGTACTACCGCTACCGGGTTATTCGATGTACTACCGGGTTAGTCAAGGTGCTCCAAATTTGAAAAGTCAAGGCCAGCGCAAAAAAAAAGCCAAGGTCGGGAAATCCGTTGTCGAGGTTTTGTCGCGTTTTGGCCCCTGTTGTGCTTCGCATGCAAAGCACCGCCAGCGCGGGCCGAAGGGCTAGGAGCCGGCCCCTGTTGTGCTTCGCAAAGCACCGCCAGCGCGGGCCGAAGGGCTAGGAGCCGGCCCCTGTTGTGCTTCGCAAAGCACCGCCAGCGCGGGCCGAAGGGCTAGGAACCGCCGCCCGGGCGGCCAACCTTGAGGCAGAGCCAGGCCGAACGGGTTCGGTTTTGTCGCGTTTTGGCTCCTGTTGTGCTTCGCAGATCACCGCCAGCGCGGGCCGAAAGGCTGGGAACCGCCGCCCGGCCAATCTTGAGGCAGAGCCAGGCCGAACGGGTTCGGTTTTGTCGCCTTTTGGCTCGCGCTGTGCTTCGCAGATCACCGCCAGCGCGGGCCGAAGGGCGAGGAACCGCCGCCCGGCCAATCTTGAGGCCGAGCCAGGCCGAACGGGTTCGGTTTCGCGGGAGGTCTTGCCACCGTTTCGTTTTTTCCGTGCCAAAGAGGTTTTCGGGAGCGCCGTTTTTGATAGTACTACCGAGATAAGAGTCATGGACTCCACTCGGATCGCGACAAATTTCGCGACCTCGGGAGCAGTTTGGGGGCAGTTTTTTTTGTTTTTTCATTGAGAATGCGTGTAGTATCCAGGTAGTGCAAAGATCTGAAAACCGCCGTAGCATGGGTGTTCGGGTTTGCACTACCGCACGAAAAATAATGGGTAAAAGTCAGCCACTGCCGGAATCTGCGGGAATTAATATCCGGGCAGTGCATTGAGAAAGCAGATCGGTAGTGCAAAGCCTTAAAATCCACCGTAGCACTGGGAATATGCCTTTCACTACCGTACAAAACCGATAAGGGAAAAGCGACGCACTACCGTGGTGCCGGTTCGACGAATTTTGGTCGTCGGTTATCCCGGTAGTGCGTCGTCTTTTCGTACGGTAGTGCAACGCGTTTCCCCCACGCTAAGGCGGTTTAGAAGTTTTTCGGCTACCGAGATAATAACTCAAAGACAAAATCAAGCGCGTCAGCTCGGATTCAACTCGGATTCGAGTCTGAACACGTTGAAAGTCAACGCTTCCTATTGCGGTAGTGGAATGAAAAAAGTGATTACTTTTTGGCCTCAATCTCTTGGGAGGCGCTCCGCTCTCGCGCCTCTGGCCTCTGCTCTGTCTCCCCAGTCTCTTGGGGCGAGCGCTGAGGCGCCAACCAGGAAGCCGCCGGCTCGTCTTCAGACACGGTTGGCCACCCGATTTTCTCCGGTTGGGAGGGTCGAGGAGCGCCACAGCTCTTGACGCTGCGGGCGCGCAACTGCTCGGCGGGCTCCTCAGTCTCTTGAGTCGAGCGCCGCTCTTGGCAGCTCGCCGCAGTCTTGAGGCGAGCGCGGCGCCGCCCAGCCTCGTCAGTCTTCAGTCCGGGATAGAGTGGCGTGCTACAAAATAAAAAAACAGGCCCCTCGGGGGTCTGTTGCCGGCGGGGCGGCCGGCTCGCAGAGGTCCCCACCCGCTTCGCCGCGTCGTCGTCCGACATACAGCGGCAGGGTGGCAGTCAGCTCTGTATACTCATTAAAGCACCATCGTGCTGATAGTACTGACGTGAAAAACGGCCGGCAGTTTTCAAGGGGCGTTGCCATCAAACAAGCCCGAGCCAATTCATTCGATTCCCGATTGCTAAAACGACGCAAAGGAGCCGCCAAAAGAGACGCCCCGCCGAGGCGTCCAGCGCGACTATTTCCGTCGATTTGGACCGCCCAAAAAGGGGCGCCGGAAAATGCCAAGACGAAAAAAGCGGAAGCCGCATGGTACGGGCCCCATTTCGGTCCACTTTTGGAGGTTGCAAAGCCCGCTCGCCAAAAGCTAAACGCTGACCCGCATGCTATTGGCCAGATTTTGGGGGCCCATGGGGCCGGGCTTGGTGGAGGCCCAGGCGGGGGCATAGCATGCGGGAAAGTGTTTCGATTCAGGAGGCGGCAGGGGCGCGGCTTTTCAACAAAAAAAATCAAAGGACGCAAATCCCGCCAGAAGCAGTAGGCCAGGCCGCATGTTATGGCTGGGCCCGAAACGGTGGCAAGACCCGTAACGGGTCCAAATTGCGAGATGGGGCCAGGCGCGTAGTCCCCCGCGGATTAGGGTCCGGCGGCAAGCAGTTTTTCCGGATGAAAGGGAAGCCTTTTTTCTTTGTTTTTGAAGATGAATTTTGAAGATGATTTCCTATAAAACAACTCAAACCACAACAGAGAATGAATGCGAATGAATGCTGTAGCTAGGTAGATTGCAATATTGTGCCTGTGCTAGCTAACGACGGTGAAGCTAGGTAGATATAGACTTCGGATCTCGGCTAAGTAGCTACGTAGTTAGCGAGTCCAGTGTCCGCTTAGCGAGTCCAATGCCCGCCCGTTTCATCGGATTTCCCGACCTTGGCTTTTTTTTTACGCTGACCTTGACTTTTCAAAATTGGGGCACCTTGACTAACCCGGTAGCACATGCAATATTCCGGTAGCGGTAGTACACCTACGTTCCATATTAAACTCATGGTCAAAACTACAAACTCTTCAGGACGCTGGCGACATGATGACGGACGACACGCCAAACCAGCCACAGTGGGAAGTCGCGGGGAGTAAATTGAGGTTGACAGCCAGCAGTCGAACGGAAAGGATACCGGTCTTTGACACGTTGTCAAATGTGATTGACTACGCGACGGAGATAGAAAGGATCGTGTAGATGAAGTCGTGTTGGGTAGTTGTGTCGGAGCGTGGTACACACCAGCTGCTGCACACGAAGATTATACTACCCCGCTTTCTTCACATCAGCACGACTGATGTCCTTTTCCTGTTCATCTTATACGCGACACAAGTTCGAATTCGACATGGTAATTTGAAGTACGGAACACAAATTTTTCAAAGAACCATTGTAGAACCTGGACGCGGCAGCTGATGGGTGAACCAAGAAGCTGCAATTTCGACACGGCTCCGGTTGAGAGCAGTGTCGATATCCACTTTTAACTTCGAGCTAAGGGTGCTTCCTGGCGGATGTTCTTCTCCTCAATCCAAACGCAACTTAGCTCAGTTCGCTTCATCTGGAGTGTACTAGTTGTCTGTGAAGTTGTCTTTATCTCCATCGGTGCTACATATCTTGCTCACGGTCACGTTTCTCGTTTTGGATCTTGTAGTGTGAAATTCAATCGCAAAAAAAAAAACCAAAGAGAACCGCTGCAACAAGAACGGAGTAGATCACCATAGGATCAGCTGCCCGTCGTGTGGATGATTTCGTCATCTTTCTTTCTACGTAGTTCTTATTTGCGCATAAGAATATTTTGCACTATTCGTATTCTATTTTTTCAGGCGACATTCACACTCGGCGACATGAAGACTTAGCTTTCTTGGAATTGGACTATTGATATTCTTGTTTTCTGCACGACCTGCTGATACAAGATGTAGTTGGGCCCGACCGCCGACTGCACAATTTTCACATCCATATATTCTTCTTCTTGAAAAATTCGATCTGCTTTACCCGCCTGCTTACGAGGACCTGATCTCAACCTGCTTCACCAGAACAACCATATAATCCAAATCATTTTTAGTACAGCTATGCCCGGAGGGCATCTTCCGCCCCGGGCAGCAGGCGACCCACCGACAACGCAAAGTAGTAATGCCAATTATGACCATGCAGCTGATTATGGTGCTGCAACCAACAACTGGATCCCACCGCATGCCGGTACTAACCAAGCGCAACAAGAAGCAGATCATGACACGACGCCGACCAGATCCGCTGCAACATCTCTCTCGCAACAACTTTTCGCCCTCAACCGACGACTCCGGAACTTTTTTCACACCATACTCCGCCTGTACGGGATTTTGTGCCTCCACGTAGCGTTTCTGGTCTCCATGCGGACGAGCTACGAATTTTTGGTGAAGATGGAATACGGAGCGGAATTCTTTTATGGAAGTGTCAGAATCGAAATCGACAAAGTCGAAAAATTTGTGATGCACAAAATCGATGCCAGTTGGAGCCTCAGTTTCTAAGTGGCGCGTGACAACTTTCGGGACCACCAAAATCCAGTCTGTCATGCTGTTTGGACAAAGCAGGCTGCTCCTGTCATGCTACTCTGGCAACATATTACATTTTACATACCCCTAAACAGGCTTCCAATCGGTCTCATTTGCCTGCTCCCCAATACAGGCGTCGCGTGCCCTACATTTTATGCATCACAAATTGTTTGATTTTGTCGATTTCGATCCTGACACCCCCATATCTTTTTTGTCGATTTTTTGTACCTGGCAATGTAGATGATGATAGATCATGAGCCAGTTGCTTTAGGTGTCAGGGAATAAAGACTCTAGCCGCGCGGCTTCTCCACGACGTGCACCACGTGCAGGCTTCGCGAAGACCCCCTTCTAATCGAAAATGCTGGTGGGAATCTCGCGGAGTTTAGCCAAGGAAAAAACTGTGTTAGTGTAAACTTTCTTTGGCTGACAGCATCACAAATCTGCTCTACATGACAGAGACAATTTCTCATGCGTCGTGGCTTGTAAAGGAGCACACACTTGAGCAAAGAACTTCATGGCTGTCTGGCATGACAGGCGAAACTCTGTTGCCTGTTGTGCATTACAGAGTTACACTTACACAGTTTTTTTCTTGCATAGAGTTTCAACCCGCTTGTGCTCGCCGAGGGCGAGCAGTACCTGGCGGATTATTCCGTTTCGCTATGCAATGCAAAAGCACCGCCATCGTACGTAGATGTATGAATTACATTACAAATTGGGTCAGCATGACAAATGCAATTTGTAATGCTACTTCCGGTTACGCAAGACAGAGATTTGTCATGCGTGTCTGCGACCACTGAACGAGTGCGATAGTACTTTTGCACAGGATATTCGTGGCGGGTCAACAACTCGACGACGAGCACGAATGGAAGGTTGAGAATAGCGAGTATGAGCATCATTTTAGACCCGGATGACTGCGCGTTGGATTTAATCCGGATTCAGTTCAAACACTTTTTGCACGACGGGAACGCGGTTGCAGCGAAGAAGGACGAGAAGATAAGCAATAACCTCGGGGGAGTTGCACCTCCGCCGGGTAGCAGTGCGTCCGCCATGTTCAACAGCAGCAATCCGAACAACCTCCAAAGCCGCTTGCTGAACGTGAAAGCCAACCAGTGGTCACTCATCCGCACGCATCAGTGGCAGCAGGAAACCAGGATAACAACTCCGTTTAAGACGGAGCAATATCCTCTGCAAAAGTATCGTACTCGTATTGCAATCATGCATTACAAATCGTTTCCTCTATGTAAATTCGCATTACAAATTCCACTTCTCATGCTGAGGAAATTTGTAATGCATTTATACGAGTACTGCGATACTTTTGCAGTTCATAAGCAAAGCGCTCCTACAAGTACACACTACGCCATCCATTTACGGTACGGTGACTTGAATCAGCTGAGAGAGGTTTTTGAGGAGCTGAAGGAGCTTAACGGGAATGGGAGTGGTGGTGACAGCAGGAACAATGCTGCGGCAACGTCCGGCTTCACCCTGAGCAAACAAGCGCAGTCGAATCGCGACCGGGCTTTGGAGTCGTTGGTTTTGAAATTACAATCGACATCTTCAAGTTCCTCTTCCTCCTCGTCGGCGCAAGGAAATCAAAATGCAAACCAGGCCGGCGGACGTCAACAACCTCCCCAGCAGCAACTGACCGTCGCGTTCGACCTGTCCCGCCTGCAGTCGCACCGGGAAAGGCAAAATTTGCAGCTGCGGGAGTTTTTACCGCAAGACGATCCGAGAGTGAAGCAAGGAATTTTTTGCTTCCTGATAAAGCCCATGGTGAAACACCGAGGATTGTTGCAGTTAACGGACCAAGCGCTGTATTTCCAACCAGTGCCGAACTTTTTGGACGACTCGCCTGTGATTCGTATTTCCCTTGCGGAAATCCTACACTTTTTCCCGCGGGTTTGCAAGTTGAAAGACTGCGGGCTTGAGATTGTCTGCGAGAAAAAGGCGAGAAACTTGTTTTTGATGTTCGAATTTCAGAAGTTGCGAAACGCAGTATTGCAGTTGTTGGAGAAGCTGCTGGTAGGGCGGAGCAGTGGGGCAAGTGGTGCAGAAAACGGAACGCAAAGTAGTAGACCAAGCAGCAATAGTACATCCCGGATCATGATAAACCCCTCTTCCAATCTGAAGCAAATGCTGCAGCACATGCTTTCGCTCTGGCAGAGCGGGAAGTTGTCGAATTACCACTACTTGGATTTCTTGAACTGTGCTGCCGGGAGGTCGGTCAACGACCTGTCGCAATTATGCAGGAAAACAACTGTGTAAGTGCAAATCTGTGATGCAGAAAGTGCAAAACTGTCACACTTGTCATGCTGGATGTGCGTCATAGGCTACTTCCATACGTGTTTCCACGTACTAGCTGCGCATGACAGGTTTTTCCTGTAATGCAAAGCGAATTTGTGATGCTGCTCTTCCTACAAAGACAAAGTTTCACTTACACAGTTTTTCTCCTGGATAGCAATATCCGATCTTCCCGTGGGTCCTAACCGATTACCAGTCGCTGCAGATAGATTTGACGGATCGGAAAAATTTCCGGGATCTGTCGAAGCCGTTAGGTGCGATGAATCCGAGCCGGTTGAGGCAATTTCGAGAACGGATGCGCGAAATGCCAGCGGGACAAAAGTTTTTGTACGGTATAAGAAGGATCTTGTTTCATCTTCTCATGCTGTTTCACCTCCGATGTGGCAGTTTGTTTGGCATGCATAGACTGCATAATCATCACCGCCTTCAGCAAAAAAACAGGACAAACAAACACAAATTGTCACAGGCACCCACTACTCCACGCCCGCTTACGTTCTCTACTTCCTCGTCAGGGAACTGCCAGAGTGCATGCTCAGGCTTCACTCCGGCTCCTTTGACTCCTGGAACCGGTTATTTCACTCCATGGAAACCACTTACCGGGCGACGCAAGACGGCTCCGCGGTTTTGATGGAATTACTACCGGAGTTTTTTGTTCTGCCAACGAGCAATAAAGACGCCCAAACAACTTTTCTGGAAAACTACCTCAATATTTCCACCCAAGAGGGGGACTTGCGCAACGTTTCCCTGCCACCCTGGAGCAACGGCAAACCGGAGTTGTTTCTTTCAATACAGCGGGCGGCGTTAGAGTCCGCGATTGTCACGGAAATGCTGCCGAAGTGGATTGATCTGATTTTCGGCTGGAAAAGCCGGGGAGAAAACGCCGACAACGCGGACAATCTTTTTCACCCAGTTTGCTACTTGGGCCCGAAATCGAGTGGATTAGCTGGATCATCATCCACTGGTAGTGGAAGTACAACTAGCGGCAGCCGAAACAACAAACAGGCGCAAAATCCGGAAATGAATAACCAGCAGCAAAACCTCACAAACAGAGCGACGGGCATGGTCTCTGGTGCGATTGGCGGCTCCTTTTCCCAAATGCTCGGCGGCATGAGCGGTATGAGGAACGCGTTTACGCATTGCAAACATGTCAGGGTCTGCATGGATTCGAATTTGTGATGCGACTTCTACATCATGACAAAATCTGTCATGCAGGGTCAGCAAAAGGACCCATTTCCTGTTACAGAAAGGGGGCATTTTATTCTTATGCGGATTAGGCATTGGGATTATACCTGCTCGGACTCTCTGATGCTAGAGCTTGCATGCCAGATGATCTGGGCTAGGCAAACGCCGCATCACAAATGTCTGCACTCTTCCAGACCCAGACACATTTGCACTTGATAGCGTTGTTGGGAAACACTTTCTTTGACATGGACGACGATGTTGAACACGAGAAAAACAAGCAAAAACCGAATAGGAACAGCAGCACGAATGAGCAGGATGCCTTCGGCGGGACGATAGACCAGCAGGACAAAGCGGTTTTGGAGATCCAAATTGAGGAATTCGGCCGCGTATGCATTGCAAAAGCATCGTAAACTTCTAGTATGAATGGCATTACAAATTTGCAGCTCAGTAACAAAAATGTTGCAATTTGTCATGCTAATTCAGGTAGAAAATTGTATTGGATTTGTAATGCATGCCTGGTGCAATCGAGTATTTGCGATGCTGTTGCATTGCATACCGGGTCCCGTTTCAGCTCTTCTCCGAGCCGCACCCACCAAAGATGGTCACGCAACAGAATTCGGACGGGAAGAATCTGTGGACTGTGGAAAGGTTGAAGCAGGACTGGATACAGAATGAGCCGTGGTACGTAGCGCTAGCCGCGATTGGGAAAGAGGGAGAATTCCTTCATCGCGGGGGTCCAGCAACCGCATCAGCAGGACTACAGCTTCCGTCTGGAGGTGCGCCACGGAATGATGCTGGTAACACCAGAATTATTTCAAACGATGTTGACCCCTTCGCCCCGAACGGGGGGAATAGAAACAGGCAGGACGAGGATTTTTTTGGTACTACAACTGGGACGACAAATAAAACAGTGAACAATCAAGACTACTCTTCTCGCAGCACTGCCTCCACCGCAGGTAGGAAAGGATCACTTGAAAAGAACCAGAAAGGCGGAAGTTCTGCAACCGAGCCGACCATTGTGAATTTCTTGCCGAAAAAGCGGACAGGATCCACAGGTGAAAACAACCTTGATCCCCCCCACCAGCCACAGTTGCAAAATCCGTACGCGAAAACCGCCACGCCGAAAAGCAGCAATACGACTGCAGCCAGTATATCAAATGTAAAAGTGTCTGTGTCTGGGAACTTGTGATGCTGGGTGGCGTCTCATGATGAGGCTACAAATGCTGGCTCAGCATGACAAGTTTCTGAGCTCCTAGGTGTTGCCTATTCTGCATGACAAACTGCGCTCATGCAACACAGAAAAACGGAGCTTTTGGGTAACGTGCATGACAGATTTAAGAGTCATGCCAGACAAGCATGACAAACATGAATTCTTCCAGACCCAGACATTTTTACAGTTGATACAGTATGGTGAACGTCAGTTTCAGCGCACCGGAGCCGGATTTCTTGAAATCGAACATCAAGCCGAATGACGATTTCTTTGACAACTCATCTTCTTCGACGAAGATAGATTTCAACGTTGGTGGCGCTACTGGGCCTAGCGCAGCTTCTACCACAATAAATCGCAATAAAGCAGCCAACAATTTTTACAACAATAATCCGCAAAATAATAAGCTTCCGGAGTTCAGCTCCTGGCGGTTACAGGAGGTTATCGCAAATGACCCAGACGGGAAGTTAAATACGCTGAAGGGGGAGATCAACCAAATGCAACACACCAGAGACAAGATTTTTGCGGTTTGCGAGGACGGGTGTTTACGGACATTGTGCAGAAGAACGGGCGTGCAGAGGGCGTTTCACTTGTTATGACAGTGCACAAGAACAACTACTCCCCCTCCCCCTCGTTTGTCATGCAAAATGCCTAATCCATATCCACTCTTTCCCTCTTCAGTCTGTTTGCATGACAAGTTTATTCCGAAGGAGCCCAAACTACACTAAATGTCCGTTCTTGGATTTATCATGCGGAAGCCACATGTCTGCCGATGCTGGTATAGCGGTTCATGCAACACAAATGAGGGGGACGAGGAGAAGTTGTGGACTGTCATGCTTGTCGAACGTGCCACTGAAATGCCTCGCGGTGGTGGATCTGGGAACTGTGTTTGCAGAATTTTCGCACCTCCAAGCAGCCTCGGCTAGCAGTGTCGCAAATGGAGCTCCTGCATCTAATGGTGGCGCGGCATCAACCACGATGTTGACAAGTAGACCTGAAGTCGATCTGTCCCCGCTTTCCGCCCAGAACCAACAGTCTACGATCATCGTGGTCGGGGGTTGTGACAACGCCATTTCCTTATTTGATCTACGAACGGGGGTCGTCGTTGATCGGCTCTTTACCGCACACGCTGACACGGTGACCTGTATGGCGCACTGCGTGGAGCAGAATCTAGAAGCGAAAAAAATCTGCTTGAAAATCATCACCGGATCCCTGGACCAGACCGTCGCGGTCACGGAGGTGTTGCTCAGTAACACAAGTAACGGGATGTTGAATCCCGGAGCGGTAAATCCAAATACAGTAAACGTGAAGGGAATTGGGCTGCAACTTTTGTCCACTTTTGACGAACCGGATGAGCCTGTCTCCGCCGTCCACACAGTGATAGCAGGCACGAGCAACTTCATTGCGTGCGGGACGGAAACGGGAAAAGTTTGTTTGTTCACGACGGATTCCACCGGGGTGTTCGGCGCTGCGGCGGGAATTTCGAAGAATGAGATGTACTTTGAGCGGCAGTTGGAGTACAATCAGGAAATCATTCATGTGGAAATCACAGTGAAAGGAAAATTGCAACAGATGAACACCAACAACTCGCTAATCCTAACTGCCTTGGATAAAGACGGGAATTTGAGGCAGTACGATATTTCCGAAGAAAATCAAACAGAATTACTACGACGGCACTTAATATCGACTTCGCCGGATGCGGGGAGCGGCGGGTATGGCATAGACCACCAGCAGCCGCCGGGGATGATGATGTTAGGAGGTGGGAATAACTCGAAGTGTGTCTCCATGTTGGCGATAACAACCACAACAAGAATGACATCGTCAACTAACAGCGGACCACCTGGACGTGGTCCTGGTCCCTCCAGCATGACCACAAGCACAAACAGCCCGATGCTGCTGGTAATCAGCTACGGTGATGGGTCTGTGCAGCTCTATGATGTCGCGGAAAACGCGGTGAGGAAAGTGTGGAGCTGCGGAGACGGGAAGGCGGCAAGACTGAGTAGTGCGATCAGGGCGAACTGTGATTCTTATGCGGGGGTAATGATGGTGGATGGAAGTTGTAGCACAGGTTTGTCTTGTGCAGGAGGGATGGGTGCAGCAGCAACCTCGTTGGAAGATTTTGTCTTCTGCACGGAGGACGGGTCGCTGTTTCTGGTGGGGTACTGAGGATTTTGATCTTCTTTACGATTTCTGCCTACGTAGCTAGAAGTACTTCTATCACCAATGAGCGGCTTCTTTTTCCCGAATAGGAACCAGCAATGTGATGTCCACATCTACTCCTAACTCCCATCATCCACTCATGATAGCATTGCATGGAAGAATAAGAGCCGAAACTTCTTCGAAATTGTTGAAAAGTAGCGACACCCACACCCTCACCCAAAAAATCATGTTTCCCTTTACATAGATTCCGAGAATTTTTTCTCCCACCGAGGACATCATCAACCTCTAGTAATGCAGCGCTGCTTGCACCTGCTAACAAGCAGACAGAGTTACTGCCGCATTGGCTACAACGTGAACGAGCTCCAAAGATCTCCATGTAGTATGTTCCCGCGCCGCCTGACCACGACATGATTCGATACTGATCCACATTTTTGTCCACACAAGCAGAGACATTGATACGCAAGAGGCTGATCCTTTTTTTTTTTGCTCTCGCGTAGAGCTAGAGATCAGCAAGCGCAATCGAAAGTAACAAAGCTCTAGAAGAAAAAATACTAGACAGTGGGTCCTTACGATAATTATACCCGGTGTCGTTTTTCGCAATCCCAGCTGCAAGAAGAAGTCAATGTAGGCTCGATGTTTTTACTGCGTTTCATCTCTAACAGCGACAAGCCCTGCCTCGTGCGGGTGGTTTCACTCATACTTGAAACATGTGTTTCTGTTTCAGATTTTTGTAGAGTAAGAACCACGACACAGCAAGTAGAAGTAGGACTAGAACTACACCAGCAACAGAAGTACATCAAGCAACGTCACGACGAGGACCCATGATAAGAGTTTAGCGACCCTCCACCTTATATCACAGATTTAGTATTACCGCCGGGCTGACCTCCGCAAAATAAACGTGACGATGCTGATACAAACTCCAACCGGGAAGCCGATGAAGCTGAAGGCTTACATCAGGCCACTCCTGGAGTACGTTCCGGAAATACAAGCGCCGGAGAACAAACTCCCTTTCTACACAAGAGCCAGCTACACGATAGGATCGCTGTTGGCGTTTTTAGTGGCATCACAGTACTTGTTAAATAATAGCTCCCTGTTTATGTTGTTCCTCTTCGCTGCAGTTGCATTTCTCATACAGCTGCTTTGGCACAAAGTTGTTTTGATTTGTCGACGCATAATTGATGTTGACGGCGTGGTGCACATGTGTGTCCACCCCACTATACATGAAGCATGAACATCAAACGATATTTTCACGAAAAATAACAGGATTCCTCTCTACGGTCTCGCAGCCGGCGGCGCGGGAAAGAATGACCCGTTTTACTGGCTCCGAGCCATTCTCGCGTCGAATAGGGGGACTTTGATGGAGCTCGGAATCGCGCCCATCGTGACGATATGAAATGCAAAAGCATCGTACTAGTATGAACTGCAATACAAGTTGTCTCAGCATGGGAAATAGAATTTGTAATGCTGATTGACCTTAGAAAAAAGATTTGCAATGCATAACTGCAGTGACACTTTTGCATTTCATATACGACAAGCATGATACTGCAGTTTCTCGCCGGGTCGAAAATTATCGAACTTGACCAGAATAACCGGGAGGACAGGATTATCTACGCCGCCGTGCAGAAGCTCGCCGGTTTGGCGTTCACCGCGATACAGGCCTTTATGTACGTGACCAGCGGAATGTACGGAGCGCCATCAGTATCCACAGTAAATTTCCCGTACGCGTACAAATGCAGTCTCTGCATGAGAAAACTGGGCTTCGATCCTAGTTTAGCATGACGAATTGGTGCAATTTGTGATGCATCTTGTACATGTACGGGCAAAATTTGTATTGCATAATCAGCGTTAGGCGCGTTTAACGGCGGCGCGATCGTTTTCCAGCTGACAGTAGCCGGGTTTATCGTGTTAATGTTGGACGAGGTGTTGACCAAAGGGTGGGGAATCGGCTCGGGGATAAGTCTCTTCATCACGACATCGATCTGCGAAACCATCGCATGGAAGGCGTTTTCCTTGGCCAGCGTGCAGACACGTATAGTTTATGATTACAGGAGAAGCTGCTTGGGATAATCTGTTTCAGCCCGATTTTTTCTTCCGTCAAGTTTATCTCTCTTTAGCATGTAAATGTATTTATAGCGTGCTACACGAAGCAGAGAAGCGGTCCGATCGTCTGCTACGACTTTGTGATGCAAAAATGCATGATGGTTGTTCTATCTTCGGATAAATCACGAAAAACCACCACAACAGCAAACGGAGTGATGTTCGAGGGCGCAATCTCCAGCTTCATCCACCAGCTCATCTTCACAAATCACCGGCTTTCCGCCATTCTCGAGGCCTTCTACCGACCATACGGAGCCAACATCACAAATTTAATCGCCACAGCAATCACCTTTGCGGTTGTGGTGTATTTTCAGGTACTATAACAAGTGCTCCTGCGAGCAGATGTTGCCCGCAGGCAGAGAATCCGTGCGCAGATACATGTTACTATCTTCAGGCAATTTCAATTTGTGAACTCGTGACGAATCCAATAAGAAAAAATAACATTTTGAAACTTCGCGGAAATTGTTCTCTTCCTGGTAGTGTGTATGCTGACATCAACATGTAGACATCACAAACACTAAATCTTGACTGTCTATCAGGGGTTCCGGGTTGACCTCGCCGTGAAGAGTCAGAGGGTACGAGGGCAGACTGGAAACTACCCCATCCGCCTCTTCTACACGTCTAACATGCCAATCATTCTGCACTCAGCGCTGGTATAGCTTTTTCTCTTGTAGTTATGTCTGCATGACAGATTGTGTGACTCATTGGTGGTTTGCATGACAAATAACCGACGAGGACTTTCATCAAATTAATGGGGTGGAAATTAATATACAAAATCAAAAACCACCAAAACTTGATGTAACAGATCTCCAACGTGTACTTCTTTTCCCAACTCCTCGCCCGACGCTTCCGCAACAATTTCTTCGTGGGGTTGATCGGCCAGTGGCAGGAAGTGGAGTATTTGAACGAATCCATCCCGGTCGGAGGCCTGGCCTACTACCTGAGCCCGCCCGGCGGACTACTCGACTTCTGCTGGAACCCGTTCAGATCAGTGATGTACTGTATCGCAAGAAAAAACTGTTTCACTGTGAACTTGTGATGCAGAAAATGGATCGCAGAAGTGAGTGTCATGCCACACATGCAAGACAATGGATTTCTAGCTGTGTTTTTCCTTAGGAACCCCGCATGACAGATTTTCAGTGTGGTCACGCGTAACAAACTTGTGATGCAGATTTTGCAAAATCACCACAGTGAAACATTTTTTTCGTGCGATATACTGCACACTGGTCATCACCAGCTGCACCGTTTTGAGCAAGCTGTGGATTGACAGTATTCAATTTTTCGCTTGTCTTTGTATAGAGCCCTTCGTAAAGCAGATGCTGAATTGCATCTTTCTATCAAAAGCAGCTTGATACCCAACGCAGGCGTGGTTTTTGTCATGCACAAAACGGAAAAGTACGTACAATAAAAGAAAACTAGAAACAAAGTAAACAAAATCCCACAGTTTCCGGCGAAGCCCCCCGAGACGTGGCACGAAAGCTTATCCTGTGCAAAAGTATCGTACTCGTATTGCAATCCTGCATTACAAATCTTTTTGTTGAGGTAGATCTGCATTACAAATTTTATTTTTCATGCTGAGGAAATTTGTAATGCATTTATACGAGTGCGACACTTTATTTGCACTGCATAAAGCTCCGCGAGCAGCAGCTCACCATTGTCGGCTACAGAAGTGAATCACTCACCGATGTCTTGAAAAAGTACATCCCGCAGTGCGCGGCATTAGGCGGCGCCATGGTGGCGATCTTGACCATATTCGCGGATTTGGTGGGCTGCCTAGGGAGTGGAACTGGGATGCTGTTAGCGGTAAATTTCACCTACACCTATATGGAGCAATTAGCCCGGGAAGGAGGCGGACTGCCGAACATGGGGCTCTTCGCGTAGTAGAGTAGAAGTGGCGAGTTGTTGTAAAGACAAGTCCGACCCAGTTGTAAGAAAAAACAATGTCTGAACTATGTGCGCCGCAGAAGCTTTTTGCTGTCGCGTATCGAAACCCAATGATGTGCTGAGTACTTTGTTGTCTCTCGACGCAACTCCAACTTTTTCAAATGTAACGACAAGGGTAAAAGAATGAAGGATCATTCATTTGAATTTTTTTGGTCTTAGATGTAGTTGTGTCAACGTCCCTCCATGTTGACATTGTAAAACGCATGGCACTTAGTCTTCAAGAATCGCGGTCACAGTTGGCAGCGTAGCAGTATTACCAACCAACCAAGAAAACAACTTACTACTCTCCCTGTTGTAACGTACCGCGCACCTCCTCCTACGATGCGTGACTGTGAACTTGATTTCAATAGTTTTTGTGTGTGGCTGCATGGGCCGCGCTCGTCGAGTACTAGGTGCTCCTACTTCAAAATCAAAAATGTAAAAATTTGTTCTTCATTCGTCTGCGCCGATAAACGAACGAGAGATCATCGGCATCGACCACAAAGGGAGTTGTCGTGATTAAAAAAATACACTGGATCAAAAAAGGTGTTATACTCAGTCGGTCTACATGTACACCTTGATCTTGCAACTTGATCATGGAGACGTTGTTCACCTCAATCTCACTTCACGATCACAACAAGCGCAGCGTAAATGAAAAGTACAAGTACAACCGTGAAGACCCTCGCTGAGTAAGGCAGGACGAGGATCAGGATCTCTCTTCTGTAACGATGTAGAGGTACAACAATAACAAAGAAAAACAACTCAGGTCAGCAACGAAAGGTGGATCTCTTGACGTAGTTCCAAATGGCAAACAGTTCCAGGATCTTCAGAAATTGATGAAGTTGAACCGATCAAATGCGATGCTTGAAGATGCGCAAGATGAATCTAAGACTACAACGACCTTCATATGATATTCATCTGCACCAAACATTTACAGTGACACTTGTTGCACCTGTTTGCCACTGGAGGACAACTTTAATCACATCAAAAGTAAAACTTGAAGCCAAACTGAAAGATACGGCAGTATTCTATACTAGGTAGTCGCATTTATTGGAGATCTCTACTGCTACTATTCATTTTCTCTTCGTAAGCGTAACAAGTGAAGGTTGGAAGTACTCTTTTTCAAGGAATTTTTTTTCACTTTTGGAAAGACCATCGTCATAACCTGCTGTATATCGAAACTGCATCACAAATTATACCAACTTAATACACATCAAACAATAAAATGTCCCACCTGTCCGTTGCTTCCACCGCGGAGCCGGCGGAAGCGGCTCCGGCCGCCGACCCGGAAGCCGTTCAGAACAACGAAAACCACGAGATCGACTCCGTGATTCCGGATGACCCGCTGGAAAACGAAACCCAGGCGCCGGAGGAGAACGATCAGGAGGGGAATGACGACAACGAAGATGACATCAATTCCGTCCCCCCGCCACCCCCGGAGGATGAGGAGGAACAAGAAACCGGTGTTGCAGCTGGTGGTAATATGTCTACCAACCAGCTGAACGCTGACGCTGCGGAGTTCACGATGGGAAATAGTAATCAGGACCAACAAATCGCTAATATGAACCCGAATGTGGTGAGTATGATGGGGAATAACAATATGCAACACCCTATGGCAGGAGGCGAGAACAAGAACAATCACCACCGGCAGAAGTGGAATCCGATGCACTTTGTCGGGGAGTTCGAGGACTCTCTCGGCCACCGGATCACCTCCGTCGAGGTGCCGCCGCGGAACCCCACTGGACCGGGTATGAAACAGCCGGAGCCGTCCTTTCACGCCCACTTTGTGGCCAGAAATCGCCCGGATAAGAGGTACTGATTTGATTCTTCCTATATCAATCTGTTGCGATTGCTTCTGCTTGCATGACAGGGACTGCTTGCAATGGAATGTTCTTACGCATCAGAAGTTAGTTGTGCATCGAGATTTTTGCATGGAGATGTTCATGGGCTAATAGCATGAGAAACAAAGGTCTTTATTCGTTATGCGAATACACATACACATCGACGAAACACAAAAACAGGTTCGTCATCGCCCGGAAGCAGGTGATGCGATCGCAGAAGCGTGCTTGGATGTGCGGGAATGGGTACTTTTGCCACCAGCTGTCCAACCCCGACCGGATTGTCTTTCAGACCATCGATGGACGGGAAAACGTCTGGACGAGGCTGCCACCGGTAGAATTTTTGTTTGTCATGCAGTAACAGGCAAGAGACGCACGATTTCCGTTGCTACAGTGCTAGTTTAAGTAGTCTATGTTTATTGTGTGCTTCCTTTTAATATTGACGTTCAAGTTTGTCATGCATAATAGCCACAGCACTTCGAAATATTAAACGACGACACTACATCACACTATCAGGCCGGCGCCGTTTTCTTCGATCCGCCCCCGAATCTGACGATCGACGTGGATGCCGCAATGGCGCAGTGGCGCGAGGAGCACTTGAAACTTCTCGAGCAGAAGATGACGGAGATTCATCTGGAGGACGAGCAAGCGATTGCGGAGAAGGAACAACAACAACAGCAAATTTTGACCGAAAAGAACGACACGACCGAACAACAAGAACAGTTGCAAAATAACGTTGAGAAGGTGGAAAATATTAACGCCGTCCAACGGAAAGAAAAAAACGACAAAAATACGACCGAAAAGCAGGCATTCAAAACTGGCGAAAGCACACCCTCAACAACTCCGGATGAGGAAAGCAAGGAGGAACCTAGTGCCACCGAAAACAAGAAATCCGACGACACCGAAGCCACTTCCTGGGCAGCAAAGCTGAAGAAGTCAACAGAGACGAAAGCGTCCTCATCAACTGCTACGAAACAGGAGAAAAAGGACACCAAGCCAGTCCCCAAAGTCATGGAAAACGTAGAAAAGTCATGGCCACCAAAGAAATGGGCGGCCAATGCCAACGCGGAGGAATTTTTCCCGGCTTGCTTGGAATTGACCCGACCAAGAGTAAGCGGGAATGCGAAGCAGGTGAAGGAACTACAGGTAAGTATGAATTAATCTTAAATAAACAGATAAGTACCACTGACTAGAGGCTTAAAGCGACGAGCTTGCGATGTATATTTTCCAAACATAGTTAGAGATAGAACCGCGAGTAGCATCATCTTCTTTGTAGTTGTGCAGATTCAAAATCAAATTTGACCTACTTTACTAGTTTGTCATGCATATTATCCGAAACAAAAAAAAACTTGTATCAGGTCCGAGCGGTCTCTGATGTTGGGATGGGCAACCAGATGTTCTCCGAATTGCAGTGGACGTTGGAGGAAAAGTGGAGCCAGTTGAAGAAGAATCCGACGGATTTCGCAGTGGTGTCCCCGCACTTCTCAGTCGGCGTCGTGGAGAACGTATTTTTGCTTTACATACTGTTTGTACTTTTTGGCAGTACAGAGTCAGTTTGTCATGTAAGAAGAAGCATGAGAGGCTAATATAGAAAGAGCAGCCAACATCCGCGCTTTATCTACCAAGAAGCCCAATCGTATCGCTATCTTGTATGGAAAGACTCAATACTCTGTCGTAAATGAAAAACACAAAACAACTATCAGCTCCAACTTTCCTTTTTCCCGTCCGGGAGGAAAGCCAGCGGCAAGAAGTCGAAGCACACCTCGCTCCAACTGATCACGGGCGATTTGCAGGAGAGAGCCATGGGCTTGGAATTGGAAATTATGATCAACGGCATTCGGTGTGAAACCGCGAAGAAGACGGTTAGTGGAAGGTTATGGATGTGTCAGAATCGAAATCGTCAAAGTTGAACTAGTTTGTCATGCATAAAATGCAACGCAGAAATTGTCTCTATTGCAGAGAACGCAAGAGAGGCAGACTGTAAGCCTGTCGAGGGGCAGAAATAGAGCTGCCCAAGTAGCATGACAAAAGGCGTCGACCTTACCCAAACAGCATGACAAACTGGATTTAGATTCTACCCAAATTTGTTATGCGCTACTTGGAAACTGGGCTGCAACTGGCCTCCACTTTACGCATGGCAAACTATTTCAACTTTGTTGATTTCGATCCTGACGCTTCCATAAAGGTTCACCGGGGACTACCCGTCTATGGATGATAAGACGGAGGAGGTGAAGATTTGCTTGAGGATAATCAACTTGTTTAAGGACGAAAAAAAGATCGAGAACTAAGAATGGTTCTCGTACTTCTCAGGAACAACGGACATCACGGATTTTGTTTCCAATCAACGCATTATAGAATTTCACAACAAGAAATCAACTATGATGTGGAACTGGGGTCGCCTGATTACTCAACTTTTTGACGACCGAAAGATCGAAGTGTAAAGGTTTTGGCACTAATTGTATGCAGAATTGGCAGGGGAGGAAAATCTGGAAGACTGCAACGATTTTACGGCACAGTGATGACAAAATAAAGAGAAAAATCTACTTGACTCATTTACGCGCACGAGAGAAGATGAAACTTTTTATACTAAATGCATATGAACGCGTGATTTATTCGTAGGATGATGGGAGGAGGAAGACTGATTTTTAGAATCAAGGGCTTAATCTAGCGCTACACACTTTTTAGACGACCAACGGCAAATAATGAAATTCCTATACCGGGTTTTTCGTTCCGGACGAAATATTAAGCCACTTACAACGCACTTTGATCAGTCTTTTTAGACATGGAAAAGCTGAAAAAATATAATTTCGGAGGGCAGCCGTCCCGCTCGCGGTTTTGGCCCCTGGGTATGAGCAGCCCACTTGATTGTTCCAAAGATGAAGATGTTCGCCTTGTTTGTATTGGTCGTCGTTCTACTTCGTTTCAGTTCTATCGTTGAAGATGTGCACGTGGTGTTTGACTAATTGCGTTATCAAGGTCGTTCGTTGACCGTGAGAAATTCCACTTTCGTTCATCTTCCTATGTAAGTACCTAGATACAAATCGTCCTGTCCTTGCTCACGTCGTTCTCCCTGTCGTCGCCGTTCTCACAACATCCCGACCGTTCTCAAAAAGCAGACCTGTCCACGTCGTATTCGTTTTGGTTTTTCAGAAATAACACGAAGTACGAGTTCCAACACTGTTCTAACATAGACTACATTTCATCTCCGTTGTTGCAGGTTCGGCTACTCAGAGCGCCCTCGTGTTTCTTCTTCGCTCACGCAGAATCAATTACAAGAACCCTGCGTGTTGCATACGCCACCACATAGTAGCCCTCGAAATTGTTCGCATTCATTTCCAGCCTGTTTGGAGATTTTCTGTTTCTCAGAAAGATGGTCGTACATCTATCGAAGAGTAGAGTCGGCAAAGCCACAGCCGTGTTGGCACTCCTGTCGCACACCGCTGTCTATGCCGATCCAGCCCCGGTACAACAACCGGCGGAAAAGAACGGAAGGCAACTACCTGAAATAAACACCTCGGCGGACAATCGTATCCTGAAGCCGAGACTTCGTGGGACGTTGCGGAAAAGAGAACTGCTGGAAGAGGCAGCTGCATCAAACCTGCTTCCAAGTAGCAACTTGATGCAAAAGCAGGAACTTCTGCAAGAACTACAGCTGCACAAGAAAGAAAACGACGGCGCACTCGAAAAATTACAACGAACCTCCGAGCAAGAACTCTCCCCCAAGCCGCGCCTCCGCGGCACCCTCCGGAAGCGAGAACAGGAGCAGGCCGCGGCGATGTCGGCGGCTAAAGTAAAACTACAGGACAAGTTGGAAGGCGAAGGGAACAAGCCGACGGCTGCAAATGATGATGCAACAGCAACTGCAAGCAATTTGATGCAGGTGATGAAACAGCAGGAGCTGCATCTTCACAAACACGATCACGGAGTCGTGCCACCGCAGCAGCTCCAAGACCACCTCGTCCAAGCCGGCTCGAACGAAAACATTTCACAAGACCACCTTGTTCCCAAGCCCCGGCTCCGCGGCACTCTGCGGAAGAGAGCGGAGAGGGAGATGAAGCTGAAAAGCGCGCCGGACGGTGGTGCGGAGACGAAAGAACTACTCACAGTCCCTGCTACGTCGGACGACAATGTGACGGAACAGCATGAAATAAACACCAAAGTCACCGCCAGCAGCACAACTTCAACTTTGCAAAAGCTGGAGCAACGGGAGCAGCAAAAACACGACCTTCAGCAAAACCACAAGTTCGAAACATTTATGCTGGAATCAAAGAGTTATCTCAAGGAGAAATTCGAAGAACTCTCGTCGTCCATGGGCAAGAAATTGGACGAAATTGTCGACGATTACGTGCAGCCGTTTTTCAAATCCGCGGAAGAAAAAACCGTGGAATTGGCAAACGAAGCGCTCACTGGGGCCGTGCAATCTTTCACGGAAACCACGACAAACGGCCCGGATGAGGGCAGCTTCTGGGCGAGGTTTCAGAAACAAGAATTCGCGGAGGTATGACAGTGCACAACTCCCCTTCCCCTTCATTTGTCATGCAATATACCCAGTCCACCCTTGCCTTTGCCACTTGGCACTGTTTGCATGACAAGTTCTGCTTCTGGTAGCTTAAATAGCACTACTATAATGCTCTAGTGCAAATTTGTCATGCAAAACCACCAATCTTGTTGATGCTTGTATTGCTGTGTATGGTATACAGATGAGGGGAAGGGGGAATTGTGCACTCTCATACGCGGGCGGGTTCGGAGATCAGATCGGGGACGAGGTGGTGGCACTGGGGCGGGTGTGAGAAGAAGTAGGGCGAGGCAGTTAAGTACTGGCTAAGCACGCGAATGACCGTTGCAAAAGCCAGCGGAGGTTTCGGAATTTCGCGTTCGTTGGCTATTTTTTATTGAGCTGAGCTCCTGTTCCTTTCCCTTTTAGTATTTTTGCATATTTTTAATTACATACTTATCATCCCACCGAGATCGATCCCAAACCCAACCTACTTTGAAGTCATCAAAAGGAGATTTTCTCTAGGTTTTCCAAGAACCTTTCTGATGAAAATTGCTACTCTAGATGAGACCACTCCCCCTCAGCAGGCCCAGAGGACCATACAGCACTACCCCGCAGTTGACATTTATGTTTGGCGTCGCCGTTTTTTTTTTTGAGAGAGTCAAAGACAAAGTTTTGACTGCGCCCTCCCCTTGATATTAAGTAGCATCCTGACAGGAAGTTGTAGAACACGCATTTCCCGCAAACCACCCAAGAACACGCATTTCCCGCAAAAAATAGTTTGTGATGCGCGGTGTTGGTCGTCTGTCCTCGCGGGGGAAACTTAGAGGCCACATCACTGCTCGGCGTTCTTCGTTACTGGCTGTGTTCTTCCGGAAATATTTGAAAAGCAAAATAAGACCTTGACAGCTAGCATGACAGTCTGACAGAACCTGAAGAGCTTCTAATGAAAGCAAGAGCCAAGAACTACGTCTTTTAGATTTGAGCGAGAGGGAACGAAGAGTATGCAGATAGAGGTTGCCTCGTATACATAGTGTAGTCTGCACCAATCAAGAACGGAGGCAAGTAACAAGTAAGCACTCGATAATTTATGGCGGTAAGAAGACGAGAATACACCCTCAGCTACTTGCACGGTGCCCCCTAACCTTCTCGTAATACGTTGCAGTACTTACGCGCCTCTGCTCCCGCCCAATTTTCTACTTGCATAAAATTGCAAAATGCGGAGCAAAAACACCATGCCCATGCGAGGGCGGTGATTAAGAACATGCCGTGTTGACCACGACTCGTCGGTTAGAAATTGTGATATGCCTTCTAGCGCAGATTTTGAGACGCCACTTCTAGCCCGTTGGTCGTGGAGCTAGTTGCTCAGAGGACGAGGAGCTCAAACTTACAAAGAACAAGATGACCGAGCCGGCTCCTCCGAAGCCGAACAAGCAGCACGTGCACATCGTGGCGGAGATCGGCATCAACCACAATGTATCCTGTACAAACGTATCGTACTCGCATTGCAATCATGCATTACAAATCCCTTTCTTAAGCCAAATCTGCATTACAAATTTCATTTCTCATGCTGCAGAAATTTGTATTGCATTTATACGAATACGATTTTTTTGCAATGCATACAATGGGGACATTGAACTCTGCAAGAAGCTGATCATGCTCGCGAAAACGGCCGGGTGCGACTCCGTGAAAATCCAGAAGCGAAACCCCGATGTCTGCGTTCCGGAGGACCAGAAGCTATCAAATGCAAAAATGTCTGGGTCTGGAAGAATGCAAGACTTGCCATGCATATTTCTCATGACCCATGATGCCTGTAATGCATTACCTAGCATCGCAGACTTTTACAGGGCTTCCTGATGCACCTTCCGCATGAGAAATGCCCCCTCCGTGTAGCACAAATTGCACCCCTCTTGCTGGTCATGCAATACAATTTTATTTAGAGTCTACAAACAGCATGACAAGTTGCAATCTTCCAGACCCAGACACTTTTGCAGTTGATAGAAACAGAAGATGCGCGACACGCCGTGGGGGCGGATGACGTTATCAACTGCAAAAATGTCTGGGTCTGGAGGGATGCGAACTTGTAATGCTAGCTCTCCATACCCAGGAAATCTGTATTGCATAGCCAACAATGAAAGTCGCAGCCTCTTTTGTACATGCAAAAACGCAGTATCTCATGCGGATTTCCTATGAGAAAGGGAAAGCGTTCTCAAAAGTTGTCATGCTGTAATGCATGCGGAACTGTTTCCATCATCCACATTTTAGCATCACAAGTTTCCAGGCCCAGACACTTTTGCAATGCATAGACGTATCTGGAATACAAGTGGAAATTGGAATTCAACGAAGAGCAGATCAAAGAGCTGATCGAGTACAGCAAGTGGATCGGGATCACGTTTTTCGCTTCCGTTTGGGACATATGCATTGCAAAACTGACGTACGTACGTAGAAATTGCATTACAAATTTTCTCAAGAAGAAAAATACAATTTGTCATGCGTGTTCAGGTAGAGAAAGAGAATTGAACTTGTCATGGATAGCTGCAATTACTACGAGTACGATACTTTTGGAGAGAATAGGACAAGGAAAGCTGCGATATGATGTGCAAGTACGGCGGATTGTCGAAAATCCCCTCGGCTTTGATCACGGATTTGGAACTCTGCGAGTACGCAAGGAAAAAGTTCGAAACGCTGATCATTTCGACCGGTAAAGTTGAGAAGAGTTACGCGGTGATAGACATTGACATAGATGATTTAGGTTTTTGCATCCGCGAAACAGAGGCATTGGCTTGTGATGCCTCTGCATGATAGATCAGTCCAACAGCTTTACTGACCATTTTCGAATGTTTCTGTATAAGGAGTACTCCTGCATGACAAACAGCACAATCCAAAACTCTTTAGAAAACAGGTATGTCCACCGAAGAGGAGATCGAGGCCTGTGTGAAGGTGTGCGACCCGGATATCATCATGCACACGAATTCGACCTACCCGTGCCCCTACGAGGATTTGAACCTGCGGTACATCACGCACCTGAAGGACAAATACCCGGAAAAAATCATCGGCTACTCCGGCCATGAGTACGGATTGGTTACCACATTTTGCGCGGTCGCGCTCGGCGCGCTGTACGTCGAGCGACATATCACGTGGGATAGGAACATGTGGGGGTCTATGGGAGTGTCAGAACCGAAATCGTCAGAGTTGAAATGATTTGTCATGCACAGATGGATGCCAGTTGGAACCCAGTTTCCAAGTAGCGCATGTCAAATTTTGGCGGTCCTTCAATCCAGTTTGTCACGCTGTTTAGGCAAAGAAGACGGATTTTCCCATGCTACTTTAGCAGCTCGAGCTCTAACCCCAAACAGGCTTACAATCGGCCTCACTTGCCTGCTCTGCAAGACACATACCCCGCGTCGTGCATTTTATGCATGACAAATCATTTCAACTTTGTCGATTTCAAACCTGACGCTTCCATAGGGTCGGATCAGCTGTCATCCGTGGAGCCGGCGGGGTTGTTGAAATTAGTGAAGGGCATATGCAAGAAAAAAACTGTGTAAGTGTAACTCTGTAATGCAGAATATGCAACAGATCTACGCCTGTCATGCCACACAGCCACGAAGTCCTTTTTTCATGTGTGTTTTCCCTTACAAGCCGCGCATGACAGGTTCTCTCTGTTATGTAGACTAAATTTGTGATGCTGTCAGCCAAAGAGAGTTGCACTCACACAGTTTTTTTCTTGGATAGGGCATCCGGGATTCCAGCGAGTCGTTGGCTTACGAACCATATGGTTTGCTCAAATGTTACAATCTCAAACGTTACAATAACATCATCTCAAATTTTCCTGACCGAACATCATGAGTACTGTACAGAGACTTGGGCTTTCGCGATACAAATTTCGCGAGATAATTCTCATGGGGTTGGGAGCTCCGAAACTTGTCATGCGTGCTCCTGTGGGAGTCGGCCAGATGTTGCGCATCGTGCAACACAAATTCCAGATTCTATGGTATACCGATTTGAGATTGTAACACCTGGGCGGGTTATAAACTAGGGCCGAGGATTATGCAACGTAATTTTCCCGTACATGTACAAAATGCATGACAAGCTTCACCAATGTGGAGTGTAACACTTGTCATGCTAAACTAGGACTGAAGCCCAGTTTTGTCATGCAGAAGCCACATTTGTACGTGTGCAGGAAATTTACTGTGGATAAGGATTCTGTTCGACCGGGAAAACTCGAAGAAGGTCAGTTTGCGCCCGCAGCTATCCTGTGCAAACGTATCGTAGTCGTATTGCAGTCATGCATTACAAATCTTTTTGTTAAGGCAAATCAGCATTACACCCCCCACGCTGAGGAAATTTGTAATGCATTTATACGAGTACGAATACGATACTTTTGCAATTTATAGCAGCCGAAGAAGTAGTGAAGGCTTGTTTGGCATTTTTGCAGGGGCAACTGGGGGTGATCTCTGTGTGTGTGATTATCTGTAGGGCTACCCAGGAGTGAAAAGAACTTGACAGACCTCGGCTCTGCCGGCCGTATTAAACTTCAATTCACGGATTCTATCTTGCTGAATTTTTACCTGATGAGGTCGATTCTGCGATCATTCACATCTATTTTTTCAACGCTAATTTGCCCTCTTTATCTTTTCAAAGAAATGTTGTTAGTAATTGTGATTTGATTTTTTGACAGAGACGCAGATGAAAGATTGAGATATTAGTTGATGGTAGCGATTATATGTAACTGCTTTCACAGAAGGTGGAGTTGTTAGCCCTTTTTGTCGTCCTCGAGACGTCTCCTGAAACCGATGAAAGTAATATGAAAAAAGTTTGACGAATGAGCAAAAGCGCGTGCTGGCGCACAGTCTGTCAGGGTCGCGTTGGCCGCGAGCTTCCGTGGTCGTAGTGGTACTTGAGAAAAAAAAAAACCGAAAGCAAACTGCCCTTTTGTCGCTGTTCAGCTGATGTTCTTGCTCATGATGTGAAACAGATTCGATTGGTATTCGACAAGACTATCGATCGGTTTGTACCGTACCTCTATTCGAGAATATCGGTTGTCTACTTCCGTGGTCGTACACATAGTCTTCAAGCAGGCGAATGATTATCGGTCTCGTCTTCTAATTGAAAGTCGTATTCGTAATGATACTTCCTTGTTTTTCCTCGTATTATCGATTGCTTTTTCCTCGTACGATGTTGTATAGTGGTATAAGCATTTTATTTCCTCGTACTACCGGTCGTGTGGCTCTGATCGATCATCGGTCTGATTGTGGTATTCGTTCAACAACTCACATTTCAATATTTCTTCGGTTCGTCACACGGCGCTGCTGCTCCGGCGCAGAAGTTTTTAGGCGACGGTTGCGTTACTTACGTACGAGTTTTCACTTCGTATAGCTTTATTGATCGAACATGACGTGTACTAGGGCTTTCCTGTGCTAAAAATATTTCCATTCTGGTCTGCTGGCTTTTCTGCGCAGTGCTTTGACAGAAAATCAAAATAATTCCTCCGACAGGTTTTGGTGCGAAAACTTTCTTGACTTGTTGGTCGTCCCCACGTCTGCAAGCCCTGAAAGAACACAGAAGTACTACCGCATTTAACATTTCACGACTTCGATTTTTCGAACAACAAACTTAAGCTTTTTTCTTCTATAGTACGAGACAACTAGTACAATGAACTGTAGTTTGAGCAGTCACCTTGATCTTCTATCTTTTACAAACAAACAAAATCACTATCCCTAAATACGCCTGCTGCAACGTTAGCTACGACGTGCGAAAAGGTGTAATCACTGCTGCTCAAAAGTAGCGCTGTTTCCTGCTCAACAGAAGTACTTCTTGTAGACGAGTATTTCAATTTCTGTTGCTTTTCATCCAGAAGTAGATCCACGTGAAGTTGTAGCCTTCACTGCTGTGTCACCACCAAGGAACATGACTTTCACGACTCGAGGCGCTCCTGTCGGACCACGTCAACAGCGGCCCGCAGGTCGTCCCGCAGGTCGTTCCAGCATGATCACCGCGAGCTATGAGACTGCACAACAACTCTCCCTCGTTTTCAACTCTCATGAAAAACACTAACTCCACCCCTTGCCTTGTGCCACTAGCTACCATGCATGACAGATTTATTCCGAAGCCGAAACAGCACTAAAATCGGCCGTGAATTTGATGTCATGCACCAAAATCTGCATCTGTGTGAGCACTCGTGTTGCTGTGGATGCCATCCAAATGAGGGGGAGGTGCAGTTGTGCACTCTCATACGAGCACGACGACGCGTAGAAGTCGTGCTCGCGCCCCCTGGTCGACGTTTCCGGCGTACAAGAAGAGGAGCACCAGAACTATGCGCCGCCGGCTATCGTGCGTAAAAACGTCGTCTCCACGCCAGAATCTAGACGGTGACTTTGCAACACAAATCCAGAGGCTTTAGGAATCGCGGATCATGACTAGTTTGGCGCTGGTGCAGTGTAATCTTGCCGAGCTAGCCCAGACGCATTTTTACAATAAATTCGCCCAGTTGATGTTCTGATTAGTGCATTGCAGCTTCCCAAGGGCCATTACGAAACGCCTCTCATATAAGTTGAGAAACATCCTGCGCATACAAATTGACAAAAAAAAATTGCATAACAGCGCTGGAGGGGTGGGGACGTCTTTGTATAGGATACCGGTTACCTTTGCGGAGGAGTAAGTTCCTGCTTGCTGCAAGTACCGCCGTGCGCGTCGCGATGGTACCAACATGCACGACGTCGACCCTAGAAGTGCTATCGCCTGGCCCACGTCTCGTCGGTGCCGTGAACGTGGAGAAAATCAACGCACAGCAGCAATCACAGCAGCAGGGCAATGCTGGAAACGGCAGCGGCACCACGACGAACACAGCGCAAACTGCGCAGCCGAGCTCGAAGACGAACGAGGGCAATTGCAATGGCGGCGGCTCCTGTATGAAAAAGCAAACTTCGCATTACTTCAGCTTTCTAATACGTACATCTATCACGAAGATAGCACCGACGCTGCTCTTCTTGCGCTATCCTCTTTGCATCACGTCGAGGACCGCGAGTGTGAAGGGGTGGCGCGTTGTATAGGGCTAGGGGGCCAGCAGGCATTGGAAGTGAAGGAAGCTGTTTTTTCTTATGCATAGTATGCGGCCAGAACACCAGTGGTGAGGAGCTGCAAAGGATGAAAGACGGGACACCGAAGGCCGTCATCGGTCAGTTTTCCGACCCACACAAAGGGCCTGATGTGGTCCCGGACCCGGCAGAACAACCGCCGCGAGGACCTTCTTCCGCATCACGGCTGCAAGCTTCTCAGCGCGTACCGTCCAGTGAGGGAGCAGGCACAGGGACAAGCACTGCTGCTGCTGCAGGCGGGCACCAGGACCCGGACCAGCCCAGGAATCCAACTGATCTCGCGGCCGCCGCTTCCTTGTCTACCAAAAGAACGACCAGCAAGACGGGGGGATCGCCACCTGGCGTTGATGAAGCTTCCACGAGGACCAGCGGCAACGAGATTACACCTGGAGATCCACTAAAGGCTGCTGCTGCAGGCGAGCACCAGAGTGCTGGAGAACCACCACCACGATGTGAGACGCTGACGGATGGCCAGGCGGAGGGAGTCCTGTGTGCGTTGCCGAACGGGTCGACGTACCAGGGGCAGTGGAAGGACGGCAAGAGGCACGGCGAAGGTGTGTACACGTGGGAGAATGGGGCGAGGTACAATGGGCAGTGGGTGAATGGCAAGAGGGGCGGCAGCGGTGACACGTGGGCGGACGGGAGGACTGTGTACGTTGGGCAGTACAAGGACGACAAGCCACACGGCGAGGGCACGCATACGTTGCCGGACGGGTCGACGTACAAGGGGCAGTGGAAGGGCGGAAAGATGCACGGCGAAGGTGTGTACACGTGGCCGGACGGGGCGACGTACGATGGGCAGTGGGAGTATGGCAAGAGGGACGGCAACGGTGTGTACAAGCTTCCGGACGTGTCGACGTACGAAGGGCAGTACAAGGACGACAAGAAGCATGGCAAAGGTGTGCTCACGTGGTCGGACGGGCGGAAGTACGACGGGGAGTGGGAGTATGGCAAGAAGCATGGCAGCGGTTTGTACACGTGGGCGGATGGGACGACGTACGACGGGCAGTGGCAGTATGACAACATGGACGGCAGCGGTGTGTGCACGTGGGCGGACAGGAGCAAGTACGACGGGCGGTGGCAGGATGGCTTGAGGCACGGCGATGGCAAGTACACACGCCCTGGTGGGACGACTTCCTGGGAGGGATCATGGTGGGAAGATAAAGCAGGCTTGCCTCATTATCTCAATCCGCTGCCCGACCTCGGGACTTGCACGACGGACGGCCATCAGTGGCTGGTCCCCGTGCGGTTTGAAGATTGCAAACCGTGGAAGTGGGGGGATTTTTCTCCGTTTTAGGACGACACGCCCCAATAACCCCTAGCAGCCCTCCCCTATGTTGCTAGCAAGATGATGATGATGATGATGATGACCCGTGGTCTCCGTGCTAAGGTGGTCGTGAGGGTCATGGTGATTTTTATGGCGAGCAGGTGTGTATACATAGGGGTGACGAGACTCGAACGGCTACCGAAGGATCGTTGCGGGAACCGTCGGACAATGTCACTGTATGTCATGCGCGTCAGCTCGACCATAAAGCGAAGGCAGCACACGAAGATGCGTAGTGCCAGCTCGTCAACAAAGAAGACAGCAGCATCAGGCGACTTGCTGTGCGTCAACTTGCTTCATCTCTCTTCACAACTTACTAGAACTATATTTATCAGGCTTTGAGCTGATTTTCATTTTTTTTTTACGGCTCAAGTTTCTTTTTTTGGTTTTCTCATCGGGTTTTTCTTTATCATTCTTATATCTCTTTTGTTCTCCTTCTCCATTTACTACTTTTCCAAAATGCAACGCTTCCATGCCTACTTCACCTCCGCCTCCTCCTGCGCCACCGCTCTTCTTCCCTGATTCCGCGACCTACATAGCACGTCCCGGCCCCGGGGCCAACGCCGCAAGGGTTTCAGGGTACTAAAGGGTTTGTTTAGGGTTCTTAACCTGAATTTGTCAGGCTTTGAGCTGATTTTTACGGCGAGCTGGAGTGCAGCTCTTCCCTAAAGTTCTCATGTTTGTTCGGTTCGTCTGGTGACATAGTACTAATGCTTTGCATCAGGCTTTATTTTTTTTTGATTTTCTACTTGTTATTTATATTTCTGACGATTGCGATTCTAGTGCAAGAATATGAGCAAGTGTTTCTGTTTAGATTTACATTCCATTTTTACAACTAAAGACCAACAGTGATTTATAATCGTTTTGTGTATCTGTATTAGCCCCTTTATTTTCTCACTTCTTTTTTCAACAACGACAGCCCCATGTAAAGATGAAGGCGCCAGCATTCCCCGGGGCGTCCAACTACGAGACGCGGTCACCATGGACCCAAAAACTCACGCCCAAAAGTAGCCTCCGCGTGCTCGTGTCTGAATGAAGATGATACAACACTAAAAATCAAGCTCGTGCAAATTATCGCCATCGGGCAAATTGCAAAATCTTCCACCTCCATCGTGTTAGCAACATGCTTTGGACGGATGTTCCGGTGGATTCTATCGTGGACAACGATGCCGAGTGCATAACAGAATTCCACGCTTTTCCTGATCAGGGTAGTAGTGAGCAGCGAAATGATATCCTTCGAAAAGACGTCGCTTCATTCTGATTAGTTCGAATCGCGCATGACAGATTTGCATTTCCCGTGTGATGCGCATGACAAATTGCATTCTCCCCTGCGCATGACAAATCTCAACTTGCCAATGCAGCACGACTTTTAAGCGCATCACCGCCCAAATTTACATCCAGAAATATGGCATGCACATTTGTCGTCTTTGGTCGATGTTGGTGGTCTGCAGTGGAAGGCTAGTAAGGATGTGTTGCAGGTAGATGACCACGACCAAAGACGACCCGGCTTGCTGGTATACACTTTTTCCCGGCGTGATCAAGGTGGGGATGGGGCACAGGTTGTGGAACGACGTGAAGGGCTGCGTGGAAATCATCGCGCAGGCTTGTGCGGAGATACGGAAATACTGCCGGGCGCCGTGCGGGAGCGGTGCGCAGCAGGCAGAATACCTGCAAGCGATCGAGGAGCTCTTGCTGGAGGCCGTGCACAAGATGGACCAGATCGTGGTTCGAGCCGATCCCCGGGAAGGATATCCCGGCAGAAGTGTTTACACACGCGCAGCAGGGGTACGTGGAGAAGGGGAAGCGGAAAAAAGGAAAATCGCCTGCGAAGGACCTTGCCGCCCCGGAGACCTCCGGCGCCGCTTCTTCCAGCTCGTCGTCCAGTAAGTGGCCAAAAGGACCGACGTTCAGCTTCATCTCTCTCAGCACCACTCTCGACCACGTGGCCATTTCCCCGTCTGAGTCGAAGCGGGGTCCGCGCGTTGTGCTTGAGTACTAGGAGTCCGACGGTGGCGAGTTGTCCAAGAGCAGTAATCGTCCTCCCGGGTGAGGCGTAGATCACGAGCATGGCCGCTTCCAGAATGTCCGACCTGTCCGCCCGCCGTTTCGAGACGCATCCGCGGGCGCAGTTTTGAACTAGCTAGTTAATTATCTGATAAACGCCACATGCATGCACACCATAAGTAGTGTATTATATGTAGTGAGGTCACCGAACGGTTCTAACCGGGGAGTTTTTTTGCCAGCCAGACAGCAAAACGGCCGCCAGTTTTCAAGCGGGCGGAAGTGTTTTTGGACATAAAAAATTTGCAATTATCAAGCGGCCGGGGCTTTGCCAACAAACAAGCCCGGTCGAAAACTATCGATTCGCACTGGATAAAACGACGCAGGGGAGCCGGCAAAAGGGGCGCCCTTCTGAGGCGCCCGCCGCCTTGGTTTCTGGCGATTTGGGGCGCCCAAAAAGGGGCGCGCAAAAAGTGCGACCATTTTCAAAACCGCGAATCCGCATGGCACGGCCGCGACTTCGGTGCATTTTGGGCGGCCGCGAAAGCGGCCGCCTTTTCGCCTGTTTCAGAGCCTTCGAAGCTTTGCAAAAAGCGCCGGCGTGAAAAATAAAAACGCGAAAAAGAAAAAGCGCCCCAGACGCGCAAAGCCAATCCGCATGCTACGGGCCCGATTTTTCTTCGCTTTTTGGGCGCCCCCCGTGGCACCCGGATCGGCCCCATAGCATGCGGGCTGGCTTTCGGAGAGGGATTTCGAAGATTTGCCAAAATTTGCGATGTTTCTCGAGCGGCCGCCATACCGTGCGGCCTAACGCTACTCACGGCGGTATGGCGAGCCCAGAAAAAGCAAAGCCGCGGCCAAGGCGACGGCCGGCAAGAAAACGCCCACGACCTCACTACCTCCGCCCCGGCGGCTATATTTGGTTCAGGTACCTTAAATTTTTTTTTCAACTTTGAGCATTTCAATCCTGACACGCCCATATCGGGCAAATTGCAAGGTCTTCCACCTCCATCGTGTTAGCAACATGCTTTGAAGAAAGAATCGGTCGCCCGTCTTCCTACGCAAACGAACAGCCTCGGTCTGAAATCGTGTTGCCTTGATTGATATTCCCAGTTTCTTGTCTTTCGTGACGAAACATCCATTGCGTTTGGTTTAGTGCTATGCCTTCCTCTCGGTTGCCCTTGCCTGCCTCTCGTCATGTCGTGGTGGTGGTCGTCTGACTCAAGCATATGACTTCTTCCTCGGTTACTTACTAGAGCAGCCGGCGTTCTTCAGAAAGTAGTGAAAAAACGAAGTCCTACCTCCGAAATTCTAATTCCAATTCGCTTCTTTACTCGAAGTCGTGACGGTATGAGATTTCCAAAGACAGAAGTAAGTGGGTAGTTCTTCAGCACCACCCGAAGTAAGCATAAGTAGAATAGTACCCGAAGAAGTAGATAAAGTAGTAAGTTCTTGTGCCGGTTGTAAGTGCTAGAAAGTTTCTTAGCAACGGACCCCCCCTGCTCTTACATGATCAAGAAATCGACATCGAGGATCATCCCTACGGTAGTTTCGTTGCGGCCCACGATCTCTCCAGTGGCAACGACAAGCGCCTAACATGTACATGATGAAAGACCCGCATCTCTCATCTACTTCGCCATAGGAAAAACGACGTCCCTGCTCAACTGCAGCGACTGCGACGAAATCTTCGTTCACGTCGCGGCTGTGGAGGCCTATCTATGGTTGAATGGCTACAGCTGGCCGATGTTTCCACCGTCCTGCCCTTGCTGTGTTCTTGCGAACCCGGTATCGCGCTTTTGTTGGCTGGCGGGCGATGTACTTGCTTGCGAGCAGTTTTTGTTCGGCAAAAACAACCCCGCCTGCCCTTGGGTGGATTGTGTTTTACTACTCTGGCTTGCCATTCATGAAGACCGATGTTCTATTTCAGTGTTGGTGCTGCGCCACGCTCGGTAAGGACTTAAAACCGGAGCTCCGCGCTCTGGGTTTTTCGTTTTCCTATGTAGATTGTGAGGGCTCCGCCTCCAGCTGTTCCCACTGGTGTCGAACTTGTCCTCCATGATTAACAAGAAAAGGAGAAAAGACTACCTGACTGAGGTGTATGCAAGAAACGTTTGATCAGCTTCGTGTGTCGCTGGCCCGCGAGCATACTCCCATCGATCTGATTTAGATTTTCGAATGTGGGAACATTTCTTGTACCTACTTCGCTTTATCAGTCGTCCGTGATCGTCCATGTGCCATCGTTCTCTACTTCTCGTTTCATGTTGTCCACTATCATGTTGATGCGCACCGACACCGACTCGTCTATTCGTTCCATGACAAAGATAGTCGTCCCTCTCGTGCACTTTAGGCGGGCTGCAGCTCTTCTTTTCGTGGGCTGAAGAGTATCCATGTAGTATTTTCGAAGCTGTAAAAGTACTGATAATCTAAATGCAAAAGACTCGTGACTCATAAATTGCATTTTCAAGATACAGCCGTCCCATATCCACCGAAGGTGCCCCTCCAGCACCAGTTCTTCGACCTCTAGTTCGTAGTATACAAAAACTGTTTGTTGCTCTTGAAGCAATTATAAGCGCCCGTCCTTACTTTACCGTCAGGAGCCTTATTCTTCACGACCAGTGCGTCGCAGACCGCAGACGCGGTCTACTTCTGTTTTAAGTTGTAAATCAATGTACTACAGTTGTCGGAGGTACTAGAAGAAGTGTTGATTTCAAGGTGGATATTAAGAGAACTAGTATATACTTGTTTACAAAGCGTAAGTGGTCTGATCATCTTCGTGGCCCACGCAAGAACTTTTGAATTGCCAAAGTCGCGCCGGCACTATAGGTTGTAGCGGTAGCGCCCATCATGAACACGGAGATGCCAGTATCGAACAAAAATCTGTTATCGTTATCGGATTGGAAATTGCTGGCAAAGCCCAAATTTTTTTGAAGTTTAGCTACTGACTTAGCTACCTCAGCTAGCTATGATTTTGAACTAGTTGTGTGCATTTGGCCAAGCGCCGCACCGAAGCCTGGATCATGTCGAGCCCATTCTGCCGGGCCGTTTCGAGCTGCGCGCCAACCCTCCCAGGTGGATGCGATTTGTTCAGCTTCCGGCAGTGCAAGTTGGAAGCTTGTTTTGGGCTCATAAAGATCAATTTGTAACGCGGACCTGCGTCAGCGGACCTGCGTCACAGGCGCGTCGTGTTTTTGACATGGGGAAAGTGCTGCCGTGCCCACTGCATCACACAGATTGATGCCCAGAAATGAGGCAGCTTGGGCGTGCTCTGGTTACCGCCCAGTCGTTGATGATGAAATCTGCCCACCATCTCGCGGCCACCATCGTCGCCGGGCTCTGACCTGAGAAATTACGGAGAATAGGGTGGCGCGCGGACTATAAAAGTGACCAAAAAGTGTCGGTGTTATCGGTTTCGGCCAGGGCCTCGGAAATCTGGCCAATTTGGCCAGCAAAAATGGCCATTTTTCCGAAGCCTCCGGGCAAACCGATAACAAGCACCCTTTTTGGCCACTTTTATAGTCCGCGTGCCCCCGTGCTTCGTGTCTTTTATCGGTTTCGGCTTGGCCACCCCACCGAAAGCGATAACAGAGCAGGGCTTTGCTCAGTTTATCGGGCCCGTGCCACCGTGATCAAAATCTGTTATCGGTTGCGCTTTTGGCATCGCGCCAAATCCAACCTTCGCAAAGTAGACCCATAAACTTGAGCTAGCCACGACCTGAGTCGGACTATAAAAGTGGCCAAAAATGGCGCTTGTTATCGGTTTGGCCTTCTGAACCGATAGCAGACACCTAAGCACGGCGGCACGCGGACTATAAAAGTGCCCAAAAATGGTGCCTGTTATCGGTTCTGCCGGAGGTCCGGCAAAACGAGGGCACTTTCCCCCCCTCCCAGAAAGGAGGTCCGGAGGGCCTCCGGACAACAAGCATCCCCCTTGCCCAAGAACATCCCCAAAGACACCAGCAGGAAACAAGGACGCCTACAGCTCTGCAAGCACTCCAAAAAGGAGTCTTTGTCGGCGCGCCGCTTCGCCAGCTTGACGAGCGGATCGCCCTCGTCGATCTGCTTCTTCTTTGCCATGTCGATCAGCTCGTTCTTACACCCAAACCGCCTCCCCTTGCACTGACACAGACTCGCGCCGGCACTATAGGTTGTAGCGGTAGCGCCCATCATTCTGAGAAGTCACTGGATTTGTGATGCGAGAGTTCAAGAATGACAGCTGGGGGATCATTTGTGGTGCATGGTGTCATGATACTACTTAGGCCTCCCGAAAAACTTGAGACGCGTTCTTGCCCCCGCGCAAGCAAAGCGACGCTCGGTCATGCAAGGCGCAGTATGACAATGTTGACAAGTAGAACTCGCGAAGCGCTTTCTTCCTGACTGAGCCAAGATCAAGAACACATTTGCATATGCATAATGAAAGAGGCTTAAGAAACCAAAATGGTTTCGAGTTCGACGAGGAACCGCGTGTGCCGAAGATTTCTTCGACCTGGAAAATACTGCATGGCACAAAAGGAAAAACGGAAGCAGCTCTTTAGTTTCATCTTCACGCAGAGAAGGAGGGCGGTAGTACTGCAGTGAGTCGTTTCAAAATTTTTTACTTCGTCCATCAAGACGTAAAGGAGTCTGCTTCAGAGTAGTCGTAGTCGTAGTCGTACTGCTGGTACTACGCGACTGCCCAAAAACACCAAGAAGTCGTCCACTACTACAAAAAAGAACAAGTTGTAGTTCTCGCCGTGGTCCAGAAATCATCGACTACTACAGAACTTCTTCGTCTTCTCGTGCATAAGTAATTTCTCGTCAACATCGTGAAAAACCGCTTTGTCGTCCACTGATCGTAAGCGACGACCCAGGATCGTAGTGTTTCTACTTTCGTGGTACACCAATTGATAATCCTCTAGATGTACTTCTGAGTTTGTCGCAGGAGCACTAGGATAGTATGCAAGTAGTCGATCTTTGTCTTTCAACACTTTCAGTAGTGCAGTCAGGAACAACAAATAAAAAAACCACACGCTCCCCTAATAATTGCAATTGGCGTGGTTTTTCTGCATCCTTCTTGCGTGCAACTTCTTCCCGGTGTCTAAAGAAAAGTTGAGCAGGACATCCCCCACGATCCCCTCAGTACGTACACGCAGGTGTGCAGGAAATCTTCCTTCTCCGTTTTTTACTTTCTATCAAATCGTCGCTCGTAAGTGAGTACCATGATGACGCTGCACGACGACGTCAAGGACATCAAAAATGGTTTGAAGAAGCCTCCTATGAAGATTTTTTCATGGTGCGCTCTTCTCCATCTTCAGCGCAAGTCCTGTGTCGCGCCGGCACTATAGGTTGTAGCGGTAGCGCCCATCATGAACACGGAGATGCCAGAAACCTGCATTTCCAATGTTGGTCAGGTGAAGCTGCGACATGGTGTGCTCGGAATGGCATGAGCATAGCCTTCGCTTCATAGCAGTAAAAAATCCGTAGCCAACATCGACAACATGGCGCCGCAGATAAAAACATCAGTGCGCGAGGACCAAGAAGTACAGGATGGTCGTTTTGCTCCTAGTCCGCGCGTCGTGCAACGGGAACGGCTAGTACCGGCGAAGAAAACGGAAAGAAGGGAGGACCGACCACCAAACCGGGCAGTACCGGTAGCTTCCGTAAAAAATGATGGTACAACCACAATCGCGAAGGCGAACTCAAAAGCCATAGTGCGCCCGGTCGTGGGCACCGCCGCTCGTGCTGAGGAAAACGAGAGGATGGATCATATGAAACTTCCGGCGCAGCTGTTGAACAGCCCCAGGAGTATACTTCGGGCTTGGGAGAAGATGATCTTCGGGAATGTGTATGTGAACAAAAACGTGTCACAGGAATCACACTCACACACCAGCCAGCAGCAGCAGCATGGTCGACATGAGGAGGCCTGTCAAGTAGATCAAGACGTGAACGTCGCTGACACGACAGACCATGCTATTAACGAACCCGTTGGTGGTGCACAGCAGCAACCTGAAATTATCCAAGACTTTGTGCATGAGGCTTTTGCGACTACAACAACCGAGAGTTGCCGCGTGGATGAGGATCAGGACGTTACTAACAAGAAAGGCAAACTCGAAATAAAGCTCCGGCCACGAGAGGGAGCTGGGAAGGCGAAGGTGGAGCTGCAACGCGACAAGGTGGAACAAGTCGCGGCTCCGCCGCAGGAGGAGCAGCACCATTTTTACAATTTCCACTGGACCACGACAAGAAGGCCAAAAACAGCTCCGACATCCGCCGAACAGCACGGCGGGACTGTGCGTAACAGAGAAACGACAGCGACGTCGCCGGCATCAGCGCAGAACAAGCAGGTCGCAGGCGGGGTAGTAGATGTAGAGTTGTACACGTTAGCGCCTCCACTCCCTGATTCTACTACAGATGCGCCTCCTGCTAAGCGCGTCGTCGTGAGCACACACGATCAACTTGCGTCTAATTCAGATCGACTTGTTGCAGCTCCTTCGACACGACACGGCCCGCCGCATGGTTCTCCCGTAAATTTTCGTCCACATCATCCCGAGCCACACAGCAGCTTCCCGACAGTGAAAACCATGTTGCCTCAGCAGCCTCGTGGCACGAGCACGACCCTTGGCGTCGCCGGCGCGGGTGGAAGTAGAAATATGAAACGGTCAAGCGCTTCAGGAGTACAACTAGGACGGTCAGCAGATAGATCGTTGATGTGGTCCACCACGACCCAAAATTATGGCTGTACCCACGACCAGCCGCACGACATCGCCGCCCAAGACCGTGAGGAGCAAGTCTTTTTCCTGCACCTCGCAAAGCAATTGAACCTTTTAAGCGCCACCGATTCGTTAGAGTTGAAGAAACTTTTGTCCATTCTGCACGACAAATCCACGGAGCAGCTGCTCGCCGGCGTGGAGATACCGGAGAACTGGAAGCACACCAGAATCGAGGAGGAAACAGTGTCGACGAAGATGAAAAGACTTTCTCGAATAGAAGAGATGGAAACTTTCAAATCCCAGCACGAAACGGAAAATTCCGGAGGTTTTTTTGGGATAAGAGAAAACCTACTGCTGTTGGTGGCGTCGAGAGACAAGAACAATTTTCACGCGGAAAGAACCACTAAACCGTCTAAAACAGTGACTATCACGGAGTCCACTTTTCGTCGGGAGAGACGGCTGCACGCGGAGAAAAGGAAACAAGATTTGGAGAAACTTTTGCAGCAGATGAAGAAACAACTGCACGAACACACGCTGCATTCGAAACAGATTCTGCAGCGGTTTTTATGCATTGCAAAAGTATCGTACTCGTATAAATGCATTACAAATTTCCTCAGCATAAGAAATAAAATTTGTAATGCAGATTTGCCTTGGAAACAAGATTTGTAATGCAAGGCCCGCATTTGTACGAGTACGATAGTTTTGCACAGGATAGTTTTTGAAAGACTACGACTTTCGAGAGGACGTGGTTGCGTTAGAAATGCAAATGGGGTACAATTCATCCGCGAACAGCTGGAATAAAGGGAAGAACTTTCACGTGTACAATTTGATCAGACAGAGGCTGAACAACAACCTTGGGACCAATAAAGCAGTAATACGCGACAGGATCTACGTCGTTTACCACGATACCACGAGCAGGAGAAGTTTGTTGCAGCATATAATTGGGCCTCAAACTTGTTCTACCGAAGTAGGAGCTCATCACCTGCTTCAAGAAGAAGATTTGTTGGAACAGGAAAAAGAACTCTTAGCCGAAAAGTCTCGGACGGAACACGACGAAGAGGCGTTTTTGAAAGTGTTGGAGAGATATTTGAACGCTTTTTTTCCCAATGTGAAGTTCGGATTTGTAAAGTACCACAGCAGGAGCAGGAGAATGATTGGCGGCGGTGCTGGGTGTGGCCCTCGTGTTTCTGATGCTAGTAGTAGTGCTGGGCAACAAGAAGCAATTGCAATAAACCATCACGGGCCAGCTCCAGCACCAGCTCCACACAAGCATCACAGCCTAGACCTCGGCACCTTCCAGCAAGCGTACCAGGACGCGATGGGGGTGGTGGAGCTGTTGGTGGTCGGCGATGAGGAGGAGTCGAAGCAGGAGACCCCGCATGAGAAAGATAATACTCGCAGCATTGATCTCTATCTCACACAGCAAGACAAGTTTTTAGTCCAGCGGAGCTCGGTCGACTCACTGCAAACGCACATCACGCCACGGATAGCATTTCATGCACAACCTGTAGCGAAACAAACGCGAAGTAGAACAACCGGAAGCAGTGCTGCTAGAAAAAAGGAGAGCAGTAAAACTGCTGCCCCGCCTCCCTTTGCGCCGCACCTACGGACCAATAGCGGTTTGTCGCTCGGAAGGGTTGTTTTGTCATCGTCGTTGGAGCGGGCCTCTAAAGGTAAACGCACGACTGGCGCAAGAAGAAGCGCAATTATGACCCCTGGGAGGAGCAGGATGGTAGAACATCAAGTGCAGTTCTCAACCCTCACCCCCCTGATCGAGGCGGTCGAGGAGGTATCCCACAGAAAAAAGCTGGCAGGGCATTGCTATCTATTATATTCATGCGAAAAAAGAGGTCTACAGAGGGCCGAAGGGAGGTGGCCGAGAGGTCAAAAAGAGGTCGACAGAGGTCAAAAAGAGGTCGACAGAGGTGGAGAGGTGGCGCAGGAGGTCAATCGACAGGGTGGCCGAGAGGTGGCGCGGGTATAGCCCGCCGAAGGGCTCGCCCTAAAGCCGCGCCTATGGGGGACGGAGGTGGCCGAGAGGGTCCCGAGAGGGTAAGCGAGAGGTGGACAGAGGTGCCGGGAGGTTGCGCGAATAAGGGCGAACCTCTCGCGCACCCTCCTGGCCACCTCTCGGCCACCTCTGTAGACCTCTATCGGTGAGTATAGCCGAACTATTAGCAACACCTCTCGGGAGAGGTCAAAAAGAGGGTCTGCGAGAGGGTCAGAACAACCCGAATCCCCCCGGCACGCGGTCGATTTTCTTTGGGCCTTTTCATGGCGCAGGCCCGCACCCCCACCCTTCCGCGCTACCCTCTCGCGCTACCCTCTCGCGCTACCCTCTCGCGCCACCCTCTCGCGCCACCCTCTCGCGCTACCCTCTCGCGGTCGCGCCAGCGATTTTCGCCGGGAAGCAAATAGGGTGGGGGCAGGTGGGTGACCAAAAAAGGGCAGCGCGGCTTCCGTTCTGCTTCCTTCGGCGTCTATGTCGAGGCGGCTTCCTTTCACCCCCAAGCTTCGCTGCAGCCGCTCCCTGCGCATAGCGCCTGCAGGCGCGGGAAGCGCGCAGGAGGCCCTGCGGGTTGACATGACGCAAACCGGCGCCAGTAGTTCCCTCGGTCTGTTACGCTGTGCCCAAAGCTCCGGCGCTGCGGTCCAGCCCGCGCACTGTCCTGCCCCGCCACAACAGCCTTGCGCTCCGGCGTTAGCCGGAGCATGGCTGGTATTTGTAATGCAAAAATAAATACACAGAAAAATGGGCGGCCTCATAGCATGCTGCTTAGGATACGCAATACAGATTTTTCTGTGTATTTATTTTTGCATTACAAATGTGACCTGCCAGCTTTTTTCTGTTGGATAGGAGGAGCTGTATGCAAAAGAGGCTATCGACGTGAGAAGCTCTGTTCTTGCCAAGGCCAGCACGATAAATAAGATACCCGGGGGCCGCCTGCGACACTTCCGCAAGCAGTTGCTGGAGAAGAAGGGCAATCTGCTGATGCAGGTGCGGTTTGAGGAGGAAAAGGAAAAACGCTTGCGGTCGAAACTCGCCAGCTGGGTGCTGGACTTAATCGTGGTGGAGATAACGAGGGTGATCTGCGAGAGCTGCTTTGGGATTGAACACAGTGATTGTGAGGAGAAGGATTCTCAACGTCATCCTCTAGGTCATCTGCAGCCTCAAGTAGAACATGGAGTTTCTCCGGCAGGGAGCAGAAAATTTCCCCGATACGATTGTCTACTGCGACGAGAACAAGATGAAAGCGGGAAGCAGCTGCAGCGGAGTTCTGGTACACCACTCTCTTCACAATCGCACAATTCTCATACGCAGGAGAGGACCACAACACATTTGGATCTCTGTCCCAGCTGCTTGACGAAGCTGTACTTTGCCATCGGGACGACAGCGACGGCAAGTTGTAATGCAGTATCGGCAACTACACCAACCGCATCCTTACCGCCGTCTTCTTCTTCTGCAACCACGACATTGTTTTTCAACCCCTCGACGCGCTACAAAAACCTGGCGGAATTTTTCGAAAAAGATCTCTATACCGAGTTTTTAGACGTGTTTTTGTTTTTGGAGAAAAAGAAGGAGAAGACCACGGCAGAGGAGCAAGCAAGAGATCATGGGAAAAATAATAGGAATGATGCAGAGAAGATGAAAACGACCTCGACCTCCACGGGGATAAATCCGAATCGAAACTGTCCCGCAGAGAAGCGGTTCGCGACCATGGCAGATTGGTGTCGAGAACGAAGCGAGGCGTGCTTGTTGTAGGAACACGGGTTGAAATTTTTACGGTACTTGACGGTGAAGAAGATGAGCGATGAAAAAGAATAAGAGTGTTGCAGTAGTGCCTCTACCTCCTCCTAACAACTCACAACTCATCTACAAGCTGAGGTGTCTTTCTTGTAGCGAGGATGGATTGAATAATTTTTCGAACGACAGCCATGGCCGTCGCCGTGCTTCTACTTTTCCGAACGGTAGCGCAGCTGCAACGAACTGTATGATGGAGCGTACAGCAGCACGAGGATTCATCTATTCCAGAAGTCATGAAATTATGAATGCGCATGAAATACGTAGAATAATTTCGACAAGAAGGAATTCTAACTCAGGCTATGGTGTTGTGTGTTCATTTCGTTAATATTGATGTTGTTCCGTAAAAATAGTTTCTTTTTGAAGATGAGGAACTTGTTCTGCTGAGAACATCCTCAGAACCAGATGAAATCGATGAATGCATAAAGCTGTCTTTCTTTTGAGAACGTACATGTCCGAGCAGTGTCTTCTTCGCATTTTCGTTTGTCGTGTACTAGCAGTTTCGTTGCTCGTGATCACCATACAGCAGTATAGCAACTTCATCGTACACCTTCATCGTGCAACTTCATCGTGCAGTTCATTTCTTCGTGCCATCTCGTCTACCTCAAGTGCGACCTCTTCTGAGCTGCTCCTTTTCACATCATCGTAACGGTACTAAAAGCCAAGAGATTACAACAGAACTTGGAGTTTCACGACCACCTCCTGAACTGCCTGAGTAAATAAGCTAGTAAGTAGTTCTTGTGCTGGTTGTACTTGTCTGCACAACCAATTCCTTCCTTCGACATGACCGTGATGTCCACATCCTCAAGAATGCCGATGCCCAGTGCGATTTCGTTGCCGGCACCCACGAGGCCGTCCTTGCGAAGAGCAACCGCAAGCACCAAGCGTGCAAAAGCTGCTCCTGCACTTGTCATCTACAAGTTCGCCGCTCATCTAGGAACGACGTCCTTGCTCAACTACGATGAAATTTTCGTCAACGCCGCGGCTATGGTGTCCTCGCATGCTTCGTCGTCCACCTCCTCGACGTCGTCAAAATCTGGCGCGTCTCGCGTCACGCGGAATAAAATTACAAAGACCACCTCTACTGCTGGAAAAAAGAACCTCCGCTCTACCACCACGGCGAAAATCAAAACGGCGAGAAAGAACAAAATTGTTTTCGCCACTTCGTATTGCAGTACGGAACAAAACGGAGACCCCGACCCAAGTTACTGCATTCGAAGCAAGAAGCCAGAAGATCAACCTGAGCCTGGCATGACCGGGAGTCAGAAAATGTTCGATGAGTGCGTTTTGACCAGCGATGTGAACACGGACGATCCTGCGAAAATCATGGAGCTGCAACTGGACTCCGGCGGAAAAAGGACCACGCGCTGCAGCAGCATTTCTTCATCTGTGGGCAGTTCCTCGTCTGTGAACGACGAGATGCACATGCAGTCTCAAGAACAGGAATACAACCAGGTTGTTCTGGAGAAAGACGGCGACGAACAACTCGTGGGCGGCTGGTCGCCCTGTCTGGTGCTTTACGACGGCACGCCGGAAACGGCCTGGGCGCAGGGCTGCGGGGTGCACATTGTCGGGAATGGCGAAAACTGCAAGAAGGAGTGCACGACATCCGAGCAGTTTGTGGGCGGCTGGTCGCCCTGTCTGGTGCTTTACGACGGCACGCCGGAAACGGCCTGGGCGCAGGGCTGCGGGGTGCACATCGTCGGGAATGGCGAAAACTGCAAGAAGGAGTGCACGACATCCGAGCAGTTTGTGGGCGGCTGGTCGCCCTGTCTGGTGCTTTACGACGGCACGCCGGAAACGGCCTGGGCGCAGGGCTGCGGGGTGCACATCGTCGGGAATGGTGACAATTGCAAGACCGAATGCGAAGATTGGAAAAAGAGAAACAAGGAAGAAGACCAAGTATTCGAGGGCACCAAAGAAATGCCCCCAGTTGATGTTGCGCAGCAGAAAGATCTGATGTCCAAACCTACGGAGGAGGTCGGTACTACGAAAGATGCTCAAGAAACCGAGGCTGAAAAGAAAGAGCAGGACAACAGCATCGAAGGCGGGGTCGGGGAAAAAACATCTGCAGACGCTGACGTGGAGGAAAACAAGATGGGGTCCTCTTCTAGTACTCCGGATGAAAATGATGGAGAAAAAGCTCCTGCCGCTGACGCGAGTGGCTTGTTGATGTCTTCCTCGCAAAACACTGAAGTGGAGGAGGTAGTAGATGGCGGGAAAAACAAAGACAAGCCGGCGGAAGATCCAAAAAAATCCGGGGGTGCAGGTCTGCTCGACACTGTTTTCCATTGTTGTAGCTAGAGCGGCACTGACAGTCGTGATTGAAAAAGCTATACGTAGTTTCAAAGTACGTGAAGATCGGATGAAGAAGCAGTACTAGGGGTAGATTCCTCTGCTTCTCCAGTGCTGTCCCTTTCAGACGCTTATTTTTGAGTTGTACTTTAACTTTTCCTAGTTCCTAGTCCTTTATTCTTCCGACAAGATTGACCAGTTTTTTCATTTTCTTTGCCCTAGTATGTAACTTTTTTCATCCAAAAAACCACGTCTGGAGTAAGCAAGAGCAACTAAGTAGTACTTCTGGTGGACTTTTGACTTCTCTCGGCGGAAGATCATTAATTTTTCTTTTTTCGCACCATGTGATGTTGTAAAATCTTACTCTTCATTGATTTACTCCCCAGCTAGCATTTTTCATTTCCCCTCCCTCTGACTGTTGTACTTTACTACCTGTGCTACTCTGCCACGCCGGGTACAAGTACAACTACGGAAGAGATTTACCCAGCGCAACCCGTGCACCAAGGCAAATTTTTCCCCGGGAAAATAAAATAAAACCCCGCATGATAAGGATTCGTGAAAGAGCTTTTTGACACGGAGACCACGATCTATGTCAATACAAACCGTCTTTGCTTTTGTCAAGTACTTCTTCATCGGGGCGGGCTCCTATGATTTATTCGTGCATGCGGATGGTTTCAGTTTTCGTCTTCTCCCGCAGTTTAGGTCGGAGGTGATGCAAGAACGTCGAGGACAATCGTGCAACTAGTGCAGCAACTTCTTCGTGCAGTCAATATCGTGCAGCTTCAGACACTATTGTCGTCCTTCGTCCTCTTCAATAGACCGTCTGTTGTTGAAGAAGAATGTCCCGAAAACCGATACTATACCGAACCGGCTGCATCACCACGTGGCTGACGGCGGTCGTTGCTCTGATCGTGCATACGTCATGATGACTCCCTTTTGCTGCGCGAGTGCCTGTACACAGAATTTGAATTTAAGCATAAGAAGATGAAAACAGGAATTTACAGCACCCCAATTTCAAATTAATAGCCACCTTTGGCCGCAAGACATCAGACACGAACAAGAATTATCCCTTGATACTTGCACTTTTTTTCAAACGACTGCCAGTGTAGCAAATCCTACAGGTAATAGAGAAGCTTGCGTGGGAGCCACTGCATCAGTACTAGAGCCATCGAGAACAAAGCTATCACACGTTCTTCCAGTACTCAGCTCACTTCATCCGCGCATTTTTACACTCCAGCCGGCAACCATCGGTCGAAAAAGTCAGGAACGATGACTTCTGCACCTGCTTCCTCTATTTGTTCCCCAAAACGACGTCAAACTGCGTTTCTGCACCGTGCCGCATTTTTCGGTGCGCAGTTCCTATTGGCGGTTGAGGAAGCGAACGCAGAAATGGTGGTGCTGAACGTGGGTCATCAGCAGCACAACAAAAATGCTGTGAGCAAGAAGAAGAAGCTCGGGACAACTCAGAACAAGAAGTCCAAGCACCTGAAGAACCAAGTGGGACATGACACTGCTTCGAAAGTGGCCGCCGCGTATCCAAGAAAAAAACTGTGTTTGTGTAACTTTCTTTGGCTGACGGCATCACAAATTCGCTCTACATGACAGAGAAAACCTGTCATGCGTGGCTTGTAAGTGACTATACACACGAAATAAAGAGGACTGCGTGGCTGTCTGGCATGACAGGCGTAAGTCTGTTGCATGTTCTGCATCACAGATTTACACTTACGCAGGTTTTTTCTTGCATACCACTTCGAAAAAAGCGATCAACGCGAGTTCGTACTGCAGCAAAGAATATCCTGTGCAAAAGTATCGTACTCGTAGCATTCAATCACAATCGCAGTCGTGCATTACAAATCTCCATCCCAAGGCAAAACAGCATGCTGAGCTGATTTGTATTGCAGCAATGAGTACTAAGTAGTACGATACTTTTGCAGTTGATAAAGAAGAAGGCGGAGACCCGGATCCCAGCTATTGCATTCGGGATAAGAAAGTGCACCCTGGAGAAAATTTTGTAGGGCGTCAAGACGCGTTCTCGGAATGCGTTTTGACAACCGACGTATCAAATGTAAAAATGTCTGGGTCTGGAAGAATGCGAACTTGTGATGCGTGTTGCGGATAATACAAAAATCTGTGTTGCATGACTTGCAAAAGGTCCCCATTTCTCGCCATGCTCAGAGGGCATTTCTCATGCATAATGGGCATCACCAAGGGGCTGCAGAACCTGTGATGCTAGGCCCTGCATTCCAGACTTGGTGGAGCTTGGAAAAACTGCATGGCAAATCTCGAAATCTTCCAGGCCCAGACATTTTTACATTTGATACGACGTTGACACGGACGACCCTGCGAAGATCATGGAGCTCCGACTGGACTATTGCCCGGACGAGGACGGTATGACGTGCACATGTGTCTGGGTCTGGACGAAAGGTTGAATCTGTATTGCGTGTCTCGCATTCCTGAAAAATATGTATTGCATAAGCAGCAAAAGCGCCACACTTTCGTCATGCAAAGTCGCAGCGTGTATTGCCAATGCGTGCTGAGCTGCATGAGAAGGCGTTTGAAAAATGTGTGATGCTTCACTGCATTTAGAGGCGTACTCAATCATGACCATTCAGCATTTTTACAAGTTTCCAGACCCAGCAGACATGTTTGTAATCCATAGACGGCTGCAAGAGAACTTCCGCGGCCTGCGGTGACGATCTCTCCACACCCGATTCTCCTGACGCGACCTCTCCCAATGCAAATTCTACGACCTCTCCCTCGGCGACCTCTCCCAATTCTACGACCACCGCGGCTGGGTGTTGCTAAGTCCAATTTACAAATTGAAATGTTTCCGCATCTTCCGCGCCGCCCCCATTCAGAGACAGTGAGCGCGTAGCCCGCGGCGCAAGCGCAACGAGTACAGATCAGGATTTTTCATAGTTTCTCCTTCTGCAAACGCAACAAGAAAACGAGGATGACCCCATTGAGTACTGCGAAAGAAAATAAAAATGCAGCATTTTTCACATTTTCGCTCATTAACCTACGAATGCCACACGACCGTCATGATTGTCCTGAAGAACCACCCGTGCAGGGGGTGTCTCGTGAAAGTAGCACCTGCGCGACTATGCTCGCATGATTGAAGAAGTTCTGGAATGAAAAAGCTAATATGATGTCTGTATCAATTATATTCATCAGGAGTAGTTGAACTTGAAGTTGTGTTTCACGTCGTCACTCGTTCGTATTTTTTGTCTTCTCGTTCTCGTGCATAATTTTGTTTGGAGGTCATGCAAGAACTTCAGCCGTGCAGAAGATGATCCTTCGTGCAGTCAACATCATCGTGCAGCTCCAGTAGAAACTCTTATCGTGCTTCGTTCCCGTTAAGATCGTGATCGTCTGTAATGTTGAAGAAGAGTGTCATCATGACAACCGATACTATAATACCGAGCCAGCTTCATCACGATCTAGATCTTCGAGGCGATGAAAGTGGTTGCTCTGATAAAACATTACACATTGCGTGTTGTAGTTGACGGTGCCCGTAAATGTTACCATAAGGAGATGAAGAAATAAAAAGGCATTCTGCAACAGGAGCAATAGAATCGGACTTATTGCAAGTTTTATCTACTTCTCTTTCCCCGTAACCAGTTGCTGTTGAGACGTCTTTCGAAGCAGCGCGCAACACTCTCCTAAAAATAAGCACGTCAAGGATCTGGCACAGCTTCGCGACTTGCTTCATCTGTACGTAGTTTTGCATCAAAATCAAAGCACGCCCGTGAAAATCAACACGATGCCCACACCTTCTCAGAAGACGTCGAGCACCGTTGGGCGGGGCAAAAAACAGCCGTCCTCCACAGCGTTGGCGGTGGTCACGGCGACGGGTTGCTTTTATTTTTCGGTGCAAGTCCTTCTCAACTACATGCCGCACGTCGTGGAGGGTGCGCAGTTAGGGAAGACCAACAAGAAGAGCCTGCTGGCGATGAACAAGCAAGGCGTCGCGCAAAAATCGCGGGAGGCGAAGAAGACCCAGAAGACTAAAAAGAATCTCCGCGCGCAGACGAGCAAGGAAACGCTGCGTCCGATCTCGAGCGGGAGCGTGCCCGCCGCGGCCACCTGGACGAATCTGATCACGACCGCGACCGCGGCCCCCTTGACGAATATATGCATGAATGCGAAAAGAGGATGACCCCATTGAGTACTACGAAAGAAATTTTGAATCAAAATGCAGCATTTATTTTCACACTTTCACTCATTTACTTAAGCTACGAATGCCACACGACCGTCATGATTGTCCTGAAGAACCGCCCGTGCAGGGGGTGTCTCGTGAAAGTAGCACCTACGCGACTATGCTCGCATGAAGAAGTTCTGGAATGAAAAAGCTAGTTTGATGTCTGTATCAATATTCATCAGGAGTTGAAGTTGTGTTTCATGTCGTCACTCGTTCGTATTTTTTGTCTTCTCGTCGTGGTTCTCGTGCATAATTTTGTTTGTAGCTGATGCAAGAACTCCAGTCGTACAGATGATCCTTCGTGCAGTCAGCATCATCGTGCAGCTTCTTCAGTAGACACTCTTATCGTCCTTCGTTCCCGATCCCGTTAAGATCGTCTGTAATGTTGAAGAGGAATCTTATGAAGCCCGATACTAGCCAGCTTCATCACGATCTAGATCGAGGTGATGAAGGTGGTTGCTCTGAGAAAACGCACGCATAGTTTGCTGTTGACGGTGCCTGTAAATAATGATACCGGCATATGCAATAGAAGATGAAGAAATAAAAAGACATTCGCATTCTGCGACAGGAGCAATAGAATCGGACTTGTTGCAAGTTTTATCTACTTCTCTTTCCCCGTAGCTAGTTGTTGTTGAGACGCCTTCACAAGCAGCGCGCAACACTCTACTGAAAATAAGCACGTCAAGAATCTTCTGGCACAGCTTCGCGACTTGCTTCATCTGTACGTAAGTGGTTTTGCTTCAAAATACTTAATCAGAGCACGTGGCCCGTCAAGTTGTGGATAAACCAATATGAAGATGGAGGTCGCCACAACTTCTCAGAAGACGTCGAGCACCTTTGGGCGGGGCAAAAAAAAGTCCTCCTCCACCGCGTTGGCGGTGGTCACGGCGACGGGTTGTTCTTATTTTTCGGTGCAGCTTCTCAACTACATGCCGCACGTTGTGGAGGGTGCGCAGTTAGGGAAGACTAAGAAGAAGAGCCTGCTGGCGATGAACAAGCAAGGCGTCGCGCAAAAATCGCGGGAGGCGAAGAAGAACCAGAAGACTAAAAAGAATCTCCGCGCGCAGACGAGCAAGGAAACGCTGCGTCCGATCTCGAGCGGGAGCGTGCCCGCCGCGGCCCCCTGGACGAATCTAATCACGACCGCGACCGCGGCCCCCTTGACGAATATATGCATGAATGCGAACTATATGTCCTCTGGGTCTATTGATGAAATAGAAATTCAAATACAAATAATCCTGCTGTGCATTAGCATTTTATTCCCAGGAAGATTATGGAGCTCCGACTGGACTATTGCCAGGATAACGACGGTATCACGTGCAAATTTGTCTGGGTCTGGAAAGGTTGCGCTTGTATTGCGTGTCTCGCATTCCTGAAAAATCTGTATTGCATATAGCAGCAAAAGCGCCGCACTTTCGTCATGCAAAGGCGCAGTGTGTAATGCGTGCTGAGCATGCGAAGGCGTTTGAAAAATGTGTGATGCTTCACTGAATCTGATCACGACCGCGACCGCGGCCCCCTTGACGAATATATGCATGAATGCGAACTATGTATATGTCCTCTGGGTCTATTGATGAAATAGAAATTCAAAAAATACAAATAATCCTGCTGTGCATTAGCATTTTATTCCATTTCCTGCTTCACGAAGTAAATGCAAAATATAAATCCGGCTATGGTGTGGCTGTGGGACGAGATTCATGTAAGCGCATAATAGCCAAATAAAATGAGTTATTAAAGCTCTGTTGCAACTTGGGCTTTGATAACTCACGGGTAGACTGCAACGTAGGGGTTGTAACAGTGCAGGGTTTAATAACTCACAGTAGACTGCAAGAACTTACGGGTAGGTTGTTATGTAGAGCCTAGACTTTTCCGTGGCCGGCACGACGCAGCTGCAGCGCAATGCGTTCGAACAACTATTGCGAGCCCAGGGGAACAAATTTTTGCAATGCATAGGACTCACTTCCGGGGGGCTCCGTTTGTACGCACGAACACAAGCCCGTCAAATGCAGCGATGGCAAAACGTATGGCAATTCGTGCAAGGCTATCAAATGCAAATATCGGTCTGGGCTTGGAAAATGCAAGATTTGTCATGCCCGTAGACCACCAATGTCAGGCATCTGATGGACGACGACGGCGGGACGTCGCGACACGCATAAAAGTCTGGAACGTTACACACAGAACAAGCATCCTCAACACAGCCTTTGCGAGCCCTTCCTCATGCCTAATATAATTCTGCATGTTGTACAAATACAAAAATCCACCACCTTTCCTTGCCTAGCCCTAGCATTCATGAGGAAAGTAGAACTACTACTGGCGTTCACGCGGCAACACAGATTTGGATTTTTCGTTCGTGATTTCGCATGACAAGTTGAAGGTCTAGAAACAGATTTTCGATATTTGCAATGCATGAAAGCTGAGAACGCTGGATACAAGAACTGCGACCCCGTGGACGAGGTCGAGAAGCGTCCTCCTTCTGGTTGTCCGAGGTTGTTGAAACCTGTTTTGTGCTATCCACAGGAAATTTCCCGTACACGTACAAGAATAAGAAATGCGGTTTCTGCATGACCAAGCTTGCCTAAGATACCACTTAGCATGAAGACCACGAATGGCGTGCTCTGGATTGGCGAAATTTGTGATGCATTTTGTACATGCACTACGGGAAATTTACTGTGGATAAGTGCTACGACAAGGAGTACCAGGACAATGGTGACGGGCCCCCAGAAAATTATTTATTTGACAATTTGTGCCTGGTATGCATTGCAAAAGTATCGTACTCATAGTACTAATTGAATTGCAGCCAACATGCATTTACAAATCTTTTTGTAGTAGAGGTAGATCTGCATTACAGATTCCATTTCTTATGCTGAGGTAATGCGTTATTTACTAGTAGTACGATTACGATACTTTTGATGCACTGCATACCTGGCTGAAAACGATGGGTTCGACGACTCGGACTGCGAGGAGATTGACCCCGCCGAGTCTATGGGGGTGCAGGATTGAAATCGTCAGAGTTGAAATTATTTCAAAGTTGACAAACTATTTAATAGTTTGTCATGCATAAAATCGACACCACTTGGAAGCCCAATTTCCGAGCGGCGCATGACAAATTTCGGCACCGTCCGTCCAAATCCAGTTCGTCATGCTGTTTGGGGACAGAAGGCGTCTTCTGTCATGCTACTTTAGCAGCTCTATCGAAGACCGCAAACAGGCTGACTGTCGGACTCACTTGCCATCCCTGCAAGAGAGGCACTTCATGTCTTGCAATTATTTCCACTTTGTCGATTTCAATTCTGACGCATCCATAACTTTCACTCCTCCGCCGCCCGGCGAAACAACCTCCTGTTCAACCGTGTACCCAGAGTGCTCTAAGGAGGTTCCGTCAGACATGCCATTTGAACATTTTTTAAAACAATGCGAACTGGCGTGCTTTGGCGACTATCCCACCGCTTCCTATCCACCTTTCTATCCAAGCCTCAGAATGGAAATCCTCAAAGTGGAAATGATTTGTAACGCATGAAATGCGATGCAAAGAAGAGTTAGAGTGTATTCGCACAAGATGTAACGGCGGCCGACTGTAGTTGTCCTTCTACGGGTACATCAAAGAACAATTGGGGTGCACGTGCAGCTGATTAATAGCACGAGAAAATAATATTAAACGCACCCCTTTGAAGATGTTGCCCTAAGCCTAACCAGCATGACAGACATTTGCTTTGAGTTGTGCCCGGGAATATTAAATCTGTCGTGCGCCTACTACTAGACCGAATGGCAGTCCAACTGGAGTTGTGGTTCTTTTGCATTACTTACAAATTTATGTTCACCTTCACTTTGAGGACTACTTCTAGCCTGAGGCTTTCATACTTTCTTCGAGGACCCCCTGGAGATGATCGAGGAAAAGTTGGATATGCAGCGCTAATCTGTCTGGGTCTGGAACAAGGAAGGAACTTCTGATGCGTGTCTTGCAGGCATGCAAGAGCTGTGTAGTTGCATGTTGACCAGCAAAAGTGGGACCTTTTTTGTCATGCAGAGACGCACGACCGTATGAGAAAGCTCGGTAAAAGAAACTTGTCATGCTTGGCGGCACTTGGAACCAACACGAACAAGTGGCTCAAGAACCTTCATCCGAGGTCGCTCAGCATCACAGGTTCTTACCAGACGCAGATCGATATTTGCGCTCGATACTGGCGTCGCTGGAAGAAAAAATTGACACGCTCGCGATATCCTATGTAAAAACGTCCCCACCCCATTGTCAAGATGGGGACTCGGCTAGACAACTCCACAAGTTTTGGCTGTTTTGCATGACAAAATTGGACTCGTATTTATTGTAGTCCTGTTCGAGGTAGCTCAGCAGCATCACAGATCTAGTATATCGCGCTGATTGGAGCATGACAAATTCCAAATCACGACTGGAAAACTCTTCTCACGGGGCTCCGCATGAGAAACATTTTCAGCATGCAGACTTGCGTGACAACTCTAGGGTGGGGACGTTTTTACACAGGATACGCGACGCAAAAAAGCGACATCACTGGCGCCGTGTTTCAAAACGTCAAGACGGGCATTATGGCGTTCTCAAATGTTACATTCTCAACTGTTACATGAATTTGTAACTCAAGAACGGCAAAAGTGAATGGGGGAACGGGAAGCAGAAGCTTGCGCCTTTTGCATTACAGATTTGGCACAGATTTACATGCTGTTTAGCCTCTTCGGAGATTTGTCATGCGAAGTAACTTAGTGGTGGCGATCTTGGTGGCAAATTTGCATGACAAATCATGTAACAGTTGAGAATGTAAGAACATTTGAGAATTCCATAGGCACGGGCTGGTTTCGCGGACAGGAAACGCCACGTGAGACTCCTGAGACTATGGGTCCGCCGCCGCCGCCGACGCCCATGCCCCTTCGACGTTGAAGTGGACAGCTAGTACCTTAGCACCAATCGAGCGAAGGAGTCGAGGAGCCGTTTCAGGATTTAAGTATTTGCTCAACATGATCCGCTACAAACTAACAAGTCAACGCACCACAGCACTACAAATTTAGAAGCCAAGCAAGATCTTGAAGTCTTTGCTTTTTTGCGTATGAAAGAGCTTTGTTTTACAAATGCAAATGCTTCACCGAAAACAATATGCCCCGTCTACATTAATGTTATAACTGTTATTCTTGTTTCTTTAGAGCAACCACATTTCGACACGGTTTTTCGAACTACGACAGCACCTAAAAACAATTTATCAAAAGCTTTCTTATCTGAAAATGAATTTCTGTTTATGTTTGTTCTGAAAGCCGGACACTTTTTTCTACAGCAAAGTAAGTATCGCTCTTGAAGATGGACTGACCACGACTAGTATTTTGTTATTCGATTTGCTTTTCTTATTCAGATGTGTGACGACCCAAAAAGACAAAAAGCAAGGGCGGGTATCCCCCGTAGCTCAGCAAGAGCAGCGGGTATCCCCCGTAGGTCGTGAGCAGCCTCTGCTTTGTTTTCTGGAGATGAAGTAGTCCTCAACGCGTACAAAAATATTTCTAACCCCCAGCCTCGTATTGCCAATGTTAAACTAAAAACAATTTACCGAACAAAGTCTAGTGCGTCGCAGCAGGCAAGAATAAGAAATGCATCTACTCTAGTACTAGTGCTTGCACTGAAAAAGGATGTCGAAACGCTTCATGTACCCCAAGTTGCCAGGCATCAGTTTTGCGACAACTAAGAGTAAGATGACAAAGCGAACGCGACGAGCACCCGCCCCAACCCAAGAAGACCGTGAACAGCCCCCACATTTTGAAACGTAAAAAACACACCAGCTGCACGGCGGTAGCTCTTCTAGCTGACAGAAGTCCGCTAGGGAGTCATCTTTTCTCAGGCGGTTGATGGTCGTGCTGGAGGAGGTGATGTCGGAAAAATCGTCGGGTTCCACTTGCAGTTCCGATCGCAGTTGTTTATCTTTATATCTACTTCAGCAGCAGTTCCACCACTTCGACGTCTTTCTCCTCGTAGTTCCCCTGTAATATTCTCCACGTTGTGCACGTGGTGGCGCATCGTGTAATTTGTATATAGCTGTTTTGTTGTGCGTTGATCACGGCTTCTGCGTGTCCTGCTTTCCAAATCATTTTGCACCCAGCACGAGGAGCTGTGCAAGTAGAACTAAATCGGAAAAGCCGCTTTGATAGAAGTTGAAGGCCACCTCGTCCAAGCGATCGTGTTGTTTCCATCGAAGATTTTTCATATCGTGCAACTAGTGTGAAAAGCAAATGGAAGATCTCATAGTCATACTAGACACAGTTGTGCTGATTCGTCTGATGCAGATGCCACTGTCGACCTCGACTCCGTCGCTCCACCTGTTTCGTCCATTTGGATTTGGTCGTTCTTTCTATCGTTCAGGACGTAAATACAGCAGCTAGTAAGGTCTAAATCAATCTGTTTCAAACCAAAACTACGACATGACTTTCATCGCTCGGCGCAGGAAACAACTTCAACTAAAACCCCGCGGCCCTTTTCTGAAGGGATAAAGGACTCTTCTTCATCGTTTATTTCATTGCGATCACTAGATCTAGAATTCAAGCCAAATCAAATCTGTCAAGTTTTTAAAGGCCTTCATCTCGTCGAACCAATTGTTTCGCTGTCCTGGTGTACTAAAGTAGAGGGACAACTACAAGACTAAAATGACGGTGCTCTCGAAGATGATGTCCTCGTCGACGACGAACAACCCAAAGCTGCAGCGCCGGACCACAGCGAGTTCCGGTCGTGCCGTTGCACTGGCAACACAACTTCTCCTCGCGTCGTCCTCCAGTACAACTTCGTTCGCCACCGCCGCGAAAGTCGGGAAGAACACGAACAAGAGTCTTCTCCTGTCAACAAACACCAAGAGCAACCTCCGTGGAGGTGGTGGTGCAGCTACTAGTGCAAGCGCCAGCACTCGTCCTGATGTCGCTCCGCTATTGCAGAAGAAAATCAAGACAGCCACCGCGGTCGTGGACGACGAGATGTTGAAAGATGCTGAGAAGTCCGCCGAAGCTGCAACTGCTTTTGCGGAAATCGCTCAGGAGAAGAAGCGCATGACAACTCTTGATGCGGACGATGATGATGGTGATGATGATGACGGTGATGGTTCTGGATCTGATGATGACGATGGCAACGACGATGATGATGGTGATTATGATGATGGTATGGATTGTAAAAAGGTCTGGGTCTGGATGGTTGGAACTTGTAATGCTAACTTTCCATACCCAGAAAATCTGTATTGCATAACCGACAAAAGTCGCAGCCTCCTTTGTCATGCAAAAACGCAGTTTCTCATGCGGATTGCCTATGAGAAAGCGTTTTGGAAAGTTGTCATGCCGGACTGCATTCGGAAGTGTTTGCATCATGCACATTTTAGCATCACAAGTTTCCAGACCCAGACACTTTTGCATTTGATAGATGACGGTGAAGATGACGAGGAGTACCCTAGCAACGATGATGACGGTATCCTCAGTAAAAACGTACCCACACCATAGTTGTCATGCAAATCTGCATGCTTAAAATGTTTCTCATGCGGAGCCCCATGAGAAGCATTTTCTAATGGTGTTTTGAAATTTGTCATGCTCCAATTAGCATGAGAGACTAGATCTGTAGTGCTGCTGAACTAGCTCAAACAGCACTACACTACGCGTCCAGATTTGTCATGCGAAACAGCCAAAGCTTGTGGATTTGTCTAGCCGATTCCCCATCTTGACTATGGGGTGGGTACGTTTTTACATAGGATAGACGGTACCGAGTACGGTGGTGGCGGGGGTAGTTCATCCTCGACCCAGCCGTCGCTTCACGAAGGGGTAGAAGCCGCCAAGGACTACATGGATTCCGAACTGGACAAGATGAAGAAAAACGTCGGCAACGCGTTGGACCAAACTGTGGACACCCTTGCGCAGCAAGCTATGGCATTCTCAAACGTTACATTCTCGACTTTAACATGAATTTGCAATGCAAGAATGGTAAAAGTCAAAGGGCGTACATTGGGCCTCTAGTATTAATTACAAATTCGGCACATGTTATTTCAATGCTGTTTAGACCTTCAAAAATTTGTCATGCGCAGCAGCTTCATCGTGTGGATGTTGATGCTAATTTCGCATGACAAATCATGCACCAGGTGAGAGCGTAACGTCTGGGAATGCCATACAAGCTACCCAGGCCCAGGAGATTCAGAAGGAGGAAACCCATCGTGCGCAAGAGCAGGCCGAAAAACGGATCGATGCCGCTATCGGGGAACAAGTGCGTCAGGGCGGTGGGCAGGAGGTTCAAATGGTGGCGGAGAAGCCGATTGAGGCACCCTTGATGGGCCGCTAAACGGAGGACCATAAAAGCTAGCGGCACCACTGCACCGATATTTGATGCTTCTTCGCAACTGAAACTTTTTCAGAATAACGCTAAGATCACCCGTAGCACTTGTTTCCGATTTTGAATTTCGTTTTCGATTTTGAAGTTCCTTTTTCTTTCTTGTTCATCCTTATCCATCACTACAACGTAGCACAACATCTACGTATGACTCTTTTAGCTTTACCATCATTGCTCGAAGATCCCTCAAATATTCGCATGCTTCATCTTCCAATTTCAATCCATAAAGCCACACAGGTGCTAGAGCTCGGCTTTCATTCGTTCCCCGATTTATGCTTTTGCTTGTGAAAGTTAAATTACTTCAAGGTTGTCCGCCCAAAGAAGAACCGCGTAGCCCAACCTGCATTTCACTCACAAATAAATGCAGGACGACAGCAAATTCATTCCCTATCCCTTCAAGACCGGCGCACATAAAATTTTTGGCAGCCCTCCTGTCTATAATCTTCATTCCCCTCATATCTATCATATCATGCCCCTAATTGCAACTACTACCAGGACGAGGACGACCCTGGGTAAAAATACTTCCGCACTTCTCAATGAAGTAAGACGAGCTACTAGCCTTTCGGAAAGTAGAACATAGTAGCGGCAAGTTGTTGTGCCCATAGACGAAGATCGCAAGAACCTTTATAAACCCCGTAGCCCGGGACGAGTACAACCACCCACACAACATGATTTCCCAACGGCACCCTAGATGAAACTTAGTGTATATATTTTCCTGCACTGTTCTTGGGTTTCAACCGCGCCGCCGTTGTGCAGCTGTCGACTCTTTGACTCGTCCTCGTGACCTCTATTCTTGAATTTGTCGTAACTGGTTTTTCGTTCTTTGGCAGCAATTTTGATTTTTCGTTCCAGCGTTACGTATTGTAAGTAGTTCAGCGTCCTCCAGGTAGACCTTTCGTACACCTCTGTCGTCGTGAACTTGATATATCCACGTAGAATTGGTATACAAGAACTTCTTGCGGCTGTACCGACAGAGCCTTGATCTTTTGATTTTGATTTTGTCCAAAATAAATGTTGCAGGAAAGAAGACTCAACTACTTCTGCTGCCAGGTTCACACCATTTGCTGTTTTTCACACCTTTGCTGTTTTCGTCAAGACCCACTTTTCTAAGGTTGATCCACCTCTTCTCAATTTACTTACAACAACCTCCCCAGCCGCTACTTGTGGTTCGGAAACAACTCAGCCTCGAACGAAATAGATCATCTGCGCTCGGAAGTAGAAAATCAGAAGCCAAATCATGCCGAAAAAGACTACTAACTTGCTCGCCGGCGCGCAGGTCGTGGCCGCTTTGAAGCAGGCCGGTGAAGATGTCGAGGGCCGCCAGAACGTGGCGGAGAAGTCGCTCGCGAAGGGGGGGGGGGGGCGATTGGCGTCGTCCATTCCCCGCGCACTTCCAAGGTGATGGAGGACCGTGCAGGTACAGACTAGCTTTTGATAGAGAGCGCCGCTCTTTTGCAATACAAGACTAAGCACACGCTCAAGTAGCCAAAATCTTCCACGGATAAGATAGAAACGCCGTCGCTCTTCGTCGTTTTCATTTTCTGCATGCAGAATTCTTTTTTCTCATCATCCTAAGGTAAATCGACGGTAAGCGTGAGGAATCAACTACAATACTTTAATGGCCTTGGGGAACACGTCGTCTCGACCGGATTCCTGCAAGTCTTGGAGGATGCGAAGAGGAAGACGACGCCTCGTGTGGGGATGACCAAGAAGCCCTGCCCTCATGACAAATGGGCCGACGATCGCAAGCCGGAAGACGCTTGTGAATGTGACGGCGTGAATTATTTTGTCAGGTGGGCCGATTTTCATACGTATTACAAGTGCTATGAATCTTGTTCCGCTCTCGGTGAAGGAAGGAAGGAGGACTAAGATGGAGACGCCACCTGGCCAGGCTGGGAGCCACGGTGCTATCCGCTTGGAATGGACGACCATAGCATTCTTGGGGATTCGAAGATGAAATGCAACATGGACAAAGACAACACAAACTGCGTCGATAGCAGTGACCGCGGAGAGGTGGAGGGCGGTCTGAAGACTGCGGAAAACATTAGTATGTGAAAGTCGCGGGCCTACGCTTCGTCAGCTTATCTGGCTAGAAAAAGTAAAATAAAGCGAACCCTTTGACTATTTTAACATAAAGCACGACTTCCAGCACCTATACGTGTACGTTGATTAATTTTTCCATTCAAAAACCACCCAAAAATCAAACTTTTTTTATCTGCAAAAAATATGAACAACAGCTCCACAAATTTTCAGACGTGCGTCAGGGCGGTGGGCAGGAGGTTCAAATGGTCACGGAGAGACCGATTGAGGCACCCTTGATGGGCCACTAAACGGACCATGTGACTCTTCCTGTTGCTTCCCCCCAGTTGTTTAAGTACAATAAAAAGTATGTGAAAATAAACATATACCACTTCTATTCAGAACTACGTAGACTAAATGCAACGCTAAGATCATCAATACCCGCAGCACGTTTATCGTGATTTTGAATTTCGATTTTTGAGTTACTTTTTCTTTCTTGTTCATCCATCACTACAACGTAGCACAACTTCTATGTTGACTCTTTTACCATCAGCACTTGATTCCTGCAATATTATCATGCTTCATCCAATTTCAATCCATAAAGCCACACAGTAGCTAGAGCTCTGCTTTCATTTATTTCCGATTTATAGACATTTTTGTTTGTTAAACTAGTTGAAAGTTGTATGTCAAGAGAAGAACCGCGTAGCCCAACCTGCATTTCCCCAACACATAAATGCAGGAGGAGGACAGTAAACTTATTCCCTTCAATGCCCCCGCACATAAAAGCGGCAGCCCTCCTGTTTGAGTCTATCATCCCCGCCCTCATATCATTCCCCGAATTGCAACTGCTACCAAGACGTCAACTCCCCGTAAAAGTACTTCCGCACCACTTCTCGCATATCCTGCCGGAAAGTAGAAAAGTTGTTGTGCCCATCTTGGAAAAAGATCGCAACCCTCGTAATCCCTGTAACCCGGGACGAGTACAACCACACACACAACATGATTTCCCACCCGAGATGAAACTTCGCGCATTCATTTTTCCGCAATGTTGCGTCTCACCCGGGCCGTGCAAGAAGAAGAACTGTCGACGATGCGTCTGCAATGTTGCTTCCTCGTTCGCTTTCTTCATGTTGAACTTGTCGTATTTGATTCATTTTTCGTCCTTATTTCGCTTCGCAATAATTTTTCGTACCGGCGTTTTTATTTCTACCTGCTCATCGTCCAGTTCGTTCTTGTAGACCTTTCTTCGTACTTCTTTGTCGTTGTAGTCGTGAACTTCATACGAAGATTATAAATTGCTGCACGACCGGAACGGGAAGGGCACATAACCTGTTGGCAGCGAACCACTACACCCACGTGGTAACCACGTTCTTCAAAAAACGATATACACAGAGCCGTGCTTTTCCTTCAACCAACTTTCATGAAGTACTTCGTTTGAGTCTTTGTTATTGTCATTTCTTGAGCAGGAAGACGAACTCCAACTCGTCCTCACGTTTTGGAAAAAATACGACCTCCCGAGCTCGTCCCATTTTTGCAACTAATTGTTGTCAAAAATATCACCGCGTTGACCTGCTCGACGAGGACCTGTACCTCAGTAACAGAAAACCAAGCCACCTCTTTCGCGGAAATAAGCAGCAAAATGTCCTTTTCAAAACTACTTTGCAAACTCTTTGCAACCTCCATTGTTTTTGATCAGGTTTTAGTACAACTCGCAGCTTCAGCTTCTGCGGCTTCCCGGTTCAGGACGAGAAGAACGGAGAAACATCAAAGTAGTCTTCAAACAGCGCCGCGGCAAACTAAGAGCTCGGAAAACGAGAACCTGGTGCAACAGATTCGAAGCACCAAGGAGAAAGTTTTCCAGTTGCAAGTTCTTGTAAGGAACCAGGATGACAAAGCGAAATCACGGCTAGAAGAATTGCTGAAAATAAATACCGTGGGCGAAAATTCAGAGCGTACCGAGGACGCTTCTTCTACTTCTTCACGTAGTAGTTCTACTTTATCATCATCCCAGGCCGCGACCTTTTCCTTTCTCGAACGGGAAATCAAGAAGGGATCGCGGGAAATCGCCTCGGCGATAGAGCAGGAGAAGAACAAAATCATTTCAAAACTGGATGCAGGGGAAGAACTTCTCGAGAACCAGATGAAGAACTTCCAAGCCCTTCTGCAGAAAAATTTCGCGCGGGAGGAGGAAAACTGGCACTGGTTTTGGCTCGGGGGAACGAATGAGTATAGAAGGAGAAACGGTGATCATCCGACATGATCATGGACTAAAGAAAAATCGCAGCATACCCTCGCGGAAAGGGTATTTTTTTTTACGGACCGCAGAAATGACACAGCTTTTCCCAGGGTGTGGCAGTGTTCATTGGGCATATTATGCGAACAGTGTTGAAGCTGAGAAAGGCCGACAAAGGACGGGCGCTTTTGGGGCCGCAGGTGTTTAGTTTTCATTGTCCGAGGCACAGAGCTGGGCTCGCACCACGCGGGGGATGACAATCCAAACGAACCTGCTCAACGCCATGGCCCCGACCCTCTTCAAGCGCCGCGCTCCGGCCGAGGTAAGAGCGCTCGACGACCAAAACGCGCGGGCGCTCGTGGCCAGGTGGGAAGAGTGGTAGGCTTCATGCGTCCAGCAACAATGAAAACGAAGCACCTGCGGCCCCCAAAGCGCCCGGCCATTGTCGGCCCTTCCCATCTTCGCATAATATGCGCAGTGAGCACTGCCACACCCTGCGAAAAGCTGCGCCATTTCTTCGGTCCGTAAAAAAAAACCCGTTCCGCGAGGGTGTGCTGCGATTTTTCTTTGGTAGATGATCACTGTCGGCGATCACCATTTCTCCTTCTATAATGAGGATGGAACGGAGGAAAAGGGGGTAAACGAGAAAATGGACGAGATTCTCGGGCATTGGAAGTACTACAACGACTTTCCGGTGGAGGGCGGTTGAGGCAAAGGCAGCGGAAGGGAATACTGACGAATAGGCAACGGTAGTTGATGTCACCCATCGTGTGGAGCAAGAATAAGGTGGAGAACTTTTGAAAAATTCGTGGAAGTCGTGTATTTTCGTCGCATTTTTGCAATAAGCTAGACCACTCAAGAGCATCAAGGTCTTGTGCCCGTAGTATACTTTTTTGGTGACTACAGCTGCGTGCGTGCGCAGGCGTCAAGCGGAAGTTCGTTTCCGATACGTCTCAAAGACTTCTAGCAGTAGCGGCATATATCCTCCAGAGAATATATGTAACAACTTCGTTGCTGTTCTCATTCTCAAATGAATCGCTTCCACCGACTCACAAAAAAAATTGTATTTGCGGAATGCGTTAAACGCATTCTGTGCGTGCTTCCAGTCGTGCTGACCAAGTTTTTTCTCATTTTCTGTGTGGTCGTGGTCTTGTTCGTCCTTTTATTTGACCTTCGTCCAGCTTTTCAGTTTCGTTTACTCGTGATTTCGTTCACTTTTATTTTGGTGCATTCGCTGGCTATGCTGCACGACGTGAAGAGGCAGCACATCATGGTCAGCTTTCATCTTGTAGTGGATTCTTTTCCACCTCAGAAGGTGGTCCGATGGAAGCACCATACCCAGTCTGGGTGCAGATGTAGTTGTTCGAGCGAAGTTTCAATAAAATGATTGTCTCAGACACCGACCTGGCGAGGGGGTATAGTTGCCTCTTCTGCATGACAAACTGCAAACCGCCCCCAGATTGTCTCAGAGGAGGACAACTGGGACTGGTTTTGGCTCGGGGGAACAAATGAGGAGGGAGTGGAGGAGAAGGGGGTAAACGAAAAAATGGACGAGATTCTCGGGCATTGGAAGTACTACAACGAGTTTCCGGTGGAGAAGTGAGGAAATAAGTACCCCATTGGGGGGATGGTGGATGGTCGTAGACGTTTGCATTTGAGTTTGAACGTAGTACAGGAAGTCAATGGTACAGGAAGTCAATGTATCCCCTGGCTACGAACGGCCGCGATATTGTTTCGATTTTCTAGAGGATTTGATACCAACCAAACTAGCTCTTATTCTGTGTCGTGGCTTGTTTGTGATTTTTCGCAACTTCAAATTACGAAACAACTCGCGATCATCGTGCTCGATGAAAAAGCGGGCCCATCATCAATTTAGCTAAACGCGACTGTTCGTAGTTTGCGTTTGACATCAGAAAGATTAAGCACCGAAGCCAGCTGCTCGACCAATAATTTCTATTGCTGTTTTACCAACTACAGCTGAAAGTAGAAAAAACCGAATTCGGATATTAATCTTCTGCTGCATTATTTGCATTCGTTGATCTTTCGCTTGCGTTTTCGTCCTCTTTCTGCAGTCGTCCAGCTTTTTGTGCTTTCGAGGTTCTTTCGTACACAGTCTGAGTCTGGTGTCATCCAGGACTCTAATTTCGTTTTCCGGAAAAGTTTCGTGCGAGGCGCGCTCTTTTTCGTCCTCTTAGTTACATGATGAAGCGCTTTTACGTCGCCTATTGCTAGTTTTTCTCTCCGACGTACTACTACGCCAACTGCTATAAATATACAGTGCATGATATACTTATACACTTGACATTTAGCATTCACTTGCAAGAAGTGGTCGTAGCACCTAGCATCATTCAGATTTACGCACAGGACGCGACCACCCCGCTGTAGCTAAATCTCAGCAACCAGGAGGGGAACGGCTTTTTACCTGTTGCACCTGCTTCCCTACAACTCGCCAACTACTTACACCTGCTTGACACTCCTCCTCTACAGGTAGAACGCTGCCCAATAAAAACATGTCCACGCGCACTACAGCATCTGCATCCTCAAAAAGGCGAGCCCCTACGGCGTCCGCTGCGAAGATCACGCTGTTGACAACTCTCATCACTGATTTCAGTCCCTCTCCGCCCTCACTTGTCTTCGCGATGAAGCAGCACCAGACGCATCGGCGGCTGGCGCTGGACAGCCGAAACACGATGCGAAGCCTGCGGGCCGCCACGCGCGTCCAGAGGAGGTCTGGGCAGAAAATGTTGTTTGGAGATAACATTAACAAGAAAAAATCGACTCGGAAGACAACAACAGCTTCCAAAGCCGACGATGAGGATGGAGGTGATGGCGACGATGAGGATGGGTATGATGATGATGGTGATGATGATGACGGTGATGATGATGCCGAAGGAAGATCCACCCAACAGACAGTTGGCGGAGAACCGATTCTCGATGGAGAAGCTGGCTCGAGCTTCGGCCCCCCGCCTCCCCCGCCGCGCGGTGGTCTTACTGAAAATAAATCGGACCCGGTGTTGAAAGCGTTGGGAGAAGTCACTCAGGGATTGGAGGAAAACAATTCCAAAATCGCGGACCTGGAAAAGGAGCTTACTGACATGACTATCCAATGCAAATACTGTTCATTCTGTTGAGAAATCACTGGATTTGTGATGCGAGAGTTCAAGAACGACGGCTGGGGGATCATGATCTGTGGTGCATGTTGTCATGATGGGTAGCAGTCCTACCGAAAAACTTGAGACGCGTTCTTGCCGCGCAAACAAAGCGACGCTCTGTCATGCAAGGCGCAGTATGACAATGTTGACAAGAAGAAGAACTCGCGCAGCGCTTTCTTCCTGACTGAGCCAAGAACACATTTGCATTGCATAATGAAAGAGGAGGAGCAAAACAACTGGAACTGGTTTTGGTACGGCGGGACCCACGACGGGAAGGACCATCCTGGGATGGACCACAAGATCGACGAAATGCTGCAGAAGCAGGATGATGTTTTGAAAAAACTGCCGTCGCAATAAGAGCATTCGACGTTTTACTTGCAGCTGATTGATCATGGTGGCGGCAACTACACGTTGTACTATCCCGGAGATAAAGTAGAGCTCTAGCATAGCATGAGGTTCGTAACAAGTGCAAATATTCTGGGCACTTAAATGTTTTTTTTCATTCTTTCCCTTCACCTTGTACATACCTGTTATTTATACTCTCGTTCTCGCTCCACTAGCAGTGGCAGAAGTACGTCTTGCATTATACCGAATTTTGCGTACTACAATCTTCCTCTGGCGACAATCTCCCGGCTGGCGAAAAGATAGGAAGACCGGCCTTCAAGCGCAGCCCCGCCCCACCCAAGTACAAGTAGAACTCTTTTCCTGCATCATTCCGGTATTCCCCCGCGATGAAGGCAGAATAAACCCACCATGTGCATAATTCAAAAATGGTACTACTCCCAGCGGCAAGTTGTACCACCCACAAAAAAAATTTTTCCCCACCCGCGTGGAAGGAACAAAAACAACGCTAGAACAATTTTCCTCTTCGCTATCCGCCTTCATGATAGGTCGCCATATCCCGGCTTAAGAAACAAAAATGGTTTCGAGTTCGAGGAACCGTGTGTGCCGAAGATTTCTTCGACCCGGAAAATACTGCATGGCACAAAAGGAAAAACGGAAGCAGCTCTTTATCCTGTTTCATCTTCACGCAGAGAAGGAAGGCGGTACTGCAGTGAGTTACAGCTTGGACGGCCGTTAGAAATCATCTTGGCGAATTTCTTGCGAATTTATAGGGGAAAGACCCGCAGCGCGGCCTTGGCATTGGGGTCGGGCTTGGGATTCTGCGTTGCCAACGCATCTATGACGCCCCGCCGCTCGTATTGCGCGTCTTTTTGGTGTCCCGACGAGGAGGGGCAAAGCCAGCAAAATCTTTCCGCGCCGGGCGCCTTGGTCTGTGCCCGAGTTTTGGGCCCAGTGGCTGCACTAATGTGCCCCACCTAGGAGCACCATCGCGCCACACCGGGAACAGAGCTCGCGCGCGATGGACAGGGAGGGCATCCATTGCACCCCCTTCCCCCTGAGTTGTCCTCGAATGCCAAGAGTTTTGCTCTTGCGACAGGTGAGCACAAATCTGTGCATTTTGGAACACAAGGCCTCGGGACTTGGTCTACAGATTTTGCCTCTGCGAATTTAGAAAAGTGGCCCTCGCGAATTTCGCGCGAATTTAGAAAAGTGGCCCTCGCGAATTTCGAAAGCCCGACCTGAAATTGCGTTTTTTTCTAAATTCGCGCGAAATTCGCGAGGGCCACTTTTCTAAATTCGCAGAGGCAGCTTTTGCAAATTCGCACGGGTCACCTTTGTAAATTCGCAAATCGAGAATACCGCCCTGATTGGGCATGCCTTTAAACGCTTAGCCCGATGGCATTCTGGTGGTCCAACTTTAGCAAAATTCAAAAGTTACATCTGGAGCCGCATGATATGATGAGAAAGTGGCTGCGACTGTTTTTCCTGTTTCATCTTCAGGCAGAGAAGGAGGGCGGTAGTACTGCAGTGAGTCGTTTCAAAAGTTTTTACTTCGTCCATCAAGACGTAAAAGAGTCTGCTTCAGAGTAGTCGTAGTCGTACTACGCGACTGCCCAAAAACACCAAGAAGTCGCTCACTACTACAAAAAAGAACAAGTTGTAGTTCTCGCCGTGGTCCAGAAATCATCGACTACTACAGAACTTCTTCGTCTTCTCGTGCATAAGTAATTTCTCGTCAACATCGTGAAAAACCGCTTTGTCGTCCACTGATCGTAAGCGACGACCCAGGATCGTAGTGTTTCTACTTTCGTGGTACACCAATTGATAATCCTCTAGATGTACTTCTGAGTTTGTCGCAGGAGCACTAGGATAGTATGCAAGTAGTCGATCTTTCAACACTTTCAGTAGTGCAGTCAGGAACAAATGAAAAAACCACACGCTCCCCTAATAATTGCAATTGGCGTGGTTTTTCTGCATCCTTCTAAGAAGGATGCAGAAAAATCACGCTTGATTCTTCTTGCGTGCAACTTCTTCCCGGTGTCGAAACCAAAGTAGAGCAGGACATCCCCCACGTTCCCCTCAGTACGTACACGTAGGTGTGCAGGAGATCTCCCTTTTCCGTTTTTTACTTTCTATCAAGTCGTCGCTCATAAGTAAATACTATGATGACGCTGCAGCACGAGCACCACGACGTCGAGGACAAAAATGTGTTGAAGAAGCATGTGAAGATTTTTTCATGGTGCGCTCTTCTTCATCTCCAGCACAAATCCTGCACGGTGAGCTGCGCGAGCACGGACGAACACCCGCCCACCACGCGTACAACTACCAAGCGCGCCAGGAACCCCACCTTTTTTTGTCCCGACCCTGGGCAATGCGTTCGAGACAAGCCGATGGATAGGGTTCTATCTTCCATTCTTGCAAGTGAAGAGGAAGAAGCATTTTCAACAAGTATTACACTACCTCGAAGCAACGATGAAAGTAACAAGTTCTACCAGATCCGCTCCGAGTGCGTTCCGATGGCGCCGTCCCGCAAATTTCTGAATCCGAAGACGCCGGGGAAAGAACCGGCATTCACGCCCTTTCCGAGAAAGAACGAAGACGATGAACAAGAAGTGGACCTCCACTTGAGCAGGTACTACGCGACCCCGCCATGTCCCGAGGTGCGAGAGTGCCTGGAGCTGCTCGGCCCGAATATTTTTACCGTTACCCCAAGAATTTGGCGCCCGGACGAGCCCCTCGACTCGCCCTCGCGACAAGGGCAGACGCAGATGAGCAGGACAGAAAATACTAACTTGTGGTCCCCCGAAGAATACGACGACGGCGAGGATCCTCTGCATCGGACGATGCGGTGCGACGTCAGTGGGATTTTTACGAACAACTGGTCCGAGGAATTTAAACGGGCACAACAAGTCGTCCGGGATGATGTCGCCCCAAACCGGTTGACGGAAACTTCCCATAAACCAGCATATATGGACCCAGAATTCCTGTCCACCGCTTTTTGCGTGACCGAAGTAAATAAAGAAAAGGACGACCAACAACCAGACGGAGACGTCGAGGCGAGTAAGGTCGTGAAAGGGCAGGAGAAGAAGGGACGTCGAGCTCGAGACGACGAGAGGACTGCATCGTCGGGTTCTACAACTTCTTCTTCGAAAGAGTTGTCTACTTCAGAAGTGCAGAGGGCCCCCGCTGCAGCACATCATGTTGACACGACCAAGGATGTTGAACAAAAAGAACTGAAATGCGTGTTTACGGCCACCCACCTCGACGCGCACGCAGAGACGTGGAAAGCAAAGGAAAATTCTCAGGGAGATGATTTCGACTCGCAGGTGGCCGATTTAGGGGAAAACGGCATCGCCCCGACTGCTATGGAACAACCGGGAAGATCACATTCACAACTTGGCGCAGCCGCCCCAAGCTGCCGAAAAGTGGACGACTGTGTCGCCCTTTTGTCATCCGGATATGACTTGGACCTCCCCAAGGCTAAGAATCAAAGCGACGCAGCGCCGCGCATGAAAGTGGCAAAATATTTAGAGAAAAAACGGGCCGCCGCGAAAAAAGTTGTTGATGAGAAGGAGGCAACATTAAGTAGAACGAGTCCACCACCAAACACGACTTCTTCTACAAAAGGAAATAAAGCGTCAACATCTTCCGTCACGCTGGCTCCTGCAGAAGAGGACGACGAGCAGGAGTTGTTGTTCACCGGTGGATCATCAACATCAACGCAGAAAATAAACCAGATTTCCCCAAGAACGCCGCCGCCTTCTCGAGTCGCTACGGGCGGCGCGCCCAACGAGCCGGACGCGGCTTTCCAAGTATCGTAAGGAAAGATCCCCCCTGCCCATATCGAAAAGGACCCCATAGAAAATTTGCAATGCTGATTTGTGGCCACAAGTCGTCTCTGTCTTGCAAGAAGACAACCCCACAGGCTGCGCCGCATTATGCGGGCGGTTTGTGATGCTGTTGGGCCAGGGCCTGCAGTGTGGGCATTTGTAATGCTGGGCGCCTACGTCAAAACCCCGCTGCCCCGGGTTGGCATGTGCCTGCGGTTCTCTGCTGCAAGACAAACCTGATTCGTGTACGCAAATCCAGCACCACAGAGCTCCTTTTCGATGTGAGGAGGTGGGGTCTTTCCTTTTGATACCAAGACGAGGTTGACTACACTAGAAACCGAATCGCCGCCGAAATGGTAGTGTTGCGGCGAGAGGTTGATAAACATAAATTGGAGGCAATGCTTATCCTGAGTAAAAACGTACCCACACCAGAGTCAGGAGGGGGATTTTGCAACACAAACCTAGGAGTTTTCTGAGTCACGCATGACAAGTTTCAGTCCGTAAGGTAGTGCAAGTTAGCAAGGAAAGCCGCATCACAAATCGACCTTCTGATCCTGTTTACAGCATTACAAGTTCCCAAACACGATTGAAAATGCCTGTCATGGGGTTGCGCATCACAAATGTTCCTGTCATGGCAAATCTGCATGACAACTCTGGGGTGGGTACGTTTTTACTCAGGATAATGCTCTCTGACAAGGAGAAAAATAGGAAAACACTCCTGGATTTGCTGGAAGAGAAGGTAAAGAAAAAAAAGAAACGCTGCGATGAAGACCAAATTGACGCTGCTACGGCCGATAACCTAAAAGCGCTTCTCCACTCCGAGCAGGGGAAGCTCAAGATGCAGGTGGAAGCGGCGGGCAACGTGGTTGCTGAGAAAGTAGGAGGAGGAGATTCATCAGATTCTGCACAACTACGCAGTAGTAACATGATTCACACCTTGGAAAAAACTACAAAAGCCAACTTCGACAAAATTAGTACCGACAATTGGAATTGGTTTTGGCACGGCGGCGATCTAGTGGAGTTTGAAACCGGAAAAGTTTTGGTATGAACTGCAAAAATGTCGTACTAGTATAGTAAGTATGAATTGCATTACAAATTCGCCCAGCGTTACAATCGAATCTGTAATGCTGATTTACCTTGAGAAAGCAAAGGGATTTCTTTGTAATGCATAAACGCAATTACTACGAGTACGATGCTTTTGCACAGGATATTTGGAAAAAGACGCCGACTCGTTCGTGTCCAAAGTGGACACGTTGTTGGCGCAGTGGGAGACGTTTCATCACGGGGACAATGAAAATGATGGGGGCGAAGAGATGAAGAATTAATAAAACAACAAAAAGAAACAGTTCTTCTTCTTCTTGATTATTTGCATCTTTTTCAAGGTTTCTCATTCTCTGTATAGAGACGAGGTACCGGCAGAGCACTTCACTTGTTGCGTTTTTACCCAGCCGGCCTAGCGATTTTTTTATCTTGTTCGTCACTTCATTCTAAACCGAGTAAACGTATTTCTCGCTGGTGTTGCTTGTGAGTTTGTTTCTCAAAAAAAAATGTTAACGCTCGCTCGTGACACAGTAGCGCAATTCAGTGTCCGTCAGACGCGCTTGGTTGCATGGAATTATATCTCTAGTAGGCGAGCAGCCTGCTGTTTTGCGATCATTGGTTGCGAGACCACGACCGGGGAAAATCGTAATCGATTTGCACAGCGCTTTTTTGATGATCCTATTGTTCAACTTGCAGCAGCTGCAGACGTCCGCAGCCATGGCCATCCGTGAAGATCCTCAGGTGGGATGGTATTGGAGGCATCCCCCCCCAGAACATGATCAAACTCAAACACAGATGTTGACTTCGAAGAGCACGAGCGTTGCATATTGGCCTCTGCTTCCTCCATGCCTGATCCACTCAGAGACGTGGACGCAGGCGATAGATTGATCCACTTTCGCGATGTTTCTTGAAAAGACGAGCAAGTTCGTACTCAATTACCTTCCCGCCGAGCTGTAAAGTTGTTTCCGATTGAAAATAGACGGAGCTAGAACGTCAAGGGCGTAGTTCTTTTACGATCGAAGTAAGTTGTAGCTCTGAAGATGGTGCAGTACAGCAGGTACAACTAGTAGATCATGTTCCTTCACAAAAAAAGATGATAGATAGAAGATAGACGAAAATAAATGTGTGCAGCTGCGGGGAAGCAAACTCTCACTCCCGCTTGTTGTTTTGTTGAAATAGTTTTCAGCTGCGATGCAATTCCATTTGCATGATATGCATAGATATGCTTCACCCTTATCTTGGCACTTCGTCAAAAAGAAGGAAAAAAAGTTTTGACTAAGCCCCGTTTTGATATTTTTACTGATCTGACACATCATACCGCCATAGTTTCACAAAGAAACACAGTCTAGTCTCACTAGACAATAGAGAAAGAGAAACCGCAATAATCAAGATGGGACAAGCGCAGAGCAGTAGCACTATTTCGACGTGCCCGACCACAACGACGGCAAGCACCACGACATCATCCCAAGGAGGCGCACAACAACAACCCACGGCTACTTTACCACCTCATAGCGTAATTATAGTCGAATCCCCCATGCAGCGCAACCTGGCCCTAATCCAAGGTATCATTTCCGCCTCGCTGTACCAATCTGGCGAGTTTAATGAGCTACGGGAAAATACAAAGCTGACGTTTCAGGTTGAATTTAAGGACAGAGCCCTGCCGGAAAACAGGCCCCTTTGCGAAGCTGCATTGGGTACTAGAAGTTATGCATGGCACAAGTATCGTACTAGTACAAATAGCATGACAAATTTTAGCAAAAGGAAAAATGGAGTTTGTAATGCTGATTGAGGTAAAATGGTAGATCTGTCATGCAAGACTGCCATTCATACGAGTACGTTACTTTTGCACAGGATAGAAATTCATCTTCTGGAGCAGGAGTTGTGGACCAAGCTGCGACCCCCGGGGGGGTCGTGATGAACTACAACTCGATTGACGATCCGAAAAAGTACCCAGTTGTGTTTTTGTACACGTTTTGCCCACCTGCTGCTGCAAATAGTGATGCCGGAGCTCCTACGTCTGCAGCCTCGACCGGCGGCGGTGGAAGTGGTCCTGGTTGCTTCATGTACCACCCGTATGTAGCAAGTGACCCGACGGAGAGAATGTTGCTGCATCAAGCGATTTATGCAGTGCAAAAATTATATCGTACGTGGTAGTAATTGTTGTTATGCATCCATGACAAATCTCCTATACTAAGCCTAAGGTAAAACAGCATTGCAAATTTCATTTGTAATGCTAGTAAAGCAAATTTGTAATGCACTGACTACTAGTACGATACTTTTGCAACGCATACGATTGAGAGGAGGGTGAAGGACATTTTGTGCCGGGAGCCACACTCTTTTGCGGTAAACGCAAATTTCGCGGCGCGGGTAAATTTGGTGTGCGTCGATGGGGGGGTGAGTGACAAATTATGTGTGACCGAAACGATAACTGTACAGAAGTTTGGGTAAAGAGAAAAGGACGACCACGCCCACGGTGGGTTATGATAAGTATTAAACCGCTGCAGCATAACAGACCATCTTTACAGACTGATTTTGAAGCTGATGATGTCAACAGGAGATAATTTATGCGAAGAAGTAAATTACTTACGACGAGGACTACAATCAAACACAATGGGTTCAATGTAGGAAGGAAAAGGAAAGCAAAAAGGTAGTTGTACCTAGCTGCGCGGCAGCGAGCTGTTTTGGTTGATTTGTAGAATTTTTCTGTTTTGATCAAATTGGTGGACATTTCTCGTTTCGCTTTCACGACAAAAAATCCAAAATCATGGTGATTGCTGCTGTTTACTGTGGTAAACCTTTTCTAAAAATGAACACATATACATCTACTCCGAAAACGGAGCCGCTACTGTAGATGTAGTTACTTCTCCTACGAACACGGAATGGTCGTGTTTCCTTTCGCTGCTGTAGGTGTAGTGTCGCTGTTCCGATAACAAGTAGAAGCAGGTCTTCTGACGGAGAAAATCTTCAAATTCGTGCCGACTCATGATTCAAATTCGTAACTATCGTTCTTCATTCAAGTTAATGTGAGCTGTATCTTGAAGATGACATTGACAGCTGTAACTGTTAGTTTTCGTTCTACTGACCCGCCTTCTTTATAATATTCCCGATTTGATCTCGATGATCGATATACAATGCGGTCTGGTCGCGTTTTCGTCGTTGTCGTTATGTCGTACGACCTACAAGTACATTGTTTTCCTGTTTGTCATTGTCAGAGGTTCTACGTCCAACCGCACCAAAACTGTTCGTCCGCTGTTGCAAAATCGTACCTAGGAGGTGGTCGTGACGAAAGAAAATTTTGATTTTCGTATTTAGTTTTGCCAGCAGTTCTTGTTCTTCACCAGGATAATCAACCGCCGACATCGCTGCACCACCGTAAGTATCAAACCGTATAGACCGCCTTACACAAGAACAAGATCCAGATCGATCTTGATCTCTTCATTTTTTCGAAAACTATTACAAAATAAAATCCAGCAGGAAAAACGAACAAGACACGAAGTGTCATCTCCTTCTTCTTTGTCCCTCTGTCTAGTCTTTCAGTATTTCAATCTTAATTTTTTACCTTTGCAACGGCTAGTCCGTCGTGAAGTAGAAGAAAACCCATCTAATTTAAAAACCCATCTCGTTTGGAGAGTCTTAATCTCAGGAAGATGATGTTCTCACACATTAGAGACTCATCCTCGTCCCGCAGAGCAGGAGCTACAGCTCGCCTTGCCGGGCGTGGTTCAACATCTCGGCAGGGTGCAGCAGCAGCAGCAGGAGTGGGATCTTTCTTCACCCAGCTTCTCCTGTTGCAGAAGCAACTAAATCACATCGCCCAAAGTGGAGCAAATGCTGGCGTCGGAGTTCTTGCAGCGGTCGTGCATTCAACTTCTACCCAGTTGGTACGACAGGCGGATACTTCTACAATCGGAGACATCAGTAGCGGGGGGTCTAGTGTTTCTGCCCGCCGCCTGCTCCGCGGAACGAGAACCACGGTGAAGAAGATGAAGCAACAAGAAGTTGTGAACAAGAACAACCCTAAAACAAGAACTCTGACGGCGGACGAGACGAAGACCACTTCTATGTCCCAAGGAGAAGATGAACATGAAAAAGAAACAACCTTTTTGCTTTTGGAGCAAGAAACCAAACGTGCTCATGTCGGCCGGATTAAGAACATGAAGCAGCAGGTGCAGGAGCAAGAGTTTCTTGCGAGTGCAACTGCTGCCCACAAACGGAAGGACGATGATGATGACGATGATGATTCTGACGATGATGACGAAGCTGCAACTGACGGCGCTACGTCGGAAGCATCCGCTACCACATCAAGCAACACCTCCTACCTGTACTGTCCGGACCCAATTTTCTACTGCGTGCGGTGGAAAACGGGTGTGGGGGCGGAAGAAGTGCAAGCGTTTGAAGATGTTGTTCAGAAGGTGGAAGATACGTTCAAAAACCGGAAATTGTACTGGATTGATGCGCGGCGGCAGATGCCGGGGACGACTGAGGCCGATATCCAGGAAAAAACACCCATCCCCATCCAATAATTTGTCATGCAAAACATGCAAAAAATCCACCATTTGCCATGTAAAAAGTGGACAAGGGGTGGGTGTTTTTTCCTGGATAACCGACAACCGGTGCCTGGACGAGGGCCGGCAACTTTTCGAGCACGAGTGCTGCACCAGCACCGGGGATCGGGTGACCGGCGATGATAATCCCACCTGCGCCGCCGCCTTTGCCACCTGGGACCAAATTTTCCAGCCGGACCAGTGCGGCGCGCGGAGCTTGTTCATGCAGGAGGAAAGCACGGATTTCTGTGACTCCTACGGGAAAGAGCGGGCTGCACTGTTTGAAATGGTACTGAACAGCCAAATGTACCTGGAAAAGGAAAACTACGCGGATGTGGAACTCGAACTGCTGAACATGAACGAGCAAAGTTTCACCTGCGTGGTGAAGCCAGAAATTACCGAAGACGAAAGTCTCTTCGCCAAGCAGAACCCCTTTGTGGGCTTTCACGAGGCCGCGGGTGGTTCGGACATCAACAACTACGAGGGCATGCAGTGGGGCGACGTTCTCACGGTGGGAAGTACCAGCACTGGAAAAGCGCCCACGGAGAAGGCGGAATGTATGGGGCTCTCAATTGTTACATTCTCAGCTGGTGTTACATGAATTTGTAATGCAAGAATGGCAAAAGTGAAAGATTTTTGTGCCTTTTGCATTACAGATTTGGGACGGATAATCCTGGTGCTATCCAGCGCGTCGAGAACGAAGTTGTCATGCGAAGAAGGCTGGATCGTATGAGGAGTGATAGCGTTTTTGCATGACAAATCATGTAACACTTGAGAACGTAACGCTTGAGAACGCCATAGAATGGTGTCGACCGTCGGATCGGGACAAATACCTGGCGGCGGCGGCGGTGCAGAAGGCTGCGGCGGCCTTTGGGGCGGAAGAAGAACCTGATCAGGAGGAGAACGACGCAGAGGTCATCATGAAACTCGACGAAAAGGAGCTGCCCGAGAAGGTGGGCGGGAAGACCCCGTGCTCTGTGTTCTACGATGAGACTGATGAAACCACCAGCTGGGCTGAGAATTGTACCGCGGAAGAGTCTGCCGGAACGAGATTTCAGCGGCAAAACTGCATGGAGAAATGCACCAGCGGTGCTAGTACTGAGGAGCAGGAGGACGAAGACTCTGACTCTGACTCCCCGCCCCCCGGCCCACCTGACGCAGCAGCAGGCCTCTTGCCGTCCTCCGCTACGGTGCCTATTGTGGGCGGCCCGACCCCTTGTTCTGTGTTCTTCGACGGGAGCGAAGAAACCAGCTGGGCCCAGGGCTGTACCGCATTCGAGAGTGCGGGAACAGAAGACCAAATGCAGAATTGCATGGACAAGTGCGGGGGCGCTACGGAGCAGGAGCACCGCGACCCTATTGTGGGCGGCCCGACGCCGTGCTCTGTCTTCTACAACGGGAGCGAAGAAACCAGCTGGGCCCAGGGCTGTACCGCAGTCGAGAGTGCGGGAACAGAAGACCAAATGCAGAA